AAAAAAAAAAAAAAAAAAAAAAAAAAAAAAAAAAAAAAAAAAAGCTCAAGAATCCAAAGCATAAAGCACAAAGCACAAAGCCCGGCTTTGCGTCTCGCAGAACAGAAGTTTGCCGCGAAACCCCAAAGCCTTCCTGCACCCCCACCTCCGGTAAAAAAAAAAAAAGGAAAAAAACAAAGAGACAACAACACGCCAGAAAAACTCCGTCTCCTCTAATGCGAACAAATGCAAGAGGAAAGATGAGAGAGATAGAGAGAGGAAAAAAGATGCAAACAATATGCAAGCCCCCGAAACCAATAAAATAAAGAAAAAACCAGGTATTGTAGCTCCCCTGTCCCTTCCCTCCCAGAAAACCCCATCCCCACCTCCCAAACACAACGAAATCGCTTTTGAAACGGGTGACCGACGACCAACCATCCACTTGCTACCCAAAAGTCCCAAAGAACCCCCTCCCTATCCGCCTTTCCTTTGGCGACCCTGGTCGTCAAAAAAATACTTATACATAGCATCATGAGAATGCTCGAAGTGGAGAGCAATGAGACAACTGAAACAAAAACAAAGACTGGAAAACTACAAAGGGAAAACTTGCAGTGGCGGCGTTCAAAAAAGCTAGCGCGCCATGTGAACACTCAAAACAGAAGGAGATGCTTGCGACTGCTTAGGAAAACAAAAACACAAAAGTATTGACAAGAACAAGGAAAAAGGACAGGAACGCAAGTATATACCCATGGTTAGGTGTATACAATGGAATGCGAGGCTGAAGTTGAAGGAGAAGCCTAGACCTTCGGCGGCGTAGGGAAGAGAGAGAGGGTGTAAGGCTTGCTAGGCCTACGTCCAGTCCCAGGCACCATGCTCGACGTGCGCTGGTGTTGCGCCTTAGCCATAGCCTGCGCAGAGTTGAGCATCTTGTGGGCGCCGTCCGAGGAGGCACGCTCATGCTGAGGCGACGCCGGAGGCTTGGCCGACTTCCGCTGGCTCACGGTCGGGGGCGGGCAAGGCTCGTCCTCGGCGTCCGTCTCCTCGTCGGCAAAGAAGGTCTGCTGCTCGGTCGTCGGGTTGGCATCATCCTGCTCATCTCCAAGGTGAGAAATTTCGGCCACCTGGTGCGACAACTGGTCGACCATCATGTCCATAGTGCGGCGGGCCTTGCGGCTGTGGACGAGCTCGGGCACCGAGCCAGTCGAGCATCTCAAAGACTGACGGTTCGGGGAGGTCAAGGAGATCGAGGCAGAACGAAGGCTGCTGTTATAGGAGCTACCCATGCTGTTCCTGGAGGGACCACTGAACGTCGACTCAGCAATGCTCAGCGTGTTTTCCGAGCGGGAGTGAAGCAATGGGTAGTGACGATCCGTCTCCCCGTAGTCGTTCAGAAGATCATCATACATGGTCTCCTTCGACACCTGTTCCTTGAAGTCCTGGGGAACAAGTAAAGAAGGGGTGTAGACAAATCCTTCAGGTTCGGCGGAAGGCGTGTAACCGGAAGTGAGCTTCTTATTGGGGATGGCTGAGTAATTATCAATCGGCGTGTTCAGGCTGTTGGTCGAAGTGGAAACGCCAGACCTGTAGTCAAGGTCTGGGACCGAGGTGGTGCTTGGAGCCATGAGCGAAGATTGGAATGAACCCGGAGGGAACGAGGGCTTCTTGAGCTTCCGAGTCTCCTCGACCTCAAGACCTCTCTCCGTGGGGCTGAACAGATCCTCCTCTTGCTCCTCCATAACCGTAGGGAAGTTGGCAACCATAGGGCTGCGACGCTCCACGGTTCCTTCAGCAGACTTACGATCCCAGTCGAAGTCGCAATCAGCCTCCGCAGCCATCTCATAGCAGTAGTCGATATCGTCTTCCCAGGAATTGGTGTCGAAAGACTTGAAAAACGTCGAGCGTCTCCTGACGGCCTGCGTCCGGCTCAAGGAACGTGCTGCAGAGGCTCCTCCAACGGAGGGTCCAAGCGTAGCAGACTCTAGGGGAGTAGGGACGACCTTGTTGGGCTCGAAAGGTGCGCCAAGTGTCTCGGACATCTGCGATAGGGGACGAGGCTTGTTCGAGCGAGAGTTTGCGAAGGACTTCAACTGCTCGTGGACGCTGGATGGGTCGAGGGAGCGCATGGGCAGACTCTCGTTGGTTTGCGCGGGCTTCTGGGTGGGCGACATATCGGACGAAGGCGAGTAATTGTTGACGTTCCTGTCATAGGACCGGCGTCCAAAGTAACCTTCCTCCTCCTCTGCGATGTGCTCCAAGTCAGTACCGGCCCACGCGGGAGACACGGCGGGAATGGCAGTTTCGTCCGGCGTGGTGACGGCGTGGATCTGGGCTACATCCTCGGAAGACTCGGTGGCACGAGTGTAACCCTGCTGTGCGTCCAATCCCCACAGGCCGGAGCCTCTACGGCCAGCGGCGGCATATGCCTGTGCAATAGGTGTGTCCTCACCCCGTGACATGGCGAGGCGCGAAGACATCCTGGGGGGTACGGTGTTGGTGTTCTGGGACCTAGGGGAACTGGGCGGGATCGGTTGAGAAAAGCTTCCAATAGGTCGTGCAGGGCGGGCACTCGACTTAGGTGAAGGGGATTCGGGGATGGAGTCGGTTGAAGACTGAGGTCCGGCGACAGGGGGAGTACTGGCAGGCGATTCACTTTCAGCCTTGGGCTCAGAAGAGTTCAAATCCTCAGCCTTGATGCCGCGCAACTCCCGATTGGGGACCTGGGACGCCCTGTGCGCCCAGAACTCAGCAACGAGTTCATTGTGGCTGATGTGGTCGTCCGTGGGAAGCTGCTGAGGCGCAGTGTGTGTCAGGTGCTGGAAATCAAAAGGGCCTGAGATGTGGCGCCTCCTGAGGGCAACTGAGACAGAAGTCAGTACACGCGTCGCACCGCCACATGACAATACGTATTAACTCACATTGCTCAGGAGTCTCGAAGTTGCTTTTCTTGCGTTCCCTGCTGAAAATAGAACCTCTTCTTCCACTGTTGGCCTCGTCAATCTCCTCAATACCGGCGGTGGCGGTGAGTTTGCTGCTCTGACGTCTCAATATCTTGCTGCGTTGGAACAAGGCCTTTTGCTTTGACGTAAGAGACTCGGACTGGGCCGACGAGATGTCCTTGGAACCCCGGCGCGCAAACTGGCTTGTCTCGTCATTGGAAGACATCTTGGTGGAAGATCCTGAGCCGCCGGTATTGCTCCGGGAGCGAAGGGTAAACAGTGAGTTCCTCCTGACGTTAAGGTCCTTCGCGAGGCGCTCTGGCGGGGATGGTAGATCCTGATTGGACAAGGAAAGGTCTAGGCTTGAGTCCTCGAGTTGTGCGTCAATGGAAGTTTGTCGTGGTCTGGGAGGAGGGTTGTTCTTGTTAAACAGTTGCATGGTAGAAAGGACGGACGGCTGATCCGGAAGTGGTCTGTCAAAGCTGCGCTGCAGCGGAAGAGATCCCCTGTGAAACGGAAAAGGCCCCGGAGCTTTGAAGTAGTCGCGCAGAGGGTCGCGACTCGGGACGTATGAATCGTGGTATGGCAGTGGGCTGGACGGGGAGTCGCAGGGTCTTGTGGAGTCGGAGCGGAGCTAAGAGCAGCTGGGAAGGAAATTAGTTGGATGGAGCTCTGGGCTGGAGGGCGTGCAGGATCCAGGTCCGTGGGAGGGGCCGTGGACGGGGGCAATTTCGCGGCAAAGCAAAGATAGCAGCAGCAACAATGAGGAAGATAGGCGAGATGCTCAGACAATCACCAGATGCAACGTACCTGCTCCTACCTACTACGTCAGCCGTGGGGGCGGGTTGGACAGTGGTTATGGGCGAGCGAGGGTCGAAACAACAGGGCGGCGGCGGCGGGGGGTGGGATATATGGCTCAGGGCCGAGAGGGGGATAAAAGCAAGGGCTATTGCCTCAGCGAGCATGGCCGAGCACGGGGCCAAAAAGGTATTATGGCGAGCGGCGATTCTCGTGGCACTGCAGATCCGTTACGGGCGACGGGGCTTGGGGGTGCAAGTGGGCTCACAGGGGGGGCGTGAAGACATGCGTCGTCTGACAGGAGCGAGCGAGAGCGCCGTTGCGCTTGCCGCAATTTGCCTTGCAGGGGGAGGAACCGCTCTTACCTCGGGGCGTCGGCGCCGCGACGAAACAGTCGGGGCGGGGTGTAGATCAACCTTTCCCACGCCCGGTTTCACCTTGTGTGCCCCGCGTTCCTCTGGGCCTCTTTACATCCTTCACTACGAGTTTCTTCTTACTCCCACTACTCTCTCTCTTCCTCTCTCTCTTCTTCTCGGCTGCTGCTGCCGTGCGACACGTCCAACCATGGGGCCAGTGCGCTTATCGTTTCAATCGATTCAATGCGTCTCACCATTCGCGCGCCTCTACCTTACAGTAGCATGACCATCGCCCGCGCGAACGAGCAGCAGCAGCAGCAGTGACACGCGCTGCGTGCAACCCTACGGCACCCCGTCCCGTCCCCGTCGACCGTAGCGCCCACGGCGCATGCGCCCACTTGATCTCAGCTGTATTGTAGTCCCGACGCAGGAACAGTCCAACCACGGCTGGCCGCTCATGCGTCCGCCGATTATCGAACCAGCCGCTTTGATTGTCCTACTGCCCGTCATCAGCTGTGGAGCTATTTGTACCCCAGTCGTTATCGACGCTAATCAACTCCGAAGAAGCACGGGTGTCTGGTTCCTGCAGCAAGCCCGCATCATTGTTCAGCCTGTGATGTCAAGGGCCTCGTCTATGCAGGACGCCTCTCGTCGCTGCTGCTGCCACCTGGCAAAGGCTCAAGCGACGACCAAAGCAGCCACGCAGATTTTCACGGGGATCGATTCAGGGCCCCCTCCACTGTTCCTGGCGTCCTGAATACAAGAAGGGCATCGTTCCTGACGATCGCCTTCGCCCATTGGTGGGATGCCTTGGCTGGCGATCTTATCTTTCGAAAAAACATCGCAGCCGGGATCAGATAAACACCGAAGTCGTCCATGGCGTGCCAGCCTGCGGTTTCGCAATGCGAAAAAAACAAAGCCGAACTCCACATCTGATCTCGATGACTTGAAAGAATAACGCTCTGTTCCGCCAACTGCCGGCTGCCGAACTTAGCGACGTGTCCCGTCAACGTCATGGCCCTCCTCTTCGCTTGTTGACAATAACAAAAAAGCAACAAAAAGACCGCTCTGGCCGGCCGTTCGCGCTCTATTTTCATCAGTAGCCCTAACGACGGTGGCTCTTCCATCACTTCCGCCCGTAAAATCACTAAGCACAAAGCTTGAGAGGGCCCGCCAGACCCACATCCAGCAACGGCCACCGAAGGCCAGGGTCTGAGCGCATCAAAGTCCCGAGCGACAGTGCGGCGGAAAGAGTACCCCTCATTAATCCAGATCTGTCACCGGTCAAGATTGTGGGGATGTCGTGGGGCTGGCCGCGCGTGGTGCTGCACGCAATGTCGTGAACACTGTCCTCGTCAATCGCCGTTGGCGAGCGGCATTGCACACATGGCGAGGTGGGCTTCACTCATTCTGAAGAGCTGGGGACTGAGCCTGTCCACTGATCGTTGCTGTCCCTTAATACACCAACGTAGTCCAATATCCGGTTGCGGTTGCCGTGGCTCATGGAGTGGCAATCGCGCTCTGCCCGCGCCAACGCTCCATTGGTCGCATCCTGGCCTCAGTAGCTTCCCGGAGGCCAACCCGCCGTCACCTCACCCGCTCTCAGGCGCGTCGGGGGGAGTATGAGTACGAAGAGAGGTCCCTTCAAGTCCTAGTCCGCCAACCCCCGTCAGCGGAACGGGATTCGAGTGCAGGGACCGGGGAACCGCAACCCCCTACCTCGACGATCAAAAGTCTAGAGCCGAGGTTTTTAGTAGGTGCAAAATGTTTTCCTTTGAACATCGTCACTTTTCATTTTGCTTTTTTTGTTTTTGGAGAGTCCGTAACGGGCTGGACCCTGTGGCCCCGCTTCACAGTACGTATTGTTAGATGCGCTACCCGTATCGACACGCACTTGCAAGCTGCTCTCAGAGACGCGTCTATTTGCTCGTAGGTCAGCGATCAACCAGATGTAGCCCCCTGTTTTAAAAGATCTGCCCGGCCAGGCCCGTTCCACCTAGATCCTTCGGTCTTACCGTCTGCTCGCAAGGCGCTAGATGCCGAAAAGGGCAGGTCTGCTACAAGACCTGTGCCACTCAGCCACCAACACCTTGCAACCCCGACATCTGTAAGTTGGTGCCGGGGCGGTTTTGGGCGAATCCGACTACCCGGTCGACTGCGCCGCACTTTCGTCTTTTTGGGGAAATTGGGCGCCCGCGCACACGGGACGGCGCACCCGACAATGTCTACCACCCCGGCCGGTGTCAAGGTATGGAGTCAATCGACCGACCCCGACGGCCGGACAACCCTTACCGTCATGATCGATGGGCTAGGTCTATTGATTTTTTTGGAGGACTGAGACGAGCCAAACGACGATCTGGTAGCCCACGCGCGTCCACGGAACGCATCTTCGATCGGTCGCGGGCCAAAGCATCCCTGACGATCTCAGCCCTTTCCATAGCACATTTACCCGGCGCAACTGCCTCTTCCAATGAGTGAGCAAACGCGCAGTCATCACAGGGATCGGTCTCGCTAGGCGTTGGGCGCCCGCTCGCAGCGGCTCGCAACGACTCACGTCTACCTCACTGCAGCGCTAACCCGCCTCACTTCACCAGTCGCATCGCCCGCATCACCACCACACTACCGCGCCTATGCAGCTCGGTAATGCAGATCCGGAGACAGTGTGGGAGATGCAGGGCCGGAGAGTTGGGCTGCAGGCGATGAATGTCCGCCTCAGGGTTTTTACTCCGTCGTGCAGGACGGAGAACATGATGACCAGGTGGCCGCATATGCACCGCACCCAGTTGCCGGTGGCCTCGGAGTTCAGGCTGCAGTGTGCGAAAGCTCCGCGAGCGACACTGGCACTGACGGAGTCAGGCTCGTCATTCAGGTTGATGCCTGAAGGCATGAACCTGGCTTTGGTGCGCGCATTCATGGGCCGAGTCGGCGCGCTATTGTAAAAGGGCATGGCTCGCATGACGAGCTGCACCGGCATACGTTGCCCTTTCCTTCTGACTCTCGTGAGCAATGATTAACTGCTGCGCTATAACTGCGCAGGACGGAGCTTTGTCGCATTGCAGCGCAGTACCTAGCTGCAACGTCTTGCTCAAGAGCAACGGTCAGCAGGCCTGCTCGTTGACCGGTGTGGTAATATCGAAGCGCAGCGCAGCGTCAGCTCTTGGCAACGAGCAGATATTTGTCCACTGCAACACCACACTCAAACATCCCAGTCGACGTAGGCAAAGTTTGGCTTCTCAAGCGCGGAAGCTATAGGAAGATCTTTCCCTATTCGGCGACGAAGGAACATTACCCCCACACAGGCCTGACCAAAAAATCTTAAACGCATCACGATGAAGAGCTAGGATATCCACCACTTAGACCCTGAATTCAGACAGAGCGAGTTTCACGTTGCTACAAAAGAGTTGGGCTACTCTCGATTTAGCCAACTAGGCTGCTCTTGCCGTCCTGATTCGACGAGTTTTGGTTGGGCGCGCACCATGTCCATAGCGGCAACCATGCTATTGTGCCTATAACGACCTTAGCATCGCGATACCGGCGCAATGTTGTTCATCACCCGCGGTTGTCGGCTTGAGGCTACCGTGAAGGAACCGGCCCGATAGCCGGCACACGTCTGGGCAACTGCTCCGAAATTGGCAACGAGTCGAAACGTCGTAGCGGCCTCGAGGCCTTGAAGCTAGGCGATTAGGCTTAATCTCAAGATTTGCCCGGCTTTATGCCTGGCGTGCTTCATCTTTTCCACAGCGACGCCACGGCCCTGCGCGCCATGGCTACCTCTTCCTTCCGCCTCTCCTGTTGAAATTAAGAGTATTGAGTCTGGAGGTGGCTGCCGCAAGGCCCGCTCTCCCCTCCTCTCCCAACTGCTTACACGAACCCGTTGCAGATCGATCAGCGTTCCCGCTCGCCATGTGGAGTCTCGCTGCAAGCTAAATCATGCTTTTTGGTTGATGCGCGGAAGTCTTCGTCCAAATGCCGGTTTCAGATCTGGAGTTTCCTGCTTCCAGCCCAACTCGAGCCTATGCGCAGGCCGCCTTGCGCGTTGACAACACCTTGGTCGCAGTTTTTCACGTCAACAAACCCGAGATGAAACTCAATGTCTTTGGGCTCAGCTTCGGAATGCCGGCAAGCCCATGGCACGCTATTGCTAGCAAAGCTGCAGGGCGAGCCTCATAGCGAGAGAGTCAAACACTTGCGTCTTCGTGTGTAGTATTTTTGACTGGCCAGACCTTCACAGAACGAACGCTCGGGCCTGGTCGCCTCGATCCACCATCTCGTCTTCGTCCCGAGCAGCAGAACAGGTCGTGGAAAGCTCCTTGTTTGATACGTTTGCTCCACCACCCAAATCCCTTGCTGTCCCGAGCGCTCGCGGGACAGCCCTGCCGGTTTCAGCTGCTCCACAGTCCACGTGTGACGAGGTTGATGTTCCACGAGCCGGGGTCCCGAAATGCGTGTGTGCGCCAGCGATACCCACAAGCCTACACTTCCGCAGAAGCTTGGTGTATGATGTATGAGGTTTGCTGTCTGAGGTGGTACTAGCCGGCGTCACTATGTCCGTGGCGCAAGAAGAGATTCTGCAGGTGCTCGCTTACGCCAGGTAAGGAGAAGAGCTGGGGACTTTTTTATTTGAATTTGCCGAATTGGACGAGACAGAAACGTGGGCCCTGATGGCACATCATGCTGCAAGTCGACGCGAACGTTGCACACTTCAAGAGTGGCACCCCGCTTTGGCACTGGGCTGAATACATGGTGCGGTCAGGGTCCACACCAAGGAGTTGTCCTTGTGTGCAGCGCATAGCAACATGCACCTTTCGCATGAAGCCAGAGCGCACTGTGGGGGGTTCAGTATCGCAGATTTGCCCCACGAGCGCCCAGCGGTCTCTCACTCGTGTCCGCGTCAGCCATTGGAGAGGCCGGTGTCATGATCCAGACCCTTTTTGATACGGGTCTAGACAATCATCCACGAACACGAGGGGCACTCATATTTCACTGCCCGAAACCAACCCATGCAGCCTGCTGGTGCGCCACTGCACACAAACTCACGTCTCACATGTCCCGGAGGCACATCCCACGTACTACGAAGGACTCAACCAAACGCCAAACAACCAGGAACCCTAGGCATCGTAATCTCATGCAGCCTCAGATCTTAGTTCATCAAATTCCCCTTCACCCCCAGTCGACGCACCAACCTCACCCCTTCCTCTCATAACGCGCGCGTCCAGATACCCAACCCTTATGCTCTCCCTACCGCGCCCAAATCCGACTCTATTCCTCCTCGTCTAGGCCCAGCCCCCATCACCGACCCAACTAACTGTTCGATTACCCAACACGCCGGCACCCGCCCCCAATCCCACACACAGCATCCCGCCCCCAAGCCTCTCAGCCCCAACGCCCACGATCTCAGCCATGATCTCACTCACGCCGATATCCGCTGCCCAGTATGATCTCACGCTCACACCCGTCAGCCACAGCGGCCGTTCCCGCTCCCGCCCCCGCCCGCTCGCGCCTCACTTCGCCTCACAAGGCGAAGCGAAAAGAGCCTCACCTCCCTAACCTCGCTCCAATCGCAAATCCTTCATCCGCTCTCTCGATCGAACCACCACTCCCCTCCCTGACGCCAGAGCCAAGAAGCCTTCTGACTAATGGATCGAATCAGGGGACAGGCTGGGCGGTTCGCTCGTGCGACGCGGCGCGGCGCGCTGCGTAAGGCGAGGCGTGGCGCGGCGGGGTGTCGTGTCGCGTCGTGTCGTGCGCGCGCGTCGGTTGTTCGCCTCGTGGCCGCTCTGGCCGTCTCGTGGAGGAAGCGCTGGTGTGGCGGAGGCTTAGCAGCCAGTGCTCGGAGCAGTGCGGCGCAGCGCGGTGCAGCGGCTCTGGGAGAGAAGGTAAAAGCGTAGCCAGGGGAGCGAGGGATGGAAGGGGGGTTTGTTTGTTGTTGCTATTGCTGTTTACTGCGGCGGGTGGCATGTGGGTTCTGGAGGCCTGAAAGGCTGACTAGAAGAGGATGACAATTTGGGGGGCGCGTTGTGTGGGGTGGTGGGTGAGTGGGCTGATTGGGATCGTTCTATTTTGGCGAGAGGGGGAGGGGATTTTGCCGGGGGGCGGAGTGACGTAGGTGGGTAGGTAGGGTTCTAGATTTGTGGTGTACCGGGGGCTGAATGGATTGCTATCATATCATGGATACGAGTTGAGTTGGATTTTTGCTTCGTGCCACCAGTACTGTGCTGTAGATGATGGATGGAGACGAAGGAAGTTGAGAAACTAGTGTGCCACTGTGTTGGGTTTGTTGGGTTTGGGTAGCTCACATATCTCACACATGGCGGTGGATGATGGATCTGATGTGGGCCATGAGGTTGTTTCTAAGCTCTATTCTAGCAAGCGTATCTAGCATATTGTACAGTAAACCCCGAGGTGCGGAGCAAAGCGGCAACCAACAAGGCCGGCTCAAGCCTTGCCATCGCAGAACTGGACAACAGCCCACTTGCCACTCCAAGCCCATTTGCGGGACTCGTTGCCGCCGCCGTTTTCCGATGCCCTCAGCTCCTCGTCGCGGCCCTCGGGCAGGCCGACGACGACATCGGCCTTGCACGTCCGCAGCGCCAGCGTACGGAGGCCAGACCTGGGGCCGAGTGGGCCGATGGCCTCGTGGAAGGACGTCGTGGGGTCCCAGATTGCCTGTACGACGACGGGTCAGTAGCTGAAAGACGCAAGAAAGCAAGGGGTGGTAGTGGGTGGGGCAGACATCGCCGGTCAGCTTCCTGTAGTTGAGGTCGCCCTTGAATATGACGAGCTCGCTGGTCTTGAGGTCTTCGTACAGCTCGGGCGCCGTCTTAGGAAGGCGCCAGTAGCTGCCGCCTTCGGTCCAGAAGCGGTTCGGGCGGATGGTGAGCTGGCCTTCGGCGTGGTGGTCGCTCCAGTTCTGGAACAGGAAGCCTAGCTCCCCGAGCTCCTTGTCTGACAGCGGCGGGTGCGTCCGCTCGGCGTGCTTGTCGTCGTCCGACTGCGAGGTGTAGAAGGTCTGGGGGTCGGCCAGCGCGTTCAGCAGGTCACTGAAGTCCTTGGGCAGGACGTCTGACACGAACCACGGGATCGACTTCGGGTGCAGGACGACGTTGGTGGCGAGGCCGGCCGACAGCAGGTAGCCTCCCAGGATCAGGTCGACGAACAGCTCGAACCCGGCGTTGTCCAGGACGATGTCCAGCCTGCGCTCTTTCTTCCCCGCCTTCTTGGCCGCCAGAAGAACGTCGTAGGCTGCACCCAGGTCGTTGGCGATGATGTTCTTCTCCGCCGCCTTGCGCGCTTCTGAGCCCTGCAGCTTCTGGATGTCCTCGTAGGTGAGGTTCGTCAGGAGCGACAGGTCCGTCGCGTTACCCCACAGGCAGATCTCGCACATCTCCATGAAGAGAATCCTGTCCGCAGCCTCCTTCTCTTCCGCAGACATAGACGACTCCTTGCTGTTTCCGGATTGAATCTGGGTGACGAGATCCTTGTATCTTGCGGCGAGCTCAAGGACGGCGGGACGGGAGGACTTGAAGGTCGACATCTTTTGGTTGGAAAAGATATCGTAGCTCTTCCATTTCTGAGAGAGACTGAACAATGTGCTAACGCGCCTATATGTATAGGTCAGTATCATGTTCTAAGCGTCCCAATGGTGCGAGGCAATGGGAGGTTACCTGTAGAGGTAGCATTCCGCGTACAGCCACGGCACATTGAACCATTTGGGTGCGCCGAGCTGCTCCAGCTCCTTGTTGTATCCAGCTATGTCCGGCTCGCCGACGTCCGGGAGCGGGGTCAATTGGCGGTCATGCTGCAGCTCGTACTTGAGCTTCGCCAGGCCTTCGACAATCTGCTTACCCTCCTTCTGCGTCTGAGGGTCGTCAGATTTTATGGTGGCGCGGTGGACATCGTCGATAGCGCCAGTCTATCCACGTTAGTTATCTCTACCGGGATCGCGAGCGAGCCATGGGGCAGCGGGGACGGACGAGGATAACAGGCCAGCGGTCTCGGGCGGACGTGTAGGCGAAGGAGGACTTGTCGGAGGTGTTATAGAGCGCTAGAGGAGGTAAGCTGGTGGTCTGATAGTGGCTGCACGTTCACTTACGCGTCTTGGTATCGTACTCCATGGTGAGGTTGTTGTTGTAGTGTGAACAATTATTTGGCGGGGTACTTAGCCTCGACCCCTCGATGACGGAGTCGGCAAGATTACCCTATACAGAAAACTACCCGATATGCTAAAGGAGACATCCAGGCGACACTAGTGGGTAGTTGACGTGTAAAGTCAATCGCTGGGAGAATTCGTAGCCAATCCAATATTTACAAATGGAAATCCAAGACAGCCGGTGTGTCTGGGGTACTGTGGTGGCTGTTCTCGAGGAGCAAGTCTCTTCTTGGCGTCGAAGATGGCTCGAAATGAGTTGGATAGCCTGAGAGGCCCGGAATTCGGTAGGGTAAAATCGACTATATAAATTTCCTTGTAAGTTGATCTTTAAGCCAAGAAGACTCAAGCTTCCCTCCAATAACACTCGTTGCGAATTGGGTATGCGTTGCGAATACGATGAGGTTTCAATATTATGTACATGCAGTCACCGTTGTTACACTAGAAAAAAGTTAAATTTCAAACATTTTTCATCAACAGCCAGCAATGGCATCGGGTTTGTGGTCTAGTGGTATGATACTCCCTTAGCACTATCATCACACCTTGTGATCGTCCTGATTGGGAGTGGTCCCGGGTTCAATTCCCGGCGAATCCAACTGTACCAGGTTCAATTCCTGGATCATCCTTCTTTTTTTTTCTTCTCTCATTTCGCATGCGAAGAATGTGAACACAAATTAGTCGACTTTTTTTTGCATTTTGTAGTTAGGAAAAATCTTAGGGACAGTGCTGTTAGCGACACCATATTGAATTCGTCTTGTGCGCCTCCAGTAGAAGCACTTCATCTTACAAAGATGCAGAACTTTTCGTAGGGACAGAGCTTATTGTTGTGCGCTTTCATCTTACACTCTCGAGTCTTCGTAGGATACTATTGTTTCTACGCATCTTTTTATCTCTTCATGCATACATACTATTCAATATGTTGCACGTTAAGCATAGATGTAGAATTAAAACTACGTATAACTACTCAAGGAGTACTCGGCAGGTACAGTGACCTGATTTGAAAGGTAGTCAAGAAGAAAAAAAATGCGTTTAAGATAGATAGCCAAACCCATCCCACACCAGTCATCGGCGCCGATGCCGGACACTATCTAGTAACCTGACACAGAATGATTTCAGCTCCGTGAAGCCAGGGTCTGATACTGGTGCAGAAAGGCCTTGACACTACTATGAAACGATTGTTTCCAGCTCTTACGGAGCCGTTCATGCGGTCGCGAGCCGGCAACAACTGCCTCGGATCTCGGTCCATGAGGACTTTCATCTTAATTAGGTTTTGTGGCGTGAAACTGTTGTTCGTATTTGAATAGTGGCTCGGCAATTCATGCTGGTTGTTTGCGAATAGCTGGGGAGAGAAGAGTGAAACTTTAGTGTAAAGTTTATCTGAATTCTAACTAGAGCATTCGAAAAGAGTATAGAGGATGGATATATAGAATGTACTAGGATATTCTATGAAGGTGTTGAAGTATAAATATATAAAAGCACTGGAATATTCTACAAGGATTTATTTTTTTTTTAGATTTTTTTTTTTTTAGATTTTTTTTTTTTAATTAAGAAAAAAAGTAGTCGAAGGGTATAAAGGTATTTATAAAGGTATAAATACATAAGACATCTAATAGTGCAAAGCAAATCACCTCTTCTCCACGTTGTATCACGTAGTGTAGGCAAAATATCGAGAGAGGGTGCGCAAATTATCCGGGGCCAATATACAACCCATCAGTACGCATTAAGACAACACCACGACAAGAAATTCCACATCCGCTGAAAGAGCGGAACAAAACCATAGATACAAGAAGAATCATCCCAACCACTCACGTCCTGCTCCTTAACCACCACCCACGCCCACTCCTCGACGTCAATACTGAGTTGCTGCGCGAATATGCAGAGTGACATCATCAAGCAAGATCTAGATCGAGACGTACAGTGGAGATATATAAAAAGAGGCCCTGCATTTTACCCCAGAACGCTAGCGCTTTTTGGAATAACCGGCTAAATTGCCCTTTGCCACGGAACCTACTACATACTGTTGCGAGTATAGATATTTGTGGATAGCATGCCGATCTTTGAATAAGTGTAAAAACCTAAACCTTAGGCTTATGGTTAAACTGTGTCATTTACTTTTTATAAGTGTGCAATGTTGCTGTATTGGGTATTTGGAAATGCGGTTGAATACATTAAAAATAACTATTTTTTGTGAAATGTTTGTAAAGCAACGGGATCATACCAAGCCTGAGCGCTGTGGCCTGCCGCTGCTGACCTGCCTTCCCCATCTTCCCTGTCAATCCCACCCACAACCATGTCCGCGATCGCCCTATCAGCGTAGTACTGGCGATGGTGATCTGCCGTCGAATCCGCCAGCTTCAGATTCACTTCGCTGCCATCGCTGCTTCTCCTCGTGCTGCTCGTAGCGCCGTCTCGCTCGATTGTGCGCTCCAAAAACCACGTTTTGCGGGTTTCGTTGTTGACGATGACCTCTTGCACGACGTTGATCTTGACGGCGCCGAAGTTGGTGATGAGTGGCCAAAAAATGGGCACTGAGGCGGTTACGATGGCGAGGTCGATTTCGAGACATGACATGAGAATGATCGGAGGCGCGTACCAGGGCGGATCTTGCGTGGGATATGTTCCGGCCCGCGACTTGATGACGAGCCATAGACGGAGAGCTGAACAGATGACGGCACTAGTCAAGAAACGTTAGTAAATTGCAGTCACAAACCTAAGAAGCATATGTACTTACACAGTGCCGATGCTGAAAAGACCAAAGAGACACAGCTTCTGCTTCGGACAAAGCGTGGCCTTCACAAGCGATGGCAGTGGGACCAATAGTATCAGAATATCCACGCACATGTTGGATGCTGTTTGGGAAGTGTATGCCACGTAAACCCAGTGGATGTCCGTAGAGCCAAACATGATACACTTTCCAGGAAGAAGAGGTTTCCAAGCTTTGTGGATGGGGTTGCAGCCGAAAATGGCGACCAAGAAATAACCGACTCCCCAAGATGCGACGATGGTAATGAGGACTATGCAGATGTTGTTGACAGTTTTGTGCTGGGCTCTTGGGAAGAGCCGCAGGTACTGGACAAGAATGGAAAGTTTAATGAGAGTTGTGGATGCAGCGTAGGAAATGTTGGTAAGATAGAACCACTAGTTACGATGTGAGTACGCGCTACCATGATGTCCTGTGGACAGGAAGCAGTTGGAGAAGACCTACAAGAAGATAACCTTCGAATGTTTTATAGGAGAATCCCATACCCTCTTTGTTGGGTATTAACATGGTCCTGAGATGCAGGCCGAGCCCGTAAGGAATTTCTGGAAGACGTCAGATCTAGCAAGCATGGGTTGGTTGAAAGAAGACGTACCATTTTGGAGGAAGATGGTTCCAGCGATGCTTGAGAGCTGTTCGCGACGTCAGTTGGAAACTTGAATCAATTGTAGGAAACATAGTGGTCTTACACCAGCGCAAGCAACGAGGGCATCGTCCCATCCAAAACTACGGATCTTGTAGCGAGTGTACAGTCTTAGGGAAACGGCTAACCAGGCCAGAACCTATTGGGAGAGTTAGCATGGCGACAGACAAGGCAGGCATTGGGTAGGTAGGTACTAAAAGAGTGATTGAAGAGGCTGCTATGGTCAGCTTCCGGTTAGCAAGCGGCACATAGTAATCCACTGCAAGCAGTGCAGGTGCCATGGCTTGCGGCGACAGCGAGGAAGATCAGAGCATTCCAGAAGCCCGAGGCGAACGTTAATTGGCTCGCGGCCAAGGCGATATATTCACAGGTTGCGAGAGCTTCAGCTGGAGGGTTGCGCAAGATAGAACCCACGTTTTTGACCTCCTGCTCGGGCTCAGACACGGGGGGCCTGGAGGATCAAGGCACAGTCCTTATGTTACAGGCGACCTGTAAGAGAGCATGGCGTGGACCCCGTTTTGTGGGATCCAAGCGCCGATCATGCATCCGATGAGCATTTGGCGCTGGCTGGAGAAGGCGTCGCTCACCTCAGACTAGTTTCAGGAGCTGGATGCGCCTTTCCGAGCGGCACGCCTCGAAACGATGGGCCGATGGCCCCAAGGCCCCGTCATCCATGCCGTGCCGCTGCGGAAACTGTCGCCAGCGGCGTTGTTGGTTTGTCGCCGGCGCCGTCGGGGGCCAGACTTTGGACTTTTGGGTGAAATTGGGCGTTGCCTCGGAGGACTGCGAGGATGCGCATTGCAAGGATGGTGCCAAGGCACTCGGAGCCCTGAGCCGAGTCGCACCCTCTTTCCGTCCACACGTCACTGCTCATTTGTTTTCTAAACTGAGTCTCGAATGATTCGTACCAGGGGAATGCGCACATGGCTGTCGCCTCTATCCGTACGTAGCTCATCGCCGATGATCTGCTGGGGCCATCTCAATCAAAGCCCAAAATTCAGACCACCTAACGACTCCCTCCTCACCAGCCGGGAGCCTGCAATGGCGCGAGCCGTACCCCACACAATTCAATTCGCAAAGCCGCTGCACCTTCGATCAATAGCTGCACACCTTCACTACCACAAAGAGACATCTTCGAACGTCTGGCAGGGCCCCCACTTCTGGACGCGAGGCAATCAACCGCCCCCATGTACAGCCACGCGGAAGGCCCTGACCATGCTGCCCGCCAGCCGTAATCCGTACGAATAGCTGGTTAGCTCGCTCTCTTAAGCCTAGGATAGAAGCCACACCTGTCGTCCGTATAATCCCACGGAAATAGGGATTGCTCTTCGCCCAAAGCTTTTTCGAAATTGCATGCCTGTTTATTATTCCCGTTGCCAAGGGCTTTTCCTCGGTCTCTCCTGTATAGGTACAACTGACACTGGCACGACTGGATGCTTCTTTATGGTTCCATGTTCAACCACCAAGTTTCAGAAACCCGTGTTTTCTGAAGCAGAGCCAAAGCGTTTCAGTCAATGAGACTCTAGGATCCTTCGCAAGATCCATGCTACTTACCTGTTGGGGGCCCAAAGAAGATCTTGGGGCCTGTTGTGAGTAGCGCGGGGGCTCAATAAATCCGATATAGCCGCGCATGAATCTTTTTGCAGCAGTCACCGAAACCGCCCGAACTTCCCAATATTCACCATCTATCGCGTGCTCGTCACTCGATAAATTCCACGTCTACGGTACAAACAGTTTCGCGCGCTCTTTCGTCCAGCAGCACGTCTCAGTAGGAATTCAGAAAAGAGCTTGGACAATGCACAGTTCGCTCCGGTCTCACCTGAGCCGTTCCTCGCGCCTGGATCTCGATCATGATAAAGACATGTAAATGTCCGTATGGCCATGTTTCTGTACCACATGGGATTGTATCTTGAACGCGACACATGACCAAGCAAGAGGACTCGCCTGTTGTAGGCAACACTTGAGGGATACTAAAAGTTTCATATAAGGGCAACACTGAAACTGACAAAGAGCACAGCTATTTGGCTTTCCAAACACGATCTCATGACTACGCTACCGCTCTCGCCAGTAAAAGAAGAAACGCAAAAATTCCACTCACCCGCCTGTCACCCACCATCCAAAAGGCAAAAACATACAACAGCTGGGATTCGCTAATGGTCACCCACTTAACTACTAATCAGCCGGTTCACAGCTTAAATTTGGCAGAGCGAACGGGATGCCTTGTTCTCTGTGACCTATGGTCGTATGTGCTTGTAATAGTGGTGGTGTTGGTATATGTCCAGCTGCAATTGGGTTTCCCCTATGACGCCTGGGCACTGGACAGCGACAGCTCACACCACATGTCTGTCCGACAACACAACCATGCAAAGAAGAAGTCGATTGCGGCCCAGATGGTTGCAAAAAGAACAATTTCCCATGTACATATAGACGGTGGTCCTGTACCTATAAGAGCCATCCTAATGATTGTGATGGAAGTTTCAGCACCGACTGTGGATCATGAAGACTTAGTAATTAGAAGGATCAACTATTATTCGGCGAAACGGAAGGCATCACTTGTCATGTCGCAGAAATTTGAGGATGATCGGAAACCGTGCGGCTGCTGGCAGACGCACGCCTGCACCACCTGTCGGTAAAAAAAAAAAAAAAAGGAAAAAAAGGAAAAGACTGGCGATGCTGGGAATCGAACCCAGGTCGGAACGGCCACAACGTTACGTGATACCACTGGCAGATGTTAGTGTTGAATTCGGATGTGATTGAAGCTCAGAAGCTACTAACCTACACCACATCACCGGATATTGTACTCCAGGAAGCTAGCTAAAAGGCTTATATAGCGCACCACCATACCTATAGTATTGGCCTGTGCATGGAACCGGCGCAAACTCGCTGCGAACGTGGGCATCCGTCCGTTTTTAAATGCGTCGCGCAAAAGTTCGCCACAGGAGGCAAACGAAATTCCTTCCGCGCCGGCTCCTGCAACTAGCGAGACCCGATGGAATTCGTCGCGGCCCGCTCGTCGCTTGCAGTAACTTAGATAACTTTATTTGTGGTTGGATGTGAATTGTGGGACGATTGTCTTTTGCAGCACAAGGGATTTGGTCGCTAGGGATGTCTTCAAGGGTATGTTTGCAACGCCCATGTTCGTGGGAAATGCGATTATCATTTTATTTTTCTAACGTCCTTCACCTATGAGCGAAGTTCACCGTTCAGCGAAGCTGGCCAATCAAAGCCTGAATCGTCCAATCGAAGAGACCCACGCGACACGCTCTTAATTGGGCTCTAATTGGTCGACTTCGCTGAACGGTGAACTTCGTTTATGGGTGAAGGACGTTATATTCCGAAGGAATTTCGCATTACATACACCTGAAATTTTCGAAAAAGGTGCGGTGAATTTATAAAGTTTGCCAATCATCAAGGTATGCTTGAATGATGCTCATGCCTTGACAAGGACAAGCATACTGAAAGTCACAATTAGGAAACTAGCTCAAATTCCGTATAACAAGGCTTCGTAGTAGCAGACTTGTAGGAGTACCAGTTGAGCATTTACGATTGGTATAAATACCATAGTTTTCAAGAGACACTTAGGTAAAGAAGAGCTTGGTTTGCACATACAGTTAATTCTCTCTAGTTACTCGGCTCGTCCACCCACATGCTTGATCCGTTCCTCTTTGCTTCTGTTGGGTCTCTAATTTGGATATCATTTGATGTGGAGAGTCAAGTCGTCCGATCTGGCTTCTTGCGATGCTTCTTCATGAAGACCGACTGGCGTCTCGCGTCTCGAAACAGGAAACCCATTGCAGCGACTGCAACGTAGAGAGATTTGGCCGATGTTCCCGGTAGCACGGCAAGCCGACATTTGATCGCCATTCTGGATGCTCATCCGCCTACAACGCCTTGTTCATGAACTTCCTCTTGGTGAAACTGAGCCAGTACTTGCTCGGCGTGTTGCCGTCATCCGTAGCGTATACCCGGTTCAGCAACCGTGCGGCAATCTCCTGACGCATCTGCGAGATGTATTGACGAAGGGTCTCGGCATCCTGGCGGTTTCCGGGTGCCTCGAAAGCTTGGTTGAGAGGGAAGGAGGCGTCGCCCGGGATGGCAAAGTTGTTGTCGAGGGCGAGATTCATGGCAGCCTTCTCCGCTTCTCTCCGTGCCATGCCCGGCTTGATCTTGCCCAGCACCTCACTGACGAACAGAATGCCATAGATGAGCACACGGTCGGCAGGGCCCTTAATCTCGAAGTTGCGGAAGAAAGTGTTCGCGCGGAAGAGGGAAACGATTTCGTCGATGGGGTCGTAGGATTCGTGCGAGGGTTCGATAGTGAGCTCGGTGATGTCGGCGGGGAGAGGGGGCAGCTGCATCGCCGGGCCGCGCGTCCGTGTGCGGAGCGGGAGGAGGGCAAAGTTGCCTATGATGTGCTGGTTGGGCTCATCGAGGAAGACGGAGTGATAGGCAGGCATCTTGATGGTGTTGCGGGGTGTTGTGACAGACTGGCGGTTGAGGGGGGGGATGATGATGATGCAGCCTCACTGACCGACCCCGACTCGCCGTAGGGCTGAGTTTGCCCTGTTTGCAGCCAATTTACACGTCCAAACGCGCTTCGCGTCTGCCGCCTGACTGCAGCCGCATCATCGTCGCGCTTCTTTTCCCTCCTCGCTTTCTGCCCAAAACCCCGCACCAACACCGCCGCCCACCATGTCTGACTTCGAAGATGATGAGATGGACGTTGATGCGCCCGCTGTTCAGAGCGCAATCGAATTCAGCTCCGCCAACACTCAGAAGGGCAAGAGGAGCGCTGCAAATCTGCCAGTAGAGGCTCAGGATACGCTGCCATGGTAACTCCCGCTGCCTCAAATCCCTATCCATCCCAAGTCTGATTGGGCCTAGGGTAGAGAAATACCGCCCCGATACTCTCGCAGACGTTTCCGGACACCAGGACATTCTAGCGACCATCAACAAATTTGTTGACTCGAATGTATGTTGTACCGTCTGTATGACCACAATGTAATTGATGCTAAGTTTCTTTAGCGGTTACCACATCTCCTTCTCTACGGCCCCCCAGGTACCGGAAAGACGTCCACTGTTCTGGCTCTGGCCAGACGCATCTACGGAAACAAAAACATGCGACAAATGGTCTTGGAGCTGAACGCCAGTGACGATAGAGGTATCGACGTTGTCCGGTAGGTACAATTGGTATGGAGGCTAGGTGACATGAGCTAATCTATCTATTCTTCAGCGAACAGATAAAGACGTTCAGTAGCACGAAGCAAATCTTCTCCGCAGCCCCCGCTCCTGGCAGCGCATCCAGCCTCGCCTCTTTCAAGCTCATCATTCTCGACGAAGCTGACGCCATGACCTCGACCGCGCAAATGGCGCTGCGTCGCATCATGGAAAAGTACACGGCAAACACGCGCTTCTGCATTATCGCAAACTACACGCACAAGCTCTCCCCGGCCCTGCTTTCTCGCTGCACCCGCTTCCGCTTCAGCCCGCTCAAGGAGCCCGATATCCGCCGATTGGTCGACGAAGTCATCGAGAAAGAGAACGTAGAAATTGTTCCAGAGGCAGCAGACGCGCTCGTGCGCCTGAGCAAGGGAGACATGCGTCGTGCGCTCAATGTGCTGCAGGCGTGCCATGCCAGTAGCACGCCTCTCCAGAAGCCGGGAGAGAAGGCACAGGATCCGCAAACAATCAAACGGGACACGATCACCGAGACCACGATCTACGACTGCATTGCCGCGCCACACCCGGAAGACGTTGACTTCATATTAAGAACACTGCTGGAGACTAAGAACGTGAGGAGCTGTCTGCAGGATATCCATCGAATCAAGACGACGAAGGGCTTGGCTCTTGCCGATATCTTAACGGCTTTGGGAGAGAGGCTAGCCAACTTGGATGTCCCAGCACAGGCAAGGATAACGTGGATGGAGGGTCTGAGCGAGGTGGAATACAGGCTCAGCTCTGGTGGGAATGAAACAGTGCAGACGGGGGCTGTTGTGGGCGTTGTGAGGAATGGCGCGGAGTTGACGGCGACAAAATCGTGAGAGTCAACTCTGCGATATGGATCCGTGAGGTGGTTTTGAAGGGCAATGGTGTTTGGCGTTTGTGGGACCAATCATGGATCGTTTCTCGTCCCCTGGTTACTGGCTACATTGACTTCATTTGCATGCTCCAGGACTTCCTCGAGGTGGCAAATGTTACCAGGGTCTTTCACTCAGTCGTGTTGCGGCTGAATAGCAAGTCGGCGGAACAGAGAAGAATGTACGACCAGTCTGCTATGAGTGCTCGATGGTTCAAGAGTGTTTGCTACGGACTGATGATAATGGGTGGTTGTCACGTCACTGTACGATGGTATTAGCTGGAAAGGGAAGTTCAAAAGGAAATGTTTTTTTTTATAATTCTTTGTGGAATTGCTCATTCCAATTCTCATTGCAAAAGAACAGTAGCTACACGTATGGGGTACCTTGTGCTGTTTGCGCTGAAGAGCAACATTTAAGTATGGCCCATCAAAGATAAGATTTCATCAATGAACCACCACAGAGAGGAGAAGAAAGAAAACAAGGATCAAAAAACAAAGCCAGCGTCTTCCTCACAGACCCAGACAAGCCGGACACAGCGATGAAAAAGCAAAGCAGTTTGCGTCGGCCCGCAGTAGTGCAATACGAGTGACACGGTGGCAGCGACATACGAGCGAAAAGCCCGCAGCCGCCGCGCGAGATCCAAAAAAGAAGGGTAGGTTGGCTGGGGGGTGGAGGCGTTTATATAGGCTGTGGGTGAGCACCGTGCGTGCGGGATGAGGTCATGGGGGAAGGTTGTGGAAGGGTGGAGAGGGTGGTAGAAGGTTCTGTGTTCTATAGGCGGCTAGAGGAGTTAAAAAGGGGGAGGGGGTGGTTGCGGTAAAGGCAGACGTTCTAGTAACATCATTCACAACCATCCACACTCTCGCTTTCTTGCTCATTGTTAACGCCGTTCCGTTTTGAATTAGTCAATACTACTGTAGGTTGGCTAAATTTCTGTAGAGGAGCTACGGAGAAAGATAACATTCATATTCGCAAAGGTTTTTAGTTGGATAGTCCCTCAAACTTGGCTGCAGCAGTATGATATTCAGAGACTGTAGATCGCAACCTGCATAGGTCAGTTATAATCATCATAATCCCTACGTTTGATGTAATTCAACGTTTACAAACTAACAAGAGAACCAGAACTTACTGGAACAGATGACTGGCCCGCGCCGATGCATAGCCTTGAAGTACCTATCGATTAAACTGACGCACTCTGAGCTGGTGGCGGAGATGCCTTGTCTCGGAGCGACCAAGGCTGATTTCCCGGCGGAGGCGTCTGTTTTCTTCCTCAAGCCGAGAGACTGAAGCCTCCAAAGCGCAGACCTGAGCTCGGAACTCTTCTTCCTTGGTACGCTGGCAGGTGTCAACTTCCTGGAGGGGCTGGGAACACTGCTTCTTAAGCAGACCGATTTCTGCGTTCTTTGCTTCGTTGCAAACCTCTAAGCCATAGATCTGGACTCCTAGCTCATGAATCTCCACGTCCTTTCCCTCGTTGGACTCTTCTAAGCCCTGGTTCCTGGCTAGCAGGCGTTGGTTTTCTTCTCGCACCTCTATTATCTCCGCAGTGCGGCAAAAGACGATTGCATCTTTTTCCCTCAAAAGATGATAAGCCCTCAGGCCGTACTCCTTCAGATCCTGGAGCTGGTGGTAAACCAATTCTGATCCTTGTCGAATCGAGGTCTCTAGTCCTTTGATCATATTGTCGAAGACCGGTTTCATAAATTTAGTTTTGAAGACTTCGTCCGCACCCCTGCTCAGCTGGGTGCCAGTAACACTACTGGTGGGGGCGGTGCTCATGGTTGAAAGCTGGGGTTTTTCTCGTTGGTGTTTCCTGCTAGTGCGCCTCCAGACGGGGATTAATATAACGAGAGCAGGCTTGCTGGAAAACAGAGAATTCGCATAGATTGATGTATCAGTGGTTTCTGAATGGGACCGCAATTACGACAGTCTTGGTATTCCAACGAGCTTTGGAAGCTTGGGTGAAACATCCTGCAACAACTGTAGCTACAACATTTGCCATGGACATCAAAGAAAAAGTGTACCTACATTGCTACATGTGCGACTGCTGTGAATCACCTGCCTTTCTTCTCTTTGTCCAGATTGACGGTTGTTGTGTTTATTGCTCTGCTGTGAGACAGGTAAAGTCCTTCACCGTCAACCGAGATTCACACTAAGACCTTTTCACCCATACCCGGGACTCGGGCTGGGAGCCAGACAAGGAGTACTCTGTAGGGACTGCTTGTATCGTCACCTGTCTCGCTAGACAGTGGACCTCTGTTCGTGGTGACGGACGTTACATAGTTGTTGTAATGCTTAATAATAATGCTCTCATTTGTACAAGTTAGGAAATCCTGAAGATCTAAATTTACCTTCTACCTATTTTGATACTTGGACAATCCTACCCTCAGTCAAGGCCGATTGCTTCTTTCACGATCTTCATTGTGGCAGCTGCACTCGCAGAGGCCTTTTGTGCGCCCTCGTGAGCAATTTCGGCCAACGCTTTCCCTTGGTCCTTGCTTATCAACTCGTTATACTTGCTCCTGATTGGCTCGAGCTCTGCATTTACAACATCGTTAACATGCTGCTTCAAAGACAAGAGCGTATAGTCTTTCATGTGGTTCGCCAGCTCTTCGCAGGAGCTCGCGCCGCAGTTATCAAGATTAAACAGTATCTCAACCAGGTTGGATACACCTGGCCGAGCCTCAGGGTCGTAAGTGACGCCTTTGATGCTGTCCGTCTTTGCACTTCTAATCTTCTGCCAGATCTCGTCTTCGGTATCAGTGATTAAAATGCGCGAATTGAGAAGACTGTCCGATTTGGACATTTTCTTCGTGGGATCAGCAAGGGACATCACACGCTTCGCCGGGGCTGAAGGAATGTTAGCAGAGTCACTTGTATGCTGAGAACTTGGAGATAGCATACAAAGGATGGTGCGAGGCATGACTAGGGGTCTGCCGCGGAATTTGAAATTAAATGTGCGGGCGCATTCACGAGCAAACTCTAGGTGCTGGAGCTGGTCTTCACCCACCGGGACATGGGTAGCACTAGAAACTGCCGTTAGATTGACCGTTTTCTGTCGGGTATCCTGCTTGGTCTGACCGGTGTATAAGAATGTCGGCGGCCTGGAGGACAGGGTAAGAGAATAGGCCGAGTTTCAGCGGTGCCTTCGTAGTCGGATCGAGAGGTGAGGCGTTTTCAGGCAGCGACAGTTTGCTCTAGGTTCTCCCATGTTAGCAACCGGTTCTATAATTTGGTAGGCATGACGATATACCTTCCACTGCGTCATGCGCGAGAGGTAGCCCACGGAGGCCTGGGTGCTGAGAATCCACATCAGCTCCGAATGCGCAGGCACCTATGTACATTCAGCAACCCTCGTTTTCCTCGTAATGCGGAGGGCGCATACTGCCGACTGCTGGAAAATGGTGGAGCGTTTGGGATCCAGCCCTATGGCCAACAAGCTCGCCATCATTTCCGTCCGGCATTGGCGCAGCTTATGGGGACTCTGAGTATTGGTGATGGCATGCAAGTCGACAATGGAGTAGATCAAGGTATCCTCAGGCGCAGCTTCATTCTGGAGCTTGGTCCACTGCTGCAGGGCGCCTAGGTAGTTGCCCAGGTGCGGGACGCCGGTGGGCTGGATGCCAGAGAAGATGACCTTGGGCCGGGCGGGAGGAGAGGCGGTGGACAGACACCTGAGGCTACGGACGCGCCCCGGCGAGCGCTGGATCGAGCGCGTAGCGAGGGGGGAGAACATTATTGTGTGCTTCCATACCGAAGAGAGAGACGGGAGCGAAAGCTCGGAAGAGATGCCGACGCTTGCAGGCTCCTCGGCCGCCATTTGGGCGCCAGCAGCCCACCAAGCGAGCGCCAATCCTCCGTCATCCGCAGCCGGCCTCCGCCAAGTCCTTTGTACCTACACACTGCCCCCCCACGACTCTCTCCCGACACAGCCACATCGATATACGTCTCCCCGTCTCCCAGCGCACGCTTGCGACCGCGCCTTACGCCACCACGACATACACGACGCCCGAACCCTTCGCCGGCCCACTGCCACAACCCCTCGACCGCCCAACCTCAACCCAAGTTTCCAAGTGACACACGGCCGCCAACATGTCTTGGTCCGGTCAGGAACTCCCCCAGGCTCCGCCGACTGCACACGGTACTGACATGCGGGCTGCGGACAGGCTTCAAAAAGGGCGTCAACCGGGCGACGACCCAGGTCATGATGAAGACGGGCCACGTTGAGAAGACAAACGACCGCGACTTTGAGACGGAACTGCGCCGCTACAGGACCATGGAGTCAGCCGCCAACAAGCTGCAGAAAGAGGCTAAGGGATACCTGGACTCTCTGAGAGGTGCGCCGATATGGCTGCTCGCAGGACCAAGGTGTCGGAAGTGCTGACGGAGGATACAGCCATGACCGCCTCGCAAATGCGCATCGCAGAGACTATCGACGCATTCTACGGAGATGCCGGCGCGAGAGACGGTGTGAGCAGAAGCTACAAAGAAGCCGTGGCGGATCTGGACGCGGAGACGATCAAGGCGCTCGACGGCCCCTACCGGTATCTCCGCTTTATCCGCAACTTATGGCCGTGCAGTAACTAATTTTTATCGTAGGACCACGGTACTGGAGCCTATCTCACGGTTCTGCGCGTATTTCCCAGAGATCAACGAATGTACGTCACGCCTGCCATCGACGGCATTGATCTACGTTTCACTGACTGACGACACGCCCAGGCATCAAGAAGCGCTCCCACAAGCAAACCGACTACGACGCCATGCGCGCCAAGGTCCGCAAGCTCACCGACAAGCCCGATAAGGACGCGACGAAGCTCCCTCGCGCGGAGAAGGACGAACAGCTCGCCAAGGCTGCCTATGACCAGCTGAACGAGCAACTGACGAACGAGCTGCCCCAGCTCATTGATCTCCGCGTTCCCTACCTCGACCCCAGCTTCGAGGCGCTGGTCAAGATCCAGCTGCGCTTCTGCGCGGAAGCTTACTCGAGAATGGCGCAGGTGCAGCAGTACTTGGACGCGGATACGAGAGACCAGTACGCCAGCGGCCAGCTGGACAACAGGGTGGAGGAAGTGCTGCAGGAGATCCGGGAGCTCAGCATCGCTGGAACTGTCTAATAAGAGTAATGACGCATACATTGGGGGTCGTTATGCTTCAGCATTCCATACACCCATGCTTTCGGTCCGGGGATAACGGCGTTCTATTTATTCTTGTTTTAGAGACCCTCTGCAGCAAATTTCGAGTACCAAGAAGGCGTGGAACGAGCATTTCTATACCCCAAAAAAAGCTTCCTATGTCTGTATGTGAGAGGTAGCAAAAGCTGGGACTCCGTCTTCGGGAAAGATTTCTTAATTAAAGTGACGGTGCACCCGTCCCAGCCCTGATGGACAAACCACGACGGACAAATGGTTTTCTCCAGCATTTGCATTGGAAAGGCTACGTCGCGGCATTTTGAAATTGTCTGCAGTTGTATCGTGTAAACTAGTGTTTCTTGTACGAGCGTAGAACATTGGTCTCCTTATGAAGTTACCGCACACCACACCACACCAGTCAATAGGCTGAAGGAAGTCGAGCAAATCATGTGAACCCGATTACATTGCAATTTCCAGATAGCCAACCCATCCATGAATACATTCAAGTCCTACTATATTCAGTAGAGCTCACATAATCCTTCTTCGGCCCCCTCACCACATACACGACCTTAAACCCGTCTTCTCGAAACTCAAACCTAGCCTTATAATCATCCGGCTCGCACCAATGATGTCCCTTAGCACACATAGTCTTCTCCTTACCACCCGCTTCCCCATCCCCAGCAAACTCCATCTCCACGAACAACCCGTTTGCGCTTTCCCCGTCCTCGCCCGCAAACCACACGCTGATGCCCTCGCGCGCAACGCTGCTACCGTCGTCATCGGCGTTGCCCGCAGCCGCGCGCCGGTACCGCCAGATATATTTTCGCTGCGCGATCATGACCAGCCCGGTGTCTGTCTGCAACGTCCCTTCTTCGCTGTAGAGATACTCGGCCGTGAAGGGTGTTGCGGTCGCTGCGCGGGGAGTGAATGTCGCGTGGCCGTTGAAGGTGCCGGAGGGCATGGTGGGGAGCGCGGAGGTCAGTTTGCGGGTGAGTTTCCAGGGAGTGCTTGGGGGGCTTGTGCTGAGGGAGTTGAAGATGCTTTCGAGCGTCATGGGCGATTGGTCTTGAGGTTTGCTTGGGGGCTTTGGCTTCGTGGTATCGTGCGGATTTGCCAAGGCGGACGAAGTGTCCGTCGCTGCGGGGGCTGGTATGTTCGGTTTTGGTGCTAGTGATGGTGCGTGGGTGCGTGGTGAGAAGAGGAATGCGTTGACGGACTGCAACGTCGCACGAGAAGGACTCGCGGCGGGGAAGGATGTCATGATCCAACTGAGCCGCTGGCGGATGAAGTTCTTGTCTATCGACCCTTTTGGGGAAGTAAATCTCTCACCTGCCACAGCGTTAGCACCAAGACCGTAAAGCTGGCCGGGAATCTCAAAATGGCAACTTACCAGAATCGTTGACGTAAAGGCAAAGAATAGCCAGCACCACACCGATTGATATATCTTTGCCAGTCTGGCAACCGACGGCCAAGGTTGAACTAGGCGGGAGTGTTTGCACGAACGTCTCGATTTTGACCAGTTCGCTCCGAAGGTCCCGGCTCCCAAGTTTTCCAGTGCCGCAGTTGAGATGCAGGTATTTGCTCTTCTTAACCTCCAGAAGCCTTCCGTCAGGCTTATCGGCACAGCTGATCACAGTATCGTACTCGTCCACTGCAACGCCATGCAGTGTCTCCAGCGGACATACAAAAAGCCAGTCCGTGGGCTTGATCAAGACCGTGTTTGCCGTGTTCGATTTGCTCCCCGAAGAAGCAAGCAGTTCTGCAATCAGTTCGGGCAGGTCTCCTTCCTGTGTTTCTAGGAGCCTGGACTTGTTTTCCCAGAATGATGGTGCTGTCAAACCTCGTGCCCAACCCTCACTGTCGTCACCGGCGCCTTGGATATAACCGCCTTCGGACGCTTCGCCTCCGGGCACACGGCGTGAAGAGGTACAAAGAACCACTGGGTGAAAATCAGGGAAGGACGGTTGGTCTTCAGGGAGCCCTGATTCTTGGGTGACCCACAGCGGACGCAAAGGCTTGGAGATACGTGATCGGAGCTCTGGCAGATCCAGATTGAGATCCTGCTCTCAGTGTTAATGCTCATATGAGACGACTATTTTGCACCGGCAACACTCACCCGGGCTTGTTTCACGAAGTTGTCCAGCCGGTATTCAATTTGTGAGTGTTCTGATCTGGAAACGGACTGCGGAGGCGTATGTAACTCCTGAGCAGCTGTAACATCCGGGAAGAGCAACCTGTTCCAAACTGCACACCATATCGGTACCGTCTTCGAGAGAGCGTCAGGCATCCCTGAAGGAAATAAAATCAGTAACTGATCTCACTGGTTCCCACTTTAACACCGTCTTTCGCATACATACTCTTGCCCCGCCTTGTAGAGTCTACAATCACGCATCTACACGCTTTGTCAGCTCATACTTTTCAAATTGTTCGTTTAAAGAATTACCTACCCATCTGTTTTCCCGATGGCTTCAAGCACCTGAGTGTTCAGCCTGCGAAGGCTGAAGGACCATTCTCCGGTATGACCATCGGTGCTCTTGAAATAAGCGCTAGCGGACTTGCGCTCCAACGGAATATACCAGCTACCGCAGCGTTCGTTGGCGACTAGTGGCAGGCCGTAAGCGTCGGCCACGGAGCAGACAAAATCGGCATCAGACGCAATAGATCGCAAACGGTTCGAGATTGAGAGTGTCGAGCGCTTCAGAGATGAGAGTGTTGACGAGAAGTCGGTTGAGAGGATAGGAAAAATGAGATCTGACGTTTGAATAGGTTTTGCAGACATTTAAACGGTATATCTCGGGTTAGAATCACCGTCATTCAAGGGGATGTAAACACTTCACTGACACCAGTGCCGGCCAAGCATTCGACAAATATCAACCTAGCTCAGTCTCTCGACTAGATATTTGTGCTCGTGTTGTTGGTAGGTACTGCAGGTTAGTGGGTGGGGCAAACTAGTCCGAAGCAGCCTGATAGTTTTCAACCCTCTACGCCCCCCCCACAAAACTTAGGATATATTTTTTAGCCCTCTGATTAATTTCTCATCTCTCGGTGATGTAGTGTAGTGGTAGTGAGTCATCCTTTATTCATAAAACAGTAAGAAAAAGTACTGACCCGAAGAAAGTCACGTAACGTTGTGGCCGTTCCGACCTGGGTTCGATTCCCAGCATCGCCATTCTTTTTTTTTTTTGCTGATGATTATCATCGTTGACCATGATGTTTTTGCTGTCGAGGAAGGCTCGGGCCGAGCGAAATTCGGGATGCTAGGTGAACATTGTCCCACTCTAAGTTTTGCGCAGCAGCGTACTATTGACTGACAACCGCAGATGGATAATGAACCCCGGTAATGCTATCCGGATGACTAGTGTAGGGTATGACTTGATGTACTTATGTTTATACTTGAGCTGCTCGGACTACGATATGGATGTAAATTACTACTGACCACGGGCTCAAGCCAATACCACAATCATCTCAAATGTTAACTCCCTTACAATATCCTATGAACAATAAAGAAAATAAAGATTAGCGTGTTGAACAAGCGTAAGTAACAGTGACGAAAATTTAAGGTTTAAGATTATTAAACAAGCAGGAGAAAGGCATTCTCTTTCATTATACTCTTGTCCAGTACTTTCATCTTTAGGGACATAGGGAGGTTGAAATTAGGTGCCGGTTAGGTATTTTTCTTTGAAATGGGCGAAACACGCCATGGGCAAGACGAATTGATAAGGTAGACAGCATGTCGCGTCGGCTCTGTGATTTGACACTGTCTGCAGCACTTATATTTGTACTTTGCACATACGAAAATCTCTTTGTTGTAATCACAAAAAATACAACGTCTTTTGTGACTATAAATGACTCCTTGTCCGGATGAAGCAAGCAGTATCGTCACCAAACTGACGACTTTCCGAGTGATCGAAATAGAATCTATGAAACCTTATCAGGCTATCTGGAGACTTTGATTTGTGTTAACAAAGCTCTGCTGGCTCCTAACATACGTACCTTCAAACCTTCTATCACCACTTTCAATGTTTCACTTCGCCTTGGTCTTCGGACTCCTACTTCCTCTTCTCCACACAAGCAGCCAAGATGGACAGCACGGCAAGTTGACCGATCAACCTCACCGCAGCATCAGAGCCCTTTCTAACATTCACACAGAACCCAGGCACATCCTGCTCCCCGATGCAGAAGACTTCGGAGGTTGCCTCGACGCCGCCTGAAATGCCTGGTCTCACCCCGATCAACAATTATCTACTGCTCCATTCATACGGAGCCCTCGACGATCGCGGCCGCATCATCCCCAGCCCCGCTCTACTCCAGCAATGGCCAATGCTAGCAGATCGTCAGCTCTGGCCCTCACCCAAAGAGGTGGCCGTCCAGTCCGAGCGAACAGGCACCAACATCCCTCTTCTAGCCGCCTTCGCTGCTCGCGAGTTCTTCGAGTACGGCTACCAGAACTTCGCGGTCGCCGTCATTGGCAACCTTCCTCCTTGGACGCTCGCTTATCCCATAGGAAACCGCACCCCACTCGACTTGATGAACGACGGCCCGCCAATCTGTCAGATTTGTGGCCACCGCGGTGGACATGAACGCGGATGTCGGGCGAACGTGTGCTGGATCTGCTTGCAGCCGAAGGAATGGCACTTCTGTGGTTGTCCATGGCGTGGTAGGTGCGGAGGCAACGCGAGAATGATCAATGAGCTTGTTGGATGGATTGCTGGTCCTTGATGGTCGAAGGACAAACAGAAGATGCGAATGACTTGGGTGGATGGACAACATGGCGACAGCATAACTAAGGGATGGAAGGAGCTTTGGGAGGTTACTTGGAGTAATGCAACAACGACCAACCTTCCGAAGACGGCATTTCGAAACCAGGGAGGACACAAGGTGCTTTTTTTGCGGTACACAGTCAAGACTTATTATCAAATTTGAGCTGGTCAGCAACTTCCGAACACTGAAAGGGTGTTGGTTGGAATATCCGGCTAAACCTTGCGTGACCGTTTGCAATTTTACCGACTTAAAGAGAGAAACGGTATAAACAACGCTAAAAGGAGATCGGATTGTAATGAAGACCTGAGGCAACTCACGTTACTTTCAAGTGCCAGTTCATGTCAAGGAAGTATTTTCAAGCTTAACATACTTATTCCGTGCAATATTGAGGCTGATCGGAACAAAGAGCAAAATCATTAGTAGTTGGAGCAACGCCTGATTAAGCAACCATCATTCACCAGCTCGTTGAAATAAGCCTCATTAGCTCATCAAGACAGGCGTCTTTTCTTATAAGCTGGCTCATTGCTTTCGAACTGTCTTTCCGCCTCAAACATGTCAACATCATCGATGTCACTGTACCCGGAAGAGGATTCGCGTCTAAGTGAGAAACTTGCTGCTGTTTGACGCTCATCTACGGCTCCAGGTTGTGTCATGCCTATGGTTGAGACTGTACATTGTGTCTCAATTTGCTCCTGATGTATCAGCTGCATTGGATCTGGCTCAGAGATGGTCAGCTGGGTCATGTCTTCTTGGAATGCGTCTTCTAGTGTCGGCATTTGGGAAACTGGAATGGAATTGCCAGGCTCCTCGAACGACTCCGGTCCAGCCGGGCTTGCACCGAGTGTTTCAGGTTCCTCTAGTATAGGTGACAGTCGTTGAGTAGCAGTCCGCAACCCTGCCGTTCCTAGCGCAGGGACCGAAGGGCACTGAGAAATATCCTGTGGAAAATGTGATGAACGATGTCCCTCAAAGTCAGACGGCGGGGGACAGATCTGTTCAACAGCTCTGAATATCTTTCCTCTGGGTTTCCATTTTTCGGTAGCACGTTGATAAGCTGCTTTAAACTCGACGACTCTGCCGTCATGAGTGAACCACGCATGCCCCAGTGCCTGCTTGACAGTCATGCGTTCGGATTCGTTCAGGACAAGTGATTGGCGAATAAAATCCTTGGGTCTGTGGTCAATGGACTTCCAGAAGCCATCGGTATCCAAGATACTGAGGTCGCAGACAGAGGCTAATGGATATACCACACCAAGTGGATTATCATTGAAGCCTGTTTTTAGACGGTCGACAAATATGACATCTCCGCTCAAGAGAGATGCAGTGATACATCCCAAGGACCACATGTCAACTGCCATCGAGTATCCCTTCTTCTGATAAATCTCCCTACTTCAGAGTCAGCGATTAATTCACATTCACGTAGCAACTTTCACACACGGTGCAGTATACTCAACAGTCCCCACGATTGAGAACATCCTTTTTGCTGGCGTGTCTGTCGGCTTCTGTGGTTCCGGACGATCTATATACCGAGCTGCTCCGAAATCTGCGATGACGATTCTAGCGCCTGGCTTGGTGGACGTCAATAAAATATTGTCCGGCTTCAAATCTCGGTGTACAATGTTTCGGTCATGCAGGTATTCAAGGCCTTTGAGGATTTGCCAAACAATCACAGCTGCCTCAATGGGAGGCATTTCGCCGGCTCCCCTCTTTTCGATGTAGGAAAAAAGATCTCCAGCCGTGATCATTTCTTCGAAGATGTATCTGTAACTTTGTGAGCAAAGTGACATCAAGAATGTCCAGACTCAACTAACATGTGAGAAGGGCTATGATAGACCTTCTCGAGGCTGATGATATTGGGCTATCAATCATCAGTAAGTACCACAAATGAATTCCGATTGAATACGTACGTGGTCAAGGTCTTTCAGAATTTTACACTCTCGAAGGGCTTTAAACACTGGCTGTTGTCGTCGTTGTTCCTTGAGTTTGTGCGCCTGCTGGTCGGTAGTAATCATGGGCATTGCGTCTATTGCTGGGTCTTTGTCACCAGCATTTTGATGTCTGGCAAAACCGTTGGCCGTACGTGACGTTTCATAGCGCTCTGGCGTTTGCGCTAGAGTATGTCTATCGTCTGGATCTTCAAGGTCGAGGATTTTGCAGGCAAGCTGCCGCTGAGACCTTCGGTGTAGTGCAACATAGACGTTACCATGACCACCTGATCCTATTTTTCGACCTGTGATCTTGTAATGTCCAGCAAAACACTGACAGCCGAGTCAGCGTGCGCCGAGATTAGCCTGCTAAGTCTTACCTTCATATCGCTCTGTTCTCTCTCTAAGGGATCTGGAGTTTTCCGAAATCTTGGCGCGACATGGTAGTTGAGCATCAAACGGGGATTGACCCAGAGTTCATCTTCTTCGTCGAGCAGAGTTGCTCCCATAGTTGAGTCCATGAGACGTCCAGGAGGCCGCACTCGTCCATGAACAGACTCATTCATGTCGGCTATGCTTTGCGAATATTTGCGAACATTACCTTCTTTATGGAAGTCGCGTGTCGGGTCAACGAATCTCTGCAGATAGGTGCCATTCATCGATCGATTTTCGGCGTAAACCAATGGCGGCACGCTTATGGTCTCGGTAGTGTCGTACACAATGGAATGAAACTTGATGTGCTGATTTGAGATAGTTGGGTCGGAAAGTTGGCTGATGCTATGTAGGTCAGAATGCGCCACTAATGTCTTCATTCTGGTGCATCCTTACCCATGTTGACATTTCGGACTTCTGCCAACAGAGAACTCCGCATTCGCATACACCAGCAAGTGCACATTGTCTAGCCGTGTGAAAACTAAACAAAGACACGAATTTAGTACTTGTGTCCCCATCAGACAGTTCTTAACTTCACGGACCTTGATTCTTCAGATGTTCCTCGCTCAATGCCACCCACACGTCTAGGTAGGCCACCAGATCGTCACGGCCACTCTCTGCCGGCGCCATTCTCGACCACCGCGCCGACGCGCTCCACCACCTGAACGGGCAATTGACTAAATATCAATCGTTAGTCGGTCCGAGGCATGCGATGCAATTGGTAGATTCGCCGCGTCTCTTGGCGGTGTGGTCGGTGTTGTGGTTTAGGCTTACATCATCGATACCATACCCTAAAGGGTTAGGCTCGCTTAAGCACCGCACAAGAACACAGCTGAGCAGCTTGAGACCAACTTCCTTCCATCACCAACTCACTCATCTCCAATAACGAAGTATGTCAGATTCGCCAGTCTTTTGTCCAGCTTGTGGCTATGGAAGCGTTGGGACGTTGTCCTAACAATTCCGCCGCTGCTGGCGAAGAGCAACCTCATCCGCGGCACCAGACACTAACTTTCAGCAGGTCAATTCGCTATCGAAGATGAGAGCGAAGTGGAGAAAGAAGCGCGTACGACGCCTCAAGCGTAAGAGAAGAAAGACTAGAGCCCGCAGGTATGTTGTCCTTCCTCTCGAAGCTCAATTGAGCTTGCTCCGCACCAGCTCGAAGCTCGAAGCTAATACGTCATCCAGCAAATAAACGCCTCGCCTCCTCGAACACTGCAATCCCACATCCTAGCAGTACAACAATCATCGGGCCATAACACACTTTTCGGAACGACCGTTGTGAAATTTGCACATTCGACGATCGACGCATTACGTCATACTTTCGACATCGAGGGCACGACCGCGACGGTATCAGGATGTCGCAAGCGAGCTACGATCTTTCTTGAGAAGTCGTATTGAAGGGTGTCGGGAAGCTGGTTGAACTCTCTTCGAGGTCTCAAGGGTTTATTACCTGAAAACGGAGCTGATATTTCCCTAACACCGGCTTTCAAGTCTTTGGGATTATTTACTTCTTGTCCGGATAGGTACAATGGAGACCCATCCTTGACAAACTCGTTTCAAAACATGACGATGGTGACCACCGTGACTTGCAAACATTTTACTCACGGAACCTTTTTTGTCACGCCTTGAAAGATTTTTCCCACTCTTTTAAGGCCCTCTTGTCAGTTCCAAGACAAACAGTGCGTCAAATTGACTTGGCGGTCTATTGCTACATGACTTGCTAGGTCTCATAACGCCCTGACATGCGCTCATACGAGTACAACCACGTCTGCTTATCGGTCTGATGTCCGTGTCTGTCTTGCTAGACAGTTGATCTTGGTTCGCGGTGACAGACTATTACACAATCATCACAACTTCTCCAAAATGAATTGCCGAGCAGCTTCCAGTCCCTCCTCCACTGATTCGCACGCACCAGGTGGATAAAGAATGTAACCGTGCGGCGCCCCGGTGTAAATCCGCACGACCGCATCGTTACCAGCGCTCATCCACTTGGCCGCCATCATCATCGAGTCGTCAAGCAAAGGGTCTTCCGTGCCGCAAGTGAACAGAGCAGGTGGCAGCTTCCCTCTACCATAATCGCGCAAATCAGCATAGAATGGCGAGATTGATGGGTCTCGTCGCTGCGCCAGCGAAGTGTTCGGCACGAACGCCTCAAGATAGTGGTCAATGATGGGCTTATCCAGCACCAGAGGCTTGTCGAAATGATGAACTGACGGCAGGAGTGAGAGGTCGTAGGCACCGAAATGCAGAAGCAGACCGCGGAGCGCAAAGGTCGGCTTGGTCTTCAAAAGATGCAGCGCGGTGAGGACGGAGAGATGCCCTCCGGCAGACTAAACGCTGTCAGTGATTATGGCTACAAGGCATGCTGACAGCTGGAAACGCTACCTCCCCTCCTATGAAGCAAAGGTCTCCTCCGTATTTTGACTTTGCGTTCTCAACCAAGTACTCAGCGGCATCAAAGCAATCCTCCGGTGCGGCGGGGAAGGGATTTTCTGGTGCCAGTCTGTATCCCACGCTGATAACTGCCAACCCGCAATTATCGGCATGGAACTTGAGCAGGCCATCTTGACTGCACCGAATCAGCTCTGCCCGCACTCACAACCAGCTGGGCCATCCCTTACTAGTTTATGTCCTGCAGCACCCATCCACCGCCATGGATGTGCATGAAGACGCCCTTGACCTGGCCATCCGCCGGCTTGAACATCCGGCACGGTATTTCACGACCTGAGTCGCGGGAGGGAATGTTAAAGTCCTCGCCTGATTCGATCACCTTCGGCTTGGGCAAAGGTGTCTCCCCATTCCAGCGCATCTGACGATACTTTTCCGCGCCGACCTACGTGCCGCAGTTGATAGTTCAGCAATTGGATATGCGTCCGACTAAGATCTGTAGGGGTTTATCGCCCGGAGACGTCCCATTTACACCTACCTCGTACCATTTTGGTCCGCTCTCGAGCTTCTGAATGAGTGCCTCATTGAACTGGGCCGTTGTTTTGCTAATTTTTGCATAATCAAATTTGGAGGCGTCAAGACTGAGGTCGCTTGATAGCTGTGAGTTGGACATTTCCCTAGTTCTTCAATTGCACAACAAAGGTGTTTTAATGATGTTTGAAGTGCATAGCCCGCCATATATACAGTTACTGTTGACCCACTATTGATATCGATGACGACAATGCAGTTATACCTCGGTAGTTCTATAATGTGCGGGGCCAACCGGATTCGGCCGATGCGACGTTGTATGTACGCTTGTCAATTGTTCTTCTTGCGTAAAAATACTAACTGCCAGGTGCAGAGGGACATATGTATAACATTTCACGTATAAACATTCGGTCTATCGGCTATCCATCCAATCGAGATTGTTAGTTTCCTGATACAACAACCCTCTCGCTGGAAAGTTTGACCAACGGCATTTCTATTTGAATATCTAAAGTTCAAGATACAGGATAGTGTGAAGAGCAGAAGGCAAAGCATATATCAATTGGATTCAACGGCTCTCAACCAGCTTTTAGCTTACACAGATAAGTCACGTTCAACACATTTTGCTCTTTTTGTGGTCGAAGTATGGGAATAATGACATCCTAAAAGGTTGCCGATCATGCTTCAATGTTAAATTTTACACTAAATTTCCATCCGGTTCCAGGAGCGCCATCTCGTGCTGCATAGCGCAATACAACTTAGGGTACTGCCACTTCGGCACGCTCCAGAAGAAAAACGCAAAGACCCATGCAAAACCGAGGGCTTTTGCGAACACACTTTCACTCATCTTCCGCCATTGCTTCGTATAACCGCACCGGGCAGCAAAACTACGCAGCTGCCACGCCACGGAGGCCTCGACAGCGCCCGCCACAAAGTTTCCACAGAACCAAGCTATGTCTCTCACCCAACCGCAGCAATCACCAAGCTGCCATGCTACAAGCGCATGCGCCACGCCAGACAGGAAGAATACCATGAAGAACAGCAATACCCGGTCAGCCGTGGAACCAGGAGTCAGGCCAAGCAGCCTCCGCGAGAATAGCTTGCCATAATTCAGATACGGCAGCACGATCCCGCGGTGCCAGAACTTACCCCAGAAGCGACGGATGCTGTAGGCGTCGGCCAAGCTGCCGAACAGCGGGGGCCAGGCCTCCGGCGCATCGACACGAAGAACGACGACGAAGAGGAGAGCGAGCGCGTCGTGCGCGGCGTCAATCAGAGCGTAGGCTCCCCATGCCCAGAGCACGGCCCAGATGCTGCGGATCAGTGACTCGCGAAGGGTGACCGGGTTGGGATGCTGGGTCTGCAGTAGCAGGCGCCGGAGGTAGGTCTCGTGCAGGGAGTCGAATTCTGAGACTTCCATTGGTGAAAACGGTCCCGGGAAGACGCGTGGCAGCAGGTAAACGGTGCTAAGGCCGTAGACAACGAGTTTCCCGATGCGCACCAGCGCGAAAGTGGCCAGGTTGCGAGGAGACTTCGCTGGAGCCACGCCGGACACCTGCTGGGGCGTGCCTATCAGGCGAGCATTGTTCCTACAGTGACACAGCAAGAGTCAGCACACCTTTCTCTGGGCTTCACCACGCAAGGGTTTGCTCACCAGAGGTGCCACACCAATCTGTGTCTCCGGCACGCACAGAACGCGGTTTGTTGACGGCAGTTCTCATCTTTTGAATCAAAAAATGAGAGCGGTTGCTCAAACCACATGAGCGAGGTCGAGTGCGAAATCCAGACCACCATCAAGAGCCCCCAGAGACTATCCAGAGGCTCGGCCCAGAGATTCGTGGTCGAGAAAGACAGCCATATGAATCCGATGACGACTAGCTGCAGCGGAAGCCTAAGGAATCTTCTTGAAAGCGGGGTGGAAACCACTACACAGAAAGCGAAGACTGATATCCAAAAGTAGGCGAGGGGAATGCAGACCGGCACCGAAGCTCGCAGTGTTGTTGACATGGGCATCATGATGCTGCTGCTGCTGCTGCTGCTGCCGCATGGCTGGAAAAGGATATTATACACCTCCCAAAGAACGACGAACCCACCCGCGACCCATAGTTAGAATAGTTTTTGGGGTCCGACTGCGGCTGAGACTTTGAGGCTGAGACTTAAGGCTGAAGATTTACGGGGTGGTTTTTTTCGGCTATGAGAAAGGAGTCCCGTGTTGCCTATTGGGGGCTGCGAGTCAGTGAGCTTGCCTATCTGGGCATCAGGTAGGCAAAACGCCTTCGCGCGGCTGAGCAGAGCTAGGGGCTTGTGCGGCTCAAGACGAGGTTGGGGGCCACTCGCTGGGCACACCCGGTGGTCTGGAAGCTTGCTGATCAGCTAGGCTGCTGCCGTGCCGCCATCGGCAGGGATTTTTAGACGACATCTCATCCACCGCATGGTCCTTCGCATCTTTATCCGCTTTAGGAGCATGGTAATTTTTTTTTATTTTTTATATTATCATGGACTGTTGCTGTTTGTTGTTGACTGTATAGGGTGTAAGCACATTGCAATAAAATTCAGTGTCCGTGACTGAACTCCTGAATCCTAACTCGCTGCCTCCTCAAATACAAAAAAATTACTTTTGCGGCAACCACATTTATTACTCCACAATGGCTACGAGCCTGGCAAGGCTGTAACTAATCGTACACAGGGGTTATCGGCAACACTGCACAGAGCAAGATTGAACCTTGGAGTATAAATACGGTCTCTGACATAAAACTGACGACTAAAATACAGAAAAAATACAGAAAGGAAGTGAAACCAACACGACTCTCAACCCAAAATCTAATCTAAGAAGCCTTCAGGGCGCTCTTGAGCTCCTTGAACTCAGCCTTGGACAAGTTCAGGTACTCCAAGCTGGAGCTGCCCATAGGAATGGGAATGGCGCCGCCCTGCTGAGTAGGGTTACCGGACAAGACGGTAGCCAGGTTCATACAAGCGGCGGGGACGTTATCAGCGCGAACAGCTAGAACGAAAAAAACCATCAGCAATCATTGTCCAGCGCACGAAAGCAAACAAGCCAGGCAGGAACTTACAGGCAGTGGCGGTGCTGTTGCTGTTGCCGGTGGTGTACACCTGCACCGAGATGCCTTGCTTGGAGTGTTGGTCAACGATCTGCTGGACGCAGGTGTCGAAGCTCTGCTGCGAGACGCCGGCGGGGAGGGAGCGCGCGCGCAGGTCGTTGAGGAAGTCGGCGCGGCGCACCCTGCGCTTGCTGCTCTCACTGTCATCACTGTCATCCAGTTTATTGTCTATCGCGTCCGTGGCTGCGTCCGTGGCGGCGCCCTTGGCTGCGTCCTTGGCCGCCTCCTTGCCGGCGTTGGCGGCGCCCTTGGCGGCGCTCCTGGCGCCGGCGCTGACTGCGGTCCTGGCTACGGCGCCGGCAATTGCTGCGGGCGCGGGGCACATCTTCGTCATGTCAGTGTTGGGGTGTGGAGTTGAGTTGAGTAGGGATTGGGCTACGCACCTGCATAAGGCCAATCACGGAGATGATGGAGATAGCGATAGACTTGATGGCGACCATTTTGGCTGATTGAAAGGTTGGTTTGGTTTGGTCTGTTGAAGTGGTACTGGTGGTATTGATTGAAAAAAAGTGGAAGCCGTTGGCTGGTTTGTTGATTGAGTGAGTGACTGTTGAATGAATGAATGAATGACTGTGATTGAAGGAGTGACTGTTTGCGCTTGCTGAGTTTGACCTCCGATGGTCGAGGATGAGGCTCTTTTATCTCCAACCTTTGCTTTCGTTAAATTGCATCTTTGGCTCAAGTATCTCGGTCTTCTCAACTTCGCCCCCCGAATGTGTTGAGCTCGTCCCATACTTTCGTCCAACGTAAGCATTCCCTTTGAGCCTCCTTCGGGAGCCGCAAGATGGTATTCCTAAGTGAAGTTCAAACTGATTGGCTTCCTCGTAAAATGACTGTTGTTTGGCCCTCCGTACCTACCCGCCTAGCAACATGTACTGCCACCAACAATATCATAACAAAATTCAAGTACGTATGTTTGTTCAGTGGTTGCAGATGATGGTGAGCCAAGAAAGAGAAGTGATTACTATACCTCCGCCATTGTTTTCCTCGTTGCCTCAGCCATACTCTTACAAAAGCATCATATCCAAAAGCTTATTTTCGTGTAAGTGGTGCTGCCTCTGACAGGTGAGTCGTCTTACCAACGTTGAACAGTGCAATCTCCACTAAAACAATTACCCCGTGCTGACCTGGGGCACTGCCTCTAGCCGCCCCCACTCTTACCCGCACTTCTAGACACCGGCATTGTTATGTTGCTATCGTACATTGTAGCCGCCATAACAACTACAATTGCCGAAGCCTAGGCCACCGCACATCGTTAGCACCATCCTCGACCAACCAACCAAGGCAGAAACGAAAACCACTCAACTCACCAAACTCAAATCCATGCCCTCCGCCACATCCACGACCCACTCAAGGTGCTTCCCCAGCACATAAACAGCCAGCTTATCCGTGCGTTTCACCGTCATAACCGGCTTACCATCAACATAAACATTCGTGCGCAACTTCCAGATATCCTGGCCCCGGACCTCGAGGAAGGCATCCTCGCCATCAGCAGCAGCATTGCGCACATAGAGGTCAAGGTTATCCTTGAAAGCACTGAAGCGAGGCGCTAGCTCCGCGAGCCTCAGATCTGCGCCGTCGCGGCCGGCCCCAGGCACCTGCACATACCAGGTGGTGCCGAGGGCCTTGCGGCACACCTCGAAGAGCGGCAGGCTGGATGCGTCGTAGAAGATGCGCCGCTGCGAGACGGACAGTAGCTTGCCGTCGACGGTGAAGAGCTTGCTGGGTTGCGGCGCTTCGGTTGATGCGCCGGCATTGTTCGCCCCGCCCGAGAAGCTCGTCTCTTCCTTCGAGATGCTGAAGTCCCCGCTGTGCAGCGCATTGTCTCGTTGTTTGACGCGCAGACGTGTGGGGCTCGTGGCGATGTGCTCGGGGCGTATGGCTATGGGCTGTTTGAGGGGGCTGAGATCTGGTGGAGCCATGGCTGTGCCAAAGAGATAGGATTGAAAAGCGAGATTTTTTTGGGTTGTGGTATTGAGGATTGGTTGTCTTGTGACCGCAGCTGAGGCTAACTACGGCGTAGGTGGACAACAGGGACAGAAGCAGGTACGGCGGTTAGCGCGTCTCTTGAAACAGCACGAAGGATCAAGAAGGGCCTGCAACATGGCGGCAAGGTCAATATAATCCAGATCCTCGCGGGGTGTGTTAAGTGTCGTTGCGCAAGGCAGCCGCGTGGTGGGTCCGGGATCAGAGTTGGGGGCCGCTCATGCTTACGCGCACTGCGCCTTGGTCCAAATGGTGGCTTTTCGGCCCCCAAGACCCTCCACCAACCTTGTGACTTGATGCGTGAGCATGACCGTAAGAACATATGTAGATGGCCACATACTTACGCCGCAGTAAGCCTCACCGTCGACAAAGATCCTCATGACACCACCCCAACGATGCGCCTCCCCCTTAGCTCCCTCCTGCCCCTCCTCCTAGCCATGACCAGCTCCTTCATGCTCTACCGAGCCCTGTCCCTTCTCACTGACTCCTCCTCCCCTATTGTCGTTGTCGTTTCTGAGTCCATGGCCCCGGCATTTCATCGGGGAGACATCCTATTCCTCTGGAATCGGACGCCCGTGATCAGCGCGGGCGACATCCCTGTGGTGTGGTTTAAAGGTCGTGAGTTGCCCATGGTGCATCGTGCCATTCGCGTGCACTGGAAACAGCAGCTTGGAAGTGAGAAGTTCGTGTGAGTTTACCTACCTACCTCCGTGGATTTGAGGTTTGGTTGTGGGTTTTATATCCAGTGGCTTACAGGTTAGTAGTCAGCATGTCCTGACAAAGGGTGATAACAATCAAGTCGATGATGTGTCGCTTTATCCGCCTGGGAGGCAGACGGTTCTACGGGATGAGGTCGTGGGCCTTGTGCGTGGTTACATTCCTTTCCTTGGCTGGGCTGCGATTGGACCGAGAGAGCTCCTGCAGACCTTCAATAGTTTTGTCAGCGATAGACTTGGGCTTTCGTCCCGGACATAGGATTCTCAGAGCGTCGAAGACTAAATCGAACGAGAGTTGATTGAACAAGCGAGAGATCCTATCGGCGAAGATAAGGCAGTCGGGCTGACTAAGCCTACTAGCGTTTACGGGCTGCTAACACTCCCAACACAGAACGAAACTGCCATCTCTCCATAGGTTGTATATATATTCTAGATCGGTCGTTATCATCGGCCTGGAACCAGCAAGCCAAACATCATTCGTCTAATCATCATCCTTCTTCAAGACCAGGCCCTTTGCACTGTTTAATCAAAAGACCGACCCAAAAATTGCCCCAACTCGTCTTGCAACGGCAGAACTATCTGCTCTATCGCCGCTTGCAAGAAAAGCGGATCCTGTAGACTAGCGCTTGGGTCTCCAAAACATCGAAAGCAATGCGCAATGGCTCCCTGGAAAGCAGCCGATAAATCTTCCTGTTCAGTTTGGTACCATTCATAAGCATTTGCCCAGACAGCCATCGACGTATTCATCTGTTCGTCAAAGCTCACGCCCAGTTGGTCCTCGTATGATTGTCCGAAGTATAATTCCAGTAGCAAAACTCCAAGAGCAAGAAGGGTTGTGTTCTTATTCATGAAGGCTTTCCCATTGCTCTGAATGGGATTCGGTTTCAGCTTTTGCGTTACATGTGGACGTTCGATGTCGATAGTACGCGGCGTGTTGGATATAGTACGGTAGAATATGATGTCTCGCTTGCTCCAATGATCGCCGATCCATGGCGAAGCGTGAAGTTGGAGAATGGATGATGCCAAAGTAACTGCAAGAGTATAACGCTCCTTTTTGCTGAGACGGGATTTGGCAACTCCATTAAGAAGATCTTCCAGCGTAACCGCTTCAGCAGATCGAAACGGTTTTAGGCTGGTTGGAGGAACAGGTTGACCGCCCCAGAGTCTACCTTTCTCAAACGAAAAAGAAATATAGGCTTTTTCTGAAGCCTCGAAAGTCCGAAATGTAGAGCAAAGATCTCTGACTTCTTTTTTCTCGGATGTACTGTCGCCGCTTGAGCTTCTCCGATGTAAAGACTGGGGAGTTGGCGGAGGTGTAAGGAAGCTGACACTACGACCGAACCTGTTTGGATCAGCATGTCTCTTTCAAGGTTGAGTATATGAAGCGCGGATCGGTTCTGCTGAAGTTGTTTGGGATAGATTGGGGAACCATGCGAAATAATGGTGATAGCCCAAGACAATACCTCGACATGATTGCTTATATCCTCTCGTACTCCCGGCAGAACTTCAGCATGAAAATTTGACTTACCTGGGACTTAAGTTCAACTCTCCAAAGCCAGCCGAGATATCCTTTATCTCTTCTGAGAAACATATTCTCGCCTCTTGCCAGACGAATGGCAAAGATTTGTCGGTAAAAGATATAGTAAATGTCTCGGGTTCACCTTTTGTCTTGCGAACTCCAGACTTCAAGCCAAGCTCCCTTTGCTCGAGTTGTAAGTTCGTGCAGTGCGAGTCTCTGCAAGAGCAGCTGAAAGCTTCGAGCAGCGTATAATGCAAGGTGCGAGCATAGCTTTGGATCTTCTGAATCTTTTGAGCAAGTGATGGCTTTGAGGCTCTTCGGTAAGGCTCCAGCTTCTCGCTCTTCTCAGTAAATCTTTCGAGCTCTTTATTGCACTCATCAAGTTCGTCCAATAAGCTTTTGATCTTCTTTTTATTCATGGAAAATTTCGCTCGTTTTGTGAACTCAAAACGTTGACCCGTTTTTGACCGTGGATTAGCTGCAAGCATAGCTTCGAGGTCATTCCGCTTTATCTATCCATAATTGTTAGCACATATACCGTATTTAATTTTTTGATGATGGTCTACTCCATCTAACCAAATCGTTGCCCCACTGGGAGAGAATAGTAACCTGCTACTCTAAAGCCATTTTTTTGTGCTCATCATGAATGATCGGGATCCAGAGCAAGAGAAAACAACTGGGATATATTAACGAAACAGACGAACTTACTTTGAGCACTGTAGGGTCTCTGTTGAGATCAAGCTTGCTAGCGATCTTTTTCATAATGGCATCAATGTCAGTCATTGTGCCCTGATAAGCCTGATATGCTTCACCGAGCTTCTCCTCGAGCTTGATAGCCATTTCAGGATCTTTCCACAAATCCCCACTGGGGTCTGTAATCATCTCAGCCAACTCATACTCGGTGGTGATGGGAGTAAGTAGTAGGCGGAGCGTCAACTCGTATTGTACATGCTGATTTCGTAACTTGCGTATGAACGAAGGAAGCTCTCGCTCCCAACGTATAAACGCTTTGATAGGGTCGAGACCTTCGTTATAGTCCTCGAGGGCTTGAATGACAAGGGGCAGTACGGCCAGCACTAGGCCAGCCAATTCCACACCGCTCATGCTTCAGTTAGGCCCAATCGAGCCAGTCAAATCTGATCTATAAAACTTTGACCAGATTCGCACTCAGGGGGTAGGGAATACTCTTAGAAGAGCCAAAAGCCTTCTTGCGCCGAGCCAACAGTGTCCTGAACAGTCATCGACTGACGTCAGGAACATCCATGCAGGCCTCTCTTCGGGAACTGGAGTGTAAGCTTTAATGCTGCCCTGTCAGTATGATTGGGGCAAAAGCTGTGCATTTGAAGTTGTTTACCTTAGGTTATTCTGCCATGGGCGGTTGCCCGCTTGGATGAAGCCAGGGATGCGTTTGGCGGGAGGGGTCAAGAACGGCGGACGATCGACGTGGAACCGGCAGCACGCGACAGAAAACACACCAGGACACTTCTTTGCGTAGATCAGGCCAAGCTCGTACTGCGCCGCGGGGACTGCAGTTGTTCTGGAGCGAGCGTCCGATGAAGCTGTATTCCTGCAGCCTGAGAGAGATTTCTCTAGTGACGCGCTGATGGGGCGGAAAGTTGCTCAGCCGCAATTGCCAGGATCCACTGGCCACGAAGCGAGGCTGTGCATTGCCATCGAGCACCAGCAAGCAATTCAATCATTGTCGGATTTCTTTCGACAAAATCTCTATGGATGAGCACATCGCAGCCCATGGAGACCGCTTCCCTGCAGAGACTTCGACGAGCGCGGAGAGCGCAGAACCCTTGGAGTGGGGGGCCTTGTCGGAGAGGGTATCGGAAACATCGCATCGAGAGCATCAAGACGAGGTGACTCAAGAAATGTCCAGCGAACGGGAAGACAAGCAACAGGACGATGAGGAGCCGTCGGCACTCAAATGGAGAGTTCCGACCGCCACAAACCCTGATCGCACCTTCCTCCGCACACATCCGGACGGACCACAACCCAAACCGCCATCTCGTACGTGGACAGAGCCAGCGATCAGCACTACGGCCATCAAGGATGAGACCAACATCTGTATCCGCGTCTTTCGCTCTCTTGCTACCCACCTTGAGCAGGCCGACGCCGGCTTCCGAGAGCTTCTCAGCCCGGTCGGCCTCGAAGATGAATTTGGCCGGTTCAAAGTATGGGCCGGGAATCTCGGTGCTCAGCAAAAGGGCCACAGCTCACTAGACTACCGATTACGTGATTCACCTCTACTCCAGTCAAATGTGTTGAAGTTGCTTCGAGAGCTGGAAGGCAATCTCATCGAAGGTGCGATTATTTTGAGATCCCGATGTTACTAGATGAGTATTGACAGGCATCAGCCGTCGCAGTTGTTTCTGGAGAGAGGTTGCCTTACGAGCAGCAAGCAGCCTCTGCCGATTTTAGTGACGATGACTCCTCGGTCGCTTCTTCAGCTGCTTCATCAGAAGGTGGCGATAGCGATAGTGATGACGAGACACGTCCAATGACGGAACTGCAGCAAAGAATGATGGAGTTCATCGACATAATCAACAACCTCTACAGGCTGTCCATTAGGATACGGACTCCAACCGTCCACACTCGTTCCCTCAAAGCTGCAACTTTCAGACCAGTCGACCAGGAGACTGGAGTTGACCTGTTCTCCCAATACGCTGTATATGACAAAAAACATATTCAAGAAGCTATTGACCACCTTCGGAGAGGTCAGCCAGGTCAGCATTCCGCTTGTGCTGAGTATCTCCTTGATCGTTTGGGCACTAGCATCACAAGGAGACGTCAGCAATTTAGATACTGGAGGAAGCATCGTGACAAACTTGCCAACGCATCACGGACTGGGCTGGCAGATCCTCTGGCACAACTCACGATACCGGAACCGACACCTAGACCGGAACCGAATCATCTAGCGGAGACACAGGTAGGTGATGCTAACGTGAACTTGGTTCCGCAGGTGCCGGCAAGCGAGGCCAAACCAAAGACTTTGCTATCTGGGACCGAAGCAACTGCACACCATCGCACCCTCGATGAGGCGATTGATAGTCAATCCGTTACTTCAATGGCTACCACAGCTAGGGATCTTAGTGGCCAAGGGATTGAACTTCCACCTCCGCCTAGGTCCGCGACTGGGGAAAGAGATTTCGAGTGTCCTTACTGTTTTGTAATCTGTCCTGCAAGATATGGAAGAGAAAGATCCTGGAGGTAATCTTGCATGCTCCATGCATGACCTGGACATAGGCTGACTCTCACCAGATCGCACCTGTTACAAGATTTGCAACCATACGTCTGCACTTATGAGGATTGTACCAACCCTCATCAGCTATTCCGCAGTCGCCGAGAATGGTTAGAGCATGAGAGCTCAGCGCATCGCAAATTGTGGCGCTGTCCATTTCACACGGAAGCTGTTTTTGCCAGTCCAACAGGTATTAAAAGCCACTTGCTGAACGCCCATGCGAACGAATTGCCCGAGCAACAAATAGACAGCGTAGTGAATTTTTCGGAGACATCTGCTATCGATACACGGCAGTGCTGTCCTATTTGCTCTGCGGATGCGACCGCTATTGGGAATCTCCAGAACCACATCGCCAATCATCTAGAGAAATTTGCCGCCTTTGCATTACCAAAATACGATCAATCTGAGGAAGAGAAATCTATCGCCAGCAATGACGCTTCGATCGGACGAGACAACTCTTCTCAAGAATCGTCTAGCTCGCAAATGGCTCCGTCGTTCCAAAGCAGAACATCGTCTACGGATGAAGGTACTGCTTGGCCTCTTGACCTGGTTCTTTCATGGCTTGCCGAGAATGAATTCTCAAAAGTATGGCAAGCGGCCTTCGAAGCACTGGACATATCTGGATCCAAGTTCCTTGATATTGGTAAAAGCCCTGAGAATTTCTTGTATGGGCCCATGCTACGCGCTGAATTACTTCCTAAAATGGCCGAACAGTGCAGTGAGAAGAGTTTAGATTGGGACTCACAGGTTGAACTGGAGGAAGCGAAGAGACTATGTGGACTAGTCAGTATGCTGCTGGAAGTCTCAGAAGACCCAACAGTTGGTCCCCGTTCCGGTCCAGGTCTAGACTGGCCATTAGAACGTGTCATTTCGTGGCTGGTCGTCAACAACTTTTCCGAAGAATGGCAGGATGCTTTCCGGACACTTCGCATACAAGGGACTGATTTCCTTGACCTTCGTCATGGGCTGCCACATGAAAAGGACAGCCCCTCAAAGATCAAGACAATATTGCTTCACCTCTCTGCAAGTTCCGCTGAGAAGGACGACGCATGGAACCAAGAAAGGATTCGAGGTGAAACGAGAAGGTTGATTCAACTCGTGGAAGAAGAAGCAGCCGTCATTCCGACCGCATATTACTGCTGCAACTGCGAACAAGGCCCCTGGAGCACTGCTATCTATACTATCTGCATCCAATGCGGTCACGACCTCGGGCCTTCTCATTGTACCCTGGCCAAGCTGTGTCCCGTGGAGAGTTGTGGCCAGTTTTCCAAGGACCTCAAGGCACATATGTCGACGCACCAAACGGAACGGCCTGAGAAGTGCCCTATCGCGAGCTGCGAGTACCACCTCAAGGGCTTCACGCGTAAATACGACAGGAACCGGCATACTATGACCCACTACAAGGGCACGATGGTGTGCGCTTTCTGCCCAGGCTCTGGCTCTGCAGCGGAGAAGAGCTTCAACCGGGTTGAAGTCTTCAAGCGGCACTTGACTTCGGTGCATGGTGTCGAACAGGTGCCGCCTAACAGCCGTAAGAAGTCTCCATCGTCTATCGAAAGCTTTGCTTCGACGCAGAACGCTGTTGGTACCTGCTCTATCTGCTCCGTCACTTTTTCCAACGCCCAAGAGTTCTATGAGCATCTCGACGACTGTGTGCTGCGCGTTGTAGAGCAGACAGACCCCTCAGAGGCTATTAACCAGGAGCTGCTGGCTTCGGTTGCCGACGACAACGAAAAGCCATCAGTGCTTGCAACAATTATGGCGCAAAACATAGATTCAGCTATCGCTAATACCTTGGAAGTAGGGGTCTGGCTTACGGGAGCGCTTCATGGATTCCGGGATATCCTTACCATTGACGGCCGGCGTGTTGTTGATGAGACTGCACGAATTGTCGAGACCACGTGCAATACAATGAAAGAGCTCCGACAAAGGTTCGAAAATCCTGCGCTCCAAGATGCAACATCTTTGGAGACGAGAGAGGGACTCACTGCTACGGAAGAGATTGTCAGCTCATGTTTGGTCGTTTTTAAAGAAATTGAAATGGCTATCACTGAACCAATTTCAGCCGAGTCCAAGTTCACAAACTGGGACACCGAGCTCCGGAGGCTCTGTCATGAGCTTGAAATCCTCCATGACAGGCTGAGGATAGCAGCAGTGCCTTCAAAACCTAGGGCGCCGACACCTGAGGAGACCCCGTTGGCACGTATTAAACAGATCCTTAATCCATTCGATCACACCGGCAAAGGCTTTGATGATACCGCTGTATCCGCACCTGATGGAATTACTGAACAAGCACCAAAAATGACAGAGCAACCCGCAGAGACGTCAGCAGTCGAGAAAGATTTCGGCTATCATGCGAATATCCTGCAGATAACCAGGATGACTTACGAAACAACTGACGACGAGGTGGAAGCATTTTTCTATAATCAATCTGGACTGAAAAAGTTCTACTTTGTACGGACAAAGGCTCTTTTGGGATACGCCAAGTTCCGTACTAAAGTTGACACTAATCACTTTTTGAAATACTTCGACAAATCACAGCTGCCAGGCATTCAGCTAACACCAATCGAGAGCTTTGGACTTAGAGAGCACAAAGATCCAGCCTCTGCCGAGGTTACTGATGAAGCTATTGCCGAGCACAATGATAAACCCTTCATCCAGAAGCTTGTCACGTGTGCCTACCCTCTTCATATCCATTGGAAATGAGAAACTGACTGTTCGATAGCATACTTAAGCCTCCAAAAGGGAATGGAAAGGTGATACGCTGGTCTAGAGACGGCAACGTTATTGTGGTCCTTGACAAAGAGCGCTTGGTTAAGGAGATCCTACCAGGTGTGTTCGGCCTGTATGACTATGACTCCTTCGCCACCGAGTTGAAAGAGCACGGATTCCTGCAAACTCTCTTGAAGGAACACGAATCCTTGCAAACACAACCATCAACAGAATCCCCCGTGTGCTGGTTCCACAAGTACTTCGTACGGGGGAGACCAGAGCTATGTCGCCTTATATTTGGGCCCAACTCGAATGCGGCGTCGAAAGCCTTTGCCAAAAGCCTCGCTGCAGGGACACAAGCCTCTATGGGCTCTGTCAAGGCCTTGTCAGACATCCCAAACGTCAGCCAGCTTTATAGTAGCGGAAAACTTGTTGAGCCGTCGACAAAACATTTCCCGAACTTTGTTCCGGCCTTCGCACCGAATGAGGCATACAACAAGAAAGTCTCGCTCATACAACACGACATCACCAAGCTGGAAGTCGATGCAATTGTCAACGCAACGAACTCTAACCTTAGCAAAGGCACGTCGGACTCAATCAGCTTCCATGTACACCAGGCTGCTGGCCCAGAGCTTCTTCAGGAATGTAACGATATCGGGCCTTGCGATGTTGGCAGTGTTGAAATAACGGACGGATACAAGCTTTCTTGCCGCAAGATCCTGCATGCGGTCAGGCCTTACTACTACCAGGTTAGGGGTGACGGCACCGACTACAACGATTTACTGGCGCTCTGCTATTGGAATGCTCTAGAGGTTGCCGTGCAAAACAATCTGAAGAGTGTCGCCTTTCCTTGTATGAGCGCCGGTGGCTACTCGTTTCCTCCGTATGAAGCGGGCAAAATAGCGGTCCGGACTGTTCGGGAGTTCTTGAACTCAGGGGAGGGGAATGCGCTAGAACGGGTCATTTTCTGCGTTTACTCCGACCAGAATGCGCTCGTATATCAATCACTGCTTCCGTAAGTGACTATTTGCTATATCAATAACAAGATACTAACCGGAAATTTAGGAAGTTCTTTCCTGCCTCAACGACAGAGGATGATTACGGCGAGCCGAGCATGTTCGAGGACGAAGAGGATGCAGAGTACAAGAGCCAAGACATCAGGTTGGACAGTGGAAAGACAGAAGACCCCTTGCCTCATTCACCTCCTGGAGAACAGCAGCAGTCTTCTGCTAGCCTGTCCCAAAGTAACTAAACCATGGCGCCCTAGGCAAGAGTAGGAAGACTTCTAACGCGGTACAGGCAAGCAATTAGACGACAGCAAGCCTGCACCACCCTCACGTCGTCCTACTGACACGCCGCGCTTGTGGGCATGTTGCAAATGCTACGCACGCCCCATCAACGCGACCAACTGCTTGGTCTGCTACCACAAACATTGTGCGGCGTGCACTGACGAGACTGGCGGTCACCGGCGGCCGGGCCTCTGGCTTGTGCCGCTGGATGCGGGCGGGCTCGATCTCGAATTTGGTGCCCGTGAAAACGATGACGGCTATGCCACGCCGTCTGCCGTCCGCCGTACAGATGTCACGACTGACACGTTGGCGTACTTTGACCTGCCCTGGCGCGTCGATGAGGTAAACAAGCCCTTTTGTCCCCGTTCTCCAATACTCACACCTTTCTCTTTATTTCGCTAGTGCGACTTCCATTACTCACATAACGCGCACAGAATAACCCAACGCGCATCATAATCAAGCGCCCCCTACGCGCCGACCAGCTCGCCGTCCTCTTCAAGCACAGCGCGCGCCACAACACCACCATGGCAGAAGGAACCGCCGTGCACGCGCGCGTCCTGGCGCCCGGCGTCCGCGCGATCGTCCCGCTGGGCTCGGCACCGGACCCGGAAGACGAAGGCGACGGCGGCAACGACGACGGAAGAGGAGGAAAAGCCGCCCAGGCGATACGCATCCCCGACCCCGCGCTCCGCCCCACCCACTGCACGTTCATGCTGCGCCAGCGTATCGTGCCGCGCCCGGGCGACGTCACCATCACCGTCTCGACGGCAGTGTTGCGGTCGTGGATTCTGCTCGTGCCGCCACCGCCGCCGTCGGCTGATGCGTCGGCGACGACGACGGATGGCGCGGTCCTGCTCAATGGGCGCCGCGTCGAGCCGGATGCGCGGTGGGGCGCGAGCGTGGAGCTGCAGGGCGGCGACATCCTTGGACTGGGCGAGGGTGCGCGGCATTTGTTCCGGGTTGAGTGCGATGGGGGGAGCGGGGAGAGGGACGAGCAGGATGAGGGCGTGGATGAGACGTTGTGGGCGGTGGAGGCGGAGAAGAGGGCGAGGAGGTGGAGCGCGGAGGGGTTGGGGTTGGGGGAGAGGAAGGGGGAGGGGGATGGTGGTTTAGAGGAGAGTGGGGGTGGGGGTGGGGGTGAGGGGAAGGGGAAGGGGAAAGGGAAGGGAGAGGAGCTGGAGGGCTTGTTTGGCGCGATGAGGCTGGAGTAGGGTAGGGTACGTGTGCACAAACACTGCACAAGCAATCACACAATCCTACCTCTCCTCACCCAACATAACCAACAAACATACAAGACCTAGTTACATAGCTAGCCAGCTCTCAAGCACATAACCACCCAGCGCACCGCACCCCACCTCCCAAAAAAGCACGTCATCACATCACTCATAACGTATACCGAAACGCGGGATGTCTATCGCCCAGACTCGTCTCGTCCTCATCAACACCGTCCGTCAGGCGATGGTCGCGGCGCCCGCGCGCGCGCAACGCGTTCTCGCGCGCGCAGAACAGCATGTTTGCGGTCGTGAAGGCGAGCGAGGCCGCTAGCACGCCGATGTTGATGGCGTGGCCGGTCGTGTAGCGCGGTCTATTTGCGTCGGCGTCAGTGAGTGGTTCGGAAAGGGCGGGGGAGGAGGAGTGGAGGAGGAGAGGCGAGGGAGGGGTTATGGGAAAGGGGAAAAGGGAAGAGGTCAGCTCACGCGTCCTTCTGCACATAGCAAAACGTGGCGATAAAGGCGGCCATGTTCGCGACCATGATCTGGAAGCCCGTGCCCGCCGCGCGCACATAATGCGGCGCGAGGTTGTTGGCCAGCCAGCCCATGACCAGCGGGGAGCAAGGGAACACGCCGGCCGCGACGAGGAACGTGCCGCCGTAGCGGACGAGGGCGCGGCTGCTCGCGAGCAGCATGACGTACCCCGCGATGGCGAGGAGGGCGCCGCCGAGCATGAACGGGCCGCGCATCCGCAGCCGGTCGCTGTAGTGCCCGACGAGCAGGACGGAGAGGAAGCCCCCGACGTTGGGGGGCACGCTGAACAGCTGCGCGCGAACGCTCGTGTAGCCCAGCGTTTTGATGATGGTGGGGAGGAAGAGGCTGAAGCTGTAGATGGGCGTGATGATGGCGAAGAAGTCGAGCGACAGCACGATGGTTTGCCAGTTCAGCAGGGCGCGGCGCACGAGCGGCCAGCTGAAGGACTCGGCTGCGACGTCGGGGGCGGGGGCGGCGCCGTGGGCGTCGAGGCGCATGCGCGCGACGGCGGCGCGGCGCTCGGCTTCGCTCAGGAAGGTGGCTTCCGCCGGCGTGTGCGGCAGGAAGAACATGGTGGTGAGGCCGAAGAGGACGGTCACGCCGCCCTCGACGAAGAAGATGAAGGGCCAGCCGTTGTAGCCGCGCGAGCGGATGCGGGCCAGCCCGGTCGCGAGCAGGCCGCCAAAGGCCCCGCTCAGCGGCGCGGCGCAGTAGAACAGGCCGATGCGGTAGAGCAGCTCGTGGCGGCGGTAGAACATGGCGAGATAGATAATCATGCCGCCGAGGAGGCCGGCCTCGGCCCAGCCGAGGAAGAAGCGTGCGGCGAGCAGGCCGGCGTAGCTCTTGACGAAGCCCATGCACATGCTGATGAAGCCCCAGATGGCGACGAGGGCGGGGAGGTAGTAGCCGGCGCGCAGGCGCTTGAGGACGAGGTTGCTGGGGATGTCGTAGCAGACGTAGGGGACGTAGAAGATGGCGAGGGCGATGTTGAACTTGTCGGCGTCGAGGTGCAGGTCCTCTTCGAGCCCGTCGATGCGCGCGTTGCCGATGTTGCTGCGGTCGATGAACGCGAGCAGCCTGCCCCATGTCTTGCGTGAGTGGAGTGTTGTGAGAGTGTGGCGGCGCGGAGGTCGTAGCTACCAGAGGCCGAACAGCCAGGGCATCATGTGCTTGTCGAACTTGCGCGTAATGTGGCGGTCGAGCTCCGCGTCGTCGGTGGGCAATTGGTCGTCGGAAACCGAGTCGTCTTTCTCAACGCGCGCAGCATCAAGCTCCGGCTTGCGGGGGAGGGCATTCCCAGTAGACGACTCGTGCGCAGCCATTTCCAATTGGCAACTGCTTCTCCAGCAGGCTCAAAAAACCAAAGAAGAGGGGGACTCGGGAAGTAAGCAAGCAGACGGGGAAAAAATCCAGAGGCCCGAGTATTTATGCTGTCATGGCATCCCTCCATCCATCGGGAGCGTGGTTCGGTCGTCCCCCGCATAAAGCGCATGATCTGCAGTGGCCAGGATCCGGGGAAACACAGTAGTCCACGCCAGTCAGCCAGTCAGCCAGTCGGGGGCGGGCGTGCGGCGTGCGGCGTGGTGGCTGGATGCGGCCCGCGAGGCGGGTGAGTGAGCGGGAGAGGGGGAGGGGGAGTGAGCACTAGACGGATCGAGCAGCGAGTGGCTGTCATGACTTCGGCAGTTAGGTAGGTAGTGACGATAGTCCTAGTTAGATACCTGGTACAGTGTAGTTAGTTAGGTGGACGCGAAATAAAAGACCGTCCGTTGACGGTTGGAGTGGGGCCCGGGGGTGCACTGCTAAGCAAGTGAGCAAACGAGCTTGTCGGCGTCAAGCCCGGCCAAGCCAATGCCAATGTGGGTCCAGCCAACTGCCGCGCATGATGCATCACGACGAAAGGATAGATAGACTCCAGGGTCCAAGCCCGGTACCTGACCCGGCTTTTTCCCTCATTCCTCACGCAAAGATAATGCACGCTGCTGTGCCTCTGAGCAGAAACATGTGCTACCCGCCCGTTCTCGCCGCGTCGCCATGCACGGAATTTGAGTGGCCAGCTAGCTAGCTCGATAGCCATTCTCTCTCTCTCTCTCTCTGTCTTCCATCTACGCACCAACACAATCGCATACATAAACCCCGTCTGTCCGTATGTACTCGTTATATGTATATATGTATGTATGTATGTATCTCTATGCACGCAAGCAAGCAAGCAAGCAGCCACCCAGTCACTCAAGCACGCTCAAGTCAAATATACATAGCAGGTATGGCCTCCCCCTTCCCTTGCAAGCACACCACCACCCAACCCAACCCAACCAAACCCAAATCCTAAGAACCCAACCAACCCAAGTCAGCTCCCAACCATGCCAGCCTACCTATGCGCTAGCTCGTTCGCTCGCTCGCTCACTAGTACTGTACGTATGCTCGCTTGCTCGCTCACTGCGATGTCCGCGCCGCCAAATCGCGGGAAAAAAGAAGAAAAAACGGAGAAGAAGCGCGCAATCAACAAGAACAAGAAGGGTATGAAGCAGCCCACCACCAACCACCACCACCATCATCATCATCATCAACAACAACAACAAATCACATAAGCGCACACTCCCGCTCAGGCGGCTTCCGCCTACTCTTCCGCTTCTCTTTCTCTTTCTCCTTATCCTTCTTCTTCTCGTCGCCCTCCCCCTCCCCCCCATCCAACGGCACGCTCCCACTCCTTCCGCGCTTCTTCTCCTTCCTCTTCCCCCGCCCAATCGCCGCGGCCGTGCTCGTCGCCGCCTTCGAGAAACTCGATGCCGCGCTGCCGGTCCCCCCGCCCCCACCCCCACCCGGCGGGTCGACCAGCACGAGCGGGTTCGCCGGATCCCCCGCCACGTCGGCGTCAGCGCTCGCGTTCGCCATCGCCACCATCGTCGTGCTGCCGCCGCCGCTGGCCGGCCACGTCGCGCTCGGCGGCGCCGACTCCGTCGCCAGCACGTCGTTGAGCTTGTCGCGGCTGCGCCGCCCCGTCAGCCGCGACATGGTGATGCTGAGGCGGCCCTCGCCGCTCTGGCTCGTCGGCCGCGACTTGCTGCCGCCCGAGGAGCCGGCTTTCTTGGCCTTGGAGCCGCGCCGTGACGACGAGAGGAAGCTGGGCTTGCTGTCGTCGGCCGGTGTGGATGGGCCCGTGGGCGCGCGCGAGTTCAGGCTCGCTTCGTCGAACATGATGCTCTGGCGCGTGCTGTTGAACGAGGATCGCCCTCGGTCGTCGGCCGCGCTTTCTTGCCCCGACGTCAGGACTTGCGAGTCCGCGAGCTCGAAGCTGGGCCGTTGCTCGTTGTCGGAGTTGTCGATTATGAGCTCGCCTTTTTCGGCTAGGAATGTGTCGTCCGCGGTTGCTTCCGAGTTGGCTTCTTCGTACGTGGGCGGATTGCCGCGTGCGAGCTCCTCGTCGATGGGGCAGACTTGGTAGAAGAGCAGGTATGGACACTCTTCTTTCAGCGCCTGCTCGATATCAACGTACGTCACACGATCTTTGGCGAGATCGTCGAAACGCATCCATGGTGCGCTGACTTCGTCCGGCTCTGACCGGTACGGGTCGTGCCCGTGGCTCGAGCGTGCGGTAGGCTCGGTGCCTCGCACCAGTGACACGTAGTGCCCCGAGTCGACCGATACGCCTCGGTGGCACACGACCGATTGCAGAACCAGCTGGAAGTTTCCAAAGAGGGGTCCTTCTTCGTGCATATGCTCATCTGAGATGAAATGAGGCAAGGCAATCTCTAACGGAATGTCGATGTAAGTGTTTAAGCGTTTCGGATGGCCATTCGGCATCATCATGTACCGCTTGAGACAGATGCCTAAAATCGGACGTTTCGCCGCGAAATGCGCCGCTACTTGTGCGTCGTTTGCTGGTGCATTATCCGTGTACCACGCTTCAAGCAGTTAGATACTGTAGAGCAACAAATGAACACTGTACTTACGTATCAGACTGAAGAACTGCCATGCCGGCATGGTGATCTCTTTCTTGGCTGCCGACACTGCTCGTGGCCGTCCATGCCTTCCATCTGGATGTTTGTGGTCCGATGACTCTCCTTCCTCTATGTGGCGTTCGCTGAAAAGACTGTCTGTACGGCCCATCAAGTTAACAGGTCAACCAGGTGACGCGGGGCTTTGGAAGGAATACTGTATGTCGGAGCTGCGCTGTAGGACGGTGCAGCCGGCGACTCCCCTCCAGGGCTGGATGCCGAACCTTCCTCCACCGCCTCCACGTGCATTGCTGATGATTTTTCTGGAAGTCTGTCCAAATGTGGCTGCGCTTGCCCTTGCCGTTCCAACGTGGTTCTTCGCTCGAGATGTCTCCTGACTTCAATCCTGTTGTTGAAGTAGATTTCGAGACACTCTTCCAGTTTTATGGGCTCGGTACGGGTCGGATCATACTCCGGGATCGCGACTTCCAGAAGACGCTCATTAACAAATCTGTGATCATCCGCGACATCCTCTTTGCCGGTATGATAGATGTCCATCTTCAGGGTCAGTAGCGGCAATTCTAGCTGCCCGGTAATAAAAGTAAATGCCTCCGAGGTATCTTGTTGGGCCAATTGAGCCGCCTCTTCCCATCCGCAGCTCTTCAAAGCCTCCTGTAAATGTTTGGTCTGTAGATGTCATACGACTTTAGCTGCTGCAATAACCAGATGAGGCATGTACGAGGGCGCAACACTTACGACATCGGTCGTGATGAGCTTGCCGGCGCGAAGTAGGTTCACCCATAGTCGCAAGACGGATGACAATCGTTTCCTCGGCTCATCGGTAAAAGAGTCGAAAAGCATCGCCTCAAATGAGTCGAGTCTGGCGAACATGGCAAACAACAGGGCATCCAGGTAACAGGTTACCGATTCCCTATTCTCCGCGCCCAGTAATTTCGTGTTCGGGTTGTAATCTCGCAGTATGCCTTCTAGTGAGTCTTGGAACAAAACCAGCATCTCCAACGCCTCTTTCATGTCTCCATTGACGGTCTTGGATCGCAGCGCATACTGGATTTGCGACTCCTTCAGGGAGGTGATTCCAAGAGCCGCCAGGCGCTGGGAGATGGCTTTGACCTGTTCGCCGGATCAGCTCGGCTCCGTGGCAACCCATTGCTACGTGACAGGTCAGACCTTTTGCGCCTCTTCCTTGTCTTGCTTCTTCTCATCTTCGGCGGAAAATATCTTGTAGAGGTCGGCGGAAACAGCTGGTGGTGGCTGCGGAGTCCAGTCAGAACATGACTTTGGCTCATCATCACAAGAGGAGGCTGGCGCAGAGCAGTGTGGTTCTGTTGCGCTGGCTAGAAAAGTCGAGAGACGGCGAAACATGCGACTGTTGCGCCGCGGGGTAGTGGGCTGTGACTCGTCACAACTGACCTTGGTGGTGTTGGCGTTGCGTTTGCTGTCACCGGCGGCGCGGCGGCCCTTTCTGCTCAGGAAGCGCGATACTCCCTCCATGATCTCTCCGCCGTACTTCGCAGACATCCATGAAGCAGGCGGGCGAGACGGGGGTGGGCTGAGGCGCTGTGTGGGGTAGGCAGCCGTCGAGTCGGAGTGAAGGCGGGCTGCGCGCGATGCGAGAAGATTGCGTAGCCGTTGGGCGTGAGCGGTGCGGGCGCCAAGGTGGCTGTTGGACACTTGGCAGCGGTCCGGAAAAGGAGCGGGCAAGGTGGTGCTTGGTTGCGCGCTGTCTTGCCAGGCCTCGTCGCGATGATGATCGATCCGGGCTAAAACGAGCAGGGTTCATGGCAGCTCCGCAAATCCGCCGTCTGTGCGCACTTGGCGCCATTGGAAGTTTTGGAGCCGCGACACCAAACGCCCGCCATTCACCCCCACGCCCGCCCGCATCACCACCATGGCCCTCCGCGACTTCGGGGCCCGCCTGGGCTCATCGCTGCGGCGAGACGTCCGCCCCTGTCTCCGCGTCGCCCGCCCCGTCGCCTACCGCTGCGCCTCCAGCGAGGCCGATGCGCTCCAAGAGCTCGAGGACGCATCTTCCTTCGCCGCCCAGGTGCCCGACGGCGAGATCATCAAGACCTGGGACCCCGCCGAAAACGCCCGGAAGAGGGGCAAGACCCTGCCCGCCAGCAGGTATGGCTTATTTCCTTCCGCGCAACCACCAGCTAAGACGTCAATTCCAGATACAAGTTCCGCTCTCCCAAGTACTTCTATGGCCCTCTCCACCCGCATCAACCCCCTCCAGAGGCCGACCCTACTTCGCGTCTCTTCACTCCCGGGCCTTTCTCCGCGCCGCGCCTCGAACAGACATGGGAAAGCACCATCGCACCCGATCTTATGACGCTGGCGTACCAGCACTTCCCGCCTGGAACGAGGCAAGCAGTAAAAGGACAGCGGTTACGAGAATGGATTGGCGATTCGCCCTACTTCAAGAATCGTCCGCTGAGAGGGCCTCGCGGTAGCAGCGTCCTGCGTCTTCTCAGGAAGACGATGACGTTCAGGAATGTTCCCAAGATCACGGGTGTGACGGTCCACACTATGGTCCCCAAAGCGCAAGATGATTCGGCCCATCTTCATGTCGCCGGCATGGTTCTCCAGGCTATTACGAACGCCCGTGTTACGGCGCACACGGCCCGGACAAGCGTGGCCATGTGGGGCCTGCGTGAGGGCAAATACGTGGCTGTCAAGGCATCGCTCAAGGGAGAGGATGCGTTTGACTTTTTGGGCAAGACGATTGATTTGATCTTGCCCCGCATCAAGGAGTGGCCCGGCGTGAAGGGTAGCTCGGGTGACAACAGCGGCAACATTGCGTTTGGTTTGGAACCCGAGGCCGTCGCTTCGTACCCGGAGATCGAGATTAACTATGACGCGTGAGTATTTCGAGCCTCGGCCATGTGAGGGTCTCGTGCTAATGGACTGATTAGGTATCCCCCGAAAATGATTCCCGGTTGCCATATCATTGTCCACACCTCGGCAACGACTGACAGAGAGGCGCGGCTTTTGTTGAACGCAACTGGTTTGCCTTTCTACGGCAAACACGCCAACTAAAAGTGGCGAGAAGGCGGGTTGTAAAAATAGTGTATTTAAAGCAGGAGCGCAATGTTGCAATGCAATTCTTTTAGCCCTGGTGACTGTCAACAGTCGAGACTGGTTGCAACATTTGAGCCTCGGACAATGGACTGTTTGTCGGCCAGGTTTTGCGTAGCCAGAGAAACGTTAGGTATGTCGACGCTAAAAGAGGATCAGATCTACGCGCACGGTGTGCATCGCGGTTAGCTGCACGTGATTTGGCGTTTCCGCGCCTTGCCACCCCAAAGAGAGTGGCCCGAGTTCCTGAACGTGATGGACGTGATAAGGCAATTACACCTCCAAGCTTTCCCATTCACAAAGTTTGTCTTTTGTCTCACACAGCGCGCTTCATCGCGGCCACTCACTTCACGGGAAACGTCTTTTGCCGCTTTTTTGTTGAACCGTTTCGCCCTTGCGCCGGACAACTAACCGCTCATTTCCTTCGTGGCAAAAGCCAACGGACCCGCTCCCTCCTCTAACCTTTCCGTCCCTCCGCTGCGTCCTTTCCCTTTATACACCTCCAATCGCCCGGTTTATTGTAACCGCGTGCCCAGCTTCCTTGAATCCCGTGGCTCCTTCCAGAATGCCCCGAGGCAGACCCAAGGCCAGCGCCACCAAGCCTTCCGGTGAGTATGCACAAAGTTTCAACTGGGGTTGTGGTGACACGACATCACTCATTTTAAGGCGCTTCGCTGACTTACATTTAACAGGCGGCGCAACTAAGTCAGGAGTTACGGTTCCTCCGACTCGCCTAACGCGTTCCAAGTCCACGCGGAGCCGTACCGTTGTTCAGAACAGCTCGGATATAGAGGCGGAAACGGATGAAGACGCCGACGCCGACGAGCTCGACACCTCTTCAACCATCAACGTTTCTCGCCGTGTTATGAAGGAAGTTGCCATCATGGTCCCCCCGAAGCTTCCAGCTGCAGAGTCGGCAACCTCGTCTGCTCTGTCGTCACCCCATGGTTCTCCCAGCTCGGGCGAGTCAGCTGAGTACGAAACCCCAGGTACGAGCTATTCAAATACACCGGCGCCTCTCGCCGGCTCAAAGCGCAGGAGGAGTGCTAGGCTCGCTCAACCCGACAGTATGAACGGCTACAATGACGTCGACACGTCACACGATGCTCAGCTGGCGCAAGCATTGCAGGAGGAAGAATATGGCGCTGTTGGCTCTAAGCGACAAAAGATCGTAATCCCAGATAGCGACGATGACAGCGACTCAGGCGACAAGGATTGGAATCCTTTCAAGCCCACTAAAGACCAGGACGACGATCTTCCAACTGACGACTACTCTCCACTGGATAGCTCAGATGTGAAGGGCAAAGGAAAAGCTAAGGCGCAGAGTCTGCCCAGAAAGCCTCGAAACAGTCGTGCCACACAACGTTCCGTGCCAGATTCGGATGACGAGGTAATCACTATTGGGGACACCACCGAAGATGGCTCGTATGTTTCCGAAGTATACGAAACTATTAGCTCGGATGATGAAGACGATGATGAAGACAACGAACCGATCATCAACCGTCGCCAAGGGGTTGCCTCTTCTTCGACACACACTGCAACAACTGCGAATGGCTTCAGTGTTCCTATCCTTTCGACGGAAGACCGAGCTGAACTTGCGGAGGAGTATGCCAGCATCATGGATGTACGAGAACGCAGGAAGAAGCGCCATCGGGACAACTTTGAACGCGCCCACCCGGAACTGAAGACCATGTGGAAGGATTTGGCTAAGATTCCTATAATTAAGCCGGTACAGGCTCCGCAGCCCACCTCGATTACTCGCAAGCTCAAGGCCTTCCAGTTGGAGGGGCTTGACTGGATGATCAAGCAAGAAAAGACACAGTACAAAGGTGGCCTGCTTGGTGACGAGATGGGTATGGGCAAGACTATTCAAGCCGTCTCTCTTATCATGTCCGACTATCCCCAGAAGGCGCCCTCGCTTGTACTGGTTCCTCCGGTGGCGCTGATGCAATGGGCGAACGAAATTCGCGAGTATACGGACGGCAAGCTTAAGGTCCTGGTCTATCATGGCACAAATGCCAAGTCGAAGAACATGACTGTGGCCGAACTGAAGAAATTTGATGTTATCATGATTTCCTACAACAGTCTTGAGTCTCTCCATCGGAAGGAGACAAAAGGCTGGAACAGAGGCAGCGATTTGGTCAAAGAGCGCTCTGCAATTCATTCTATCATGTATCACCGCCTCATCCTCGACGAAGCTCATAGCATCAAGCAGCGCACGACGGGTGTAGCCAGAGCCTGCTTCGCTCTCAAAGGCACGTACAAATGGTGTTTGTCCGGTACACCTGTGCAGAACCGCATCGGCGAGTTTTTCTCTCTGCTTCGATTCATGGAAGTCCGCCCGTTTGCCGACTACTTCTGCAAGCAGTGCAGTTGCGCCCAGCTACATTGGAATTTGGATAAGGACTTTAAGTGTTCGCAATGTCGTCACGCTGGCGCGCAGCATCTGTCCGTCTTCAACCAGGAGCTTCTCAACCCCATCACAGGTCCCCATCCGTCTCAGAGAGAGGCGGCTATGGAGAAGCTCCATATGATCACCGCTCGCATCATGTTGAGGCGCATGAAGCGCGATCACACAAACTCCATGGAGCTCCCACCCAAGGAGATTGTTATTCACAACGAATTCTTCGGTGAAGTCGAACGTGACTTCTCGTCTAGCATCATGAGCAACACTCACCGGAAGTTCGACACCTACGTGTCTCAGGGTGTCATGCTCAACAACTACGCCAACATCTTCGGTCTCATCATGCAAATGCGGCAAGTTGCAGACCACCCTGACCTAATCCTAAAGAAAAATGCGGAAGGAGGCCAGAACGTGCTTGTCTGCAACATTTGCGATGAGCCGGCCGAAGAGGCAGTCCGGTCGCGCTGTCACCACGAGTTCTGCAGGAGATGCGTCAAGGATTACGTGCAAGCTTGTGAGGGCAACGGCGGCGACGCAGATTGCCCTCGTTGCCATATCCCGCTCTCTATTGACTTCGACCAACCGGACATTGAGCAAGATGAGGAGATGGTCAAGAAGAACTCAATCATCAACCGCATCAAGATGGAGAACTGGACTTCTTCAACCAAGATTGAGATGCTGGTATACGACTTGTACAAACTCCGCAGCAAAAAGCAAACCCTCAAGTCGATTGTGTTCTCTCAGTTCACTTCGATGCTGCAACTCATTGAATGGCGCCTTCGCCGTGCTGGATTCAACACGGTCATGCTTGACGGCAGCATGAGCCCCGTCCAGCGTCAGAGGTCGATCGAGTATTTCATGAATAACGCCGACGTCGAGGTGTTCCTTGTCTCGCTCAAGGCTGGAGGTGTTGCCCTCAACCTGACTGAGGCTTCTCGAGTCTTTATTGTTGACCCGTAAGTTCTCAACACTTATATTGCTATTATATGATGCTAATATGATCTAGATGGTGGAATCCGGCTGCTGAATGGCAGAGCGCGGATCGATGCCATCGTATCGGCCAGAGGCGTCCTTGCGTCATCACGCGTCTCGTCATCGAAGACTCTGTCGAGTCCCGCATGGTCCAGTTGCAGGAGAAGAAAGCCGCCATGATCAACAGCACCGTCAACAATGACAAGGTCGCCATGGACAAGCTTACCCCCGAAGATCTGCAGTTCCTATTCCGTGGTACTTAGATGGCTCCCAGCTTCCATTAAGCACATGCTTTTACCCTCTTCATGACGGAGAAGAACTCCTACCTTGCTTCCTGCTCTTCTAATGTTTATCTTGCTTCTCTTGTTCTCATCTGCGCGGCGCAAAAAAAGGGTCATGGCTGGAGCTGGCAAGTCTAAACATGCACGACGGACGAATGATCTTAGGATCCAACAAGTGCGATTGTCTTTTCGGGGCGATGGGAATCATGGGCGAGCGACTTACTTTCTTTGCTTTTCTAAAAGTTCTTCCAAAACAGCCTGAGTGAGAAAACGGTGACGGCTTGCTTTTGCTGGTGGCTTCTTTGCTGGGGTAATAGCAACGTAGGCATTATGGAGGCTGGGCAGTAAAAAACAAAAGAATAGATAGGTCGATCGATCGTGGTTGCGGCTTGCGGTGACTTGCTTGCTTGCTTGCTTGCTTCGAGGTCAGTTTCCAACGAAGAGATCGTTGTAGTGTTCGGCTGGTGTGGGCATACAGTAGCTTCTGCGTGGACAGTAAGGTAGGTGCTCATCTACGGTATGCCTTTGAAAGACAAGTACTGACATTCCAGCTATTTACATGATTGTTCAATCTGGCACTCATTCAGTCTTTTCCCTGATTTGACATGATAAAAAACTACTTTTGAGAACCCAAGCAGGAAACACCATCCTCGTCTCCAGATCAATTTAGACAAGACGAAGATCTCCGAACACCACCCGGAGAAAGCGACTCAGTAGTCCGGACCCGTGTCGAGCCCGAAAGTCCCAAACAGCATGAACATATTCACACCCGACATCCACACGACATTCGCGCTGGTGACAAACAAGGAATGTTTGTCTCCAAGCTTGTTGAGCGGATCAAGCGGCACACGTTAGCCATCCATATGTATTTACCCTCTGAAGTTGGCCTGGTATTCGGGAAGGGACAGAGGACTTACACGCACGCGGATGTAGCCGATGACTGCGTCGAACTCCAGGAGACTTAGCTTCATGGGCTTGTAGCTTCTCAGCTTGGCCCTGTCGGCGCCGAAGAGCTCGACAAAAACGGCTTCGTGGGGTACAGCCCACGCGCCAAACCATCTCCCCTATTCCTTGCTCGCAGACAGACTCGATGGTGGGTCAGCGTGGCTCTTTGGGGTAGGATTGTACACTGGCAAGGGATTGAAGGCAAGGGTGCATAAGAAGAGACAGACAGATTGAGTTCGTTGGAAAAGGTAAAACTTACCTGCCACCTCATCTGCTTCCTAATATGCTCGCGACACCATATCTTCAAGGATCTGGCTTCCTCTTCAACTTTGATCTCCGTCCACCACTCTGAGCGACCCACGGGAGTGGGGTCGTTGTCGTTCCAGGATTTGAGCTCCAGTACCAGGCCATTCGCGACCATGGCAAGCTCTTGGTGCGGCAGTGCCTTGAGCGCTTCAAGCGTGCTTTTCTCCTCACTGTTCCGGCTTGATGAAGGTTGGGTTGATAACTCAAGCCTCTTAGAAGGAGGCTCGCTTGCCTCATCTAGCCTGTCAGGGGACACACGTTTATTTTTGGGTCGAGGCATGGTAAATGAACTGCTGATAAAAAAATCAGCTGGATGGTGACGGAAGGAAGCGAACAACTGGGGAATTGATTGTTGTTAATATATCTTGATATCCTTTCACACCGACGTAATAAGGAGGGGATTGCTTCTGGTCTGGAACGAATCTTTTCTGAGCGAATACTTCCTGAGCGAATCTTTTCTGGCCGGAGAAGGTACTTTCGGAGTACTTAAGCAGAGGTGGTTTCATTGGTGGGCGCGTCGACGCGTCAACGCGTTAAGTATCCGTGACGTCATTGACCCAAGCGATGGGCAAGACCCGACTGACCGACTCCATGCGACGCTCTGAACGTCAACTGCACATGCGCAAAGGGAGAGATACATGAGTATGCGGCAAGGGCTAGTCATCGCCAACAGATGTCGTTGCCAGAAGGTGCTCGGTGAATGCCCTCTCGATCCAGGATAGGCAGCCCAATACAGACCTCCGTTATGGCGAAACATGAGGATAAAGTTACCGCTCATACAGGCACTACTTGAGGCCAGTATTAGCAGAAGCAGCTGAGAAGGGGAACATAGCATTCTTACACATCTTAGGGTATTACCATGCGAAGTGCCTCTTGAGCTGGGCACGTCACTGAGCAATATTAGCTCCCTAGGACTTTGACGTGGTCGTATTTGCAAAAGGCTGACTAAATCTTCATCTGCAGATGCAATCTCATCCCTGGTCACAGGCGGGAAGCTGCAGTTGATGTCGCAGGATGCGCTTGTCGACTGGAGCAGATTTTTGCTTGGTTGCGTGGAGAAGTAAGCACAGCAGGCGCTTGGAAACAGCCTCTTGAAGCTCCGTGGTGTTACATGGAAGCTGCAGCCGCACCTTCGCCTCGTGCCTACCACGTTTTTGAGCCTCAGACTCTTTCCATGCGTCAAGACCTATTTAAACTCCAATCCATGCACCTCTTCTTCTCATCCACAAAACACACCTCCAAAGCAACGCCGACGACAAGATGACGGGACCCCAGCTCTGTCAATTGCTGGGCCAGTACCCAATCCTCAGCAGCATCGCCAGTAACCTTTCGCTGAAGGAGCTCTACAACGTTGCACGCACTTCCAAGCATACCTGGGCTTTTATTGCGCCAGACAACAAGGTTTCGTTCGACAACCTCAGAGAGCTCACCGTATGCGGAGGCACCAGAAGGCATGACTTCCACACCGAGATTCCTGTCTGGCTCTCCGCAGAACCCAGTTCTTTCGGACCGGTTCGACCGTGCCGGAACAGGGTCGGCGACCCTTGTAGGCGCTGTGGTGTGAAGTTCTGTCAGGTGAAGCATCCGTGGGCTGACGCCGAACCGCTGGGGACGATTTGCTAACTGCTCTACAGAACTGTCGTTTCAGCTCCGACGATGACTCCTGCGTTTTATTCCTGTCCAACGATCCAGGTTTCTCCTGGCACCATTCAGAGTGGCTTGACGAGGCTATCTGCGTACTCTGCTCGAAGCAACCAGATCGCAACAAGCAGAAGGAATGTCGTTGCGTCTACCAGTCCGGCTACGCCAAACACTGTCTCTGTTTCGATTGTGCATGGGCGGAAGTCAAGGTCCAGGTTGCAAAGGCGAGGAAGATTATCTTCCGTCACAGAGGCTCTGATGACATCGGATATGTGTGTTTCTGTCTCTACAACGTTGTACTGTGGGACATAAAGGCTAATTGGTGCCCAGGTCCTCGACTGTCCTTGCGGTTCCAAGTTCGGCGACATCATGCTCAACCTTGTCTGCAGCTGGTGCGGCAACATGTACTTTGACAACTCAGACTACAACTGCATGAACCTCGAGCTCAGCGGAATTGATCCCTTTGAGTGAAGGAGTGTTCAGTGTACCATCGAGAAACATACCCTACAGCTTATACTTCTAGATGTTGACGAGCATGGGTTTCTAGACAAGAGCTAGACGGCAGAGTACTGGAGTATCAAAAGATTTCCTTCGACTTCTTCACTTCTTAGGCTGCACAGAAGACTACCAGTACATTAGCAAGTTCTATCATGCGAGTTGCTTTTTTTACTGTCACATCCGTGACTGCTTTGTCAATTCCTTTTAGATTGTCTTTTGAGCTTAGAGTAGTGGTATGTAGTGGAGAATTTTACTGCACGTATCTGACGCACTTATGCCTTGTTCAGTGTGAAATGTGGATAATGGGGTAGATACGCATGTGATAGCCCGCACATAGGCTGATGATGATCCTGACTGGCCGTTGGTTACTGCGCTCACTCACTTTCACAAGCACCAAATCCGGCCAACGTCAGGACATTTACTCGAGCTTAACAACCGTATAACATCCTTACCAAAACCGGTAGTAGCTGTTCACGCGTAGCTTCCTCTTTCACCATTCACTCGGCGGCACACAGACTATAAATTCCCCTCCACCGCACCCCACAAGCTCTCCCCCAAACAACTCATTCTCTCACTTTCTCTCTCCACAACCTCTGCCACCACAACTCCGGCTTCCACAAAGATCACCATGGCCACATCCATCATGGCCACCGACGATCCATCACTGCAGTCACGCCCGCGCCAGCTGTCGGACTTGATTGTCCATTACCCGATCCTCACGTCTCTTGCTGCGGAACTCACTTCCATGGAGCTGTTCAACCTCGCGCGTACGTCTAAGGCTGCTTGGGCTAATATCGTCGCGTCGAGTGAGGAGTCCTTGCCGAATCTGATGCGGCTGACGAAGTGCGATGGGCGCTTTTGCGGGGAGAGACTACCTCCTCTGGACACGGGGAACGGAATGGGTAAAATCTCCATTTCGGCTGACTTTGTCTGTTTCAATCACCAAGAGGGCCTTCACCGGGACCCATGGAGGTGCAATAGAGACTGTTTCACCTGTCGTGGAGCCGAGGCCAGGCTGCGGCACAGGCTGCGGCACTAAGGTCTGCGAGGTTGGTGTCACCGTTTTTTATTCAAAGTACTACTTGAAATATTTTACTGACATGGTCCCATAGGAGTGCCGCTTCATCCAATTTAATAATTCTATTGGTTACTCGTCGGGATTCGGAAGCTACAGTTTGGAATACCTTGATTTATTTCGAACTGCACGTTGCATGGAGTGCTATCCTTCAGAAACCAGAGATGATTGCAAATGTACGCACAAGGACATCTGGATCTGCAAGCTCTGCGTTCGCCGACAATTGGTGAAGTGGATTAAGAACGCACGTATCGAAGCGGTATCTTTTGAAGGCTATGTTATGGACAGGATCGTAAGTCTAGTTTTCCTTCTTGAAGCGTACGTTACGAAGGTCACCGAGATCTAATGTCTTGGCGAGTAATAGGTCCTTCCTTGCGCCTCATGCAAAATTAGTCTCTGTCTTGACACGGACAATATTTACTGTCGGGAATGCAACGGGCACTTACAGGGTGGGGAAATTGATTATTTTGAGAAGGATCAACACTCGCATACAGTAGAGTTGCTCATAGGCGACTGGTAGATGGCATTTTTCGGGGACAATCTCGAAAACACCACAAAAAGCTTTGTGGACGGGGTTCACTTCAAGGGAGCAAAGTTGCAGGACAGTGGAACGAAATCCAATCAATGGCAAACTTACTACAATGCGATCTACAAAAGGACATGTCTTCGGAAAAGTCCTTCTTGGTAAACAAACATGAAGCAATCAATGGCTTCATATAGCTCTAGGTAGCTCCGGATAGCTAATAAATGCAGCTAAACAACTAAAACTCACAAAGGTCCTTGAATTGACGAGCAAACGTGCATCACCAAACCGAACCAGCAGCAACTGGAGTCAATAGCCTCTTTTTGTCACATTATTTGCTATGTGTGCCAGATGGGCAATAACGAGCCCCTCCACAAGCCACTTAGGCAGCCACGACCAACCCGCCTCCCAAACACCTCTTCTGCTAACACACATCACAGCAGCGCCGGCTCTTTGCCCAGAATACGCACCTACCACAAACACCCAACCAACTCCCTCCAATTCCATCGCCAGCCAGCTGCGCGACACTGCGTCTCCGATCCTACTCTCTCGCCGCAAGCGCGCCGACACTGCTAGACTTCGTGAGCTTAGTCGCCCCTCCAGCCATCACCACGAGAAGATAAAGATAAACAAGCCTGGAACAATTGGCAAAGGTTGGCTAGGTAGGAATGTCTTTGAGTGGTAGGTTACATGGCATGGTACAGGAGTTTCTGGCTACATATGGCGCGGTTCGTCAGTCGCTCGGTCACGAACCAACAAAGAAAGATATGTGAGCGTATATGCAATTGTCTCTTTCTTGCATGGCTAACTAGGTATCCATCTAGATCGTGGCGCTAATCGGCAGCCTCCACCGCCACATGAACACCAACCACAACCTTACCCACGCTAGCCACAGCCTGCAGCACAGCCTCTCTACGTGCTAGCCGCGCCATCCTCAACCTTGACCTTCGCCGCCTCGTCGTCCTCGACCTTGATTTTCTTCGCTTCGCCGCCTCTCTGCTCGTCCTCAGCCGCCGGCTTCTTCTCCTCCTTCGGCTTCTCCTGCGGCTTCCGCTTCTTCGAGAACTTGCCGCGCGCCTCGATCTTACCTTCGGCGGGGAGGACGCGCGTCGCAGTGAAAAGGAATCCCTCCGCGCCGCCCTTGCTCGTCATCATCGGGTGCGTGCGCCCAGGCAGAACCTGCCAGCTGCGCACGCGCGCCGTCTGCAGCATCGGCGCAAGCAACAGCGTCGGGTTAACAGGGAAGTCGTCGTCGAACTCGCGCTGGGCGGCCTCGTCGGTCGCCTCGCTGCCGCGCTCCTGCGACGCGTTGATGAAGGCCGTCTTGCGGTCGCGGCCGTACAGGTCCATCAGCTCCGTCAGCGGCTCCACCGTCGGGCTATATACGACGACCTGCGCGCCGCCGCGCAGCAGCGGCACCGCGTGCTTGAGGATCGTGGCCGGCTCCATTGCTGATGCTACGACGAGCCCGTCAAAGCCGCCGCCCCGCGTCTCGTCCACGACGCGCCGCACGCGCTCCCATCGCCGCCGCTTGCGGTAGTACGTTCCTCGCTTGCCGCTCTTCATGCCCTTGAGCGTCTCTTCGTCCAGGCGCTCTGGCTCTGCGTAGCCGGCGTCTTCGCTGGGTGAGAGGAGCTGCAGCCATGAGAGAGACTTGAGGTGCGTGTAGAGGGGATGCGTGGGGGGCTGGTTCGGTGAGCTGGCGTCGAAGCCAAAGTACTTGAGGAGACCGAGGTTGGGTTGCGCGTTCGAGTGTAAGAGGGTCAAGGAGTTGGTTTGAGCCGACATGGCCGGAATGGCATGTTTATTCCGCGCTGCTGTTGCAGTGGTGGTGTCGCCGTTGGTCCGTTCGGAGGGCTGGGCCGTCCCTGATGCGTGATCCGCAGCCGGTACCTGGGGTGCATCTGGCATCTCCTCGTCGGCTGGCTGGTCGTTGTCTTCTTCATCGCTCTCGTCGTCTTCTTCCTCCGGGGGATATAGAACTCCCATTTTCTCTGCTAGAGCAGCCACGATCAAACCACCCGTCTCGTCGACTACCAGCCACCTGCCGCCTCCGACGAACGCTCCCTCTTGGGTATCGCTGGGTTCTAGCCTGTTCTCTCCCCCATATCGCACATTCGCCCAGCTGCCTACCAAGCCTAGCATCTCCTCGCGGGCCTCCATTACGCGATGCGCCTCACGGTCATTGAGCACCTCTGCCAACATGGAGACATCCATTGGCAGCACAGTAAAGCGCTTGAGGTATTTTCTCGACTTCCTAAGCGTGTACTTGGCCAGAGAGAAAGCCGTCTTCTCGTCCAATGCCTGATGCGACGCCATGATCTTCGCGATAATCTCCCTGCCTGAGCTTGTACCAGCCTTCTTCAGCTCCTCGATCTCCTCCATAGACAGTGCTTGCCTCGTGGGGTCGTCGATGGTCAGGCGGTTGCTGCGCATGAGGACTTCGCCATTCTCGCCGACAATGTCGAACTCGACGCCGGCTTCGCCGTTCGCATCGGCGACAGCGAGGGTGCCTTCCTCAGGCGAGGCATCATCGGTCTTGAGAACCTCCTCGTGGAGCTCCGAGGCGGGTATCACGCGCAGGCGCGTGTCGGCCAGGCCATCTTCCTTGTCGAGGATCTCGAAGGTGAGGTTGTAGGGTCTGCCGAGCAGCTGGTTGGCAGGAAAAGTACCGAACTTGCCGATGGAGACGGTGCTGGGGGCGGGGTTAGCGGCAGTGGCAAGCAGCAGGCATTGCGACGGCGGGGCAAGAAAGGCGGAAGTGGGCGTGTGAGGGCTCACTCGGACAGCACAACCTACGTGTTGGGGACGATTTCCAGGACCTTGAGCAGGCCCGAGGGCAGGCGCAGCACTATGAAGCTGTTGGGGCGGATGTAGGCGTGCATTTTGGGTCAAGGCATTGTCATGCAGAAGATTTGCTGGAGGGCGCGGGAAGGCGCGTCGCAAACGAATGGGCAAAACCAAAACGCAGCGGCACCAGCGGGCGGTGAGGCGCTAGTCAGGCAGGCTAGTGGGTGTGCGGCTCAGCCCTGCCCGGTGGAGACGGGGCGCTTGCGACTGTCACTGGCTGCGTGTGACGCTTCTCTTGCCTCGCAAGCTGCTCGGTTTCCTAAGTGCTTGAACAGGTCAAGCCACTCTTCTTGCCTCCGACCCATGTCTCCTTGATCGCCCGTGCCAAGCCGCTCAGCCACCCGGAGCGTCATCCCTCCAGATAACTACTCGTCCGTTAGCTACACTACATAGGTAGCCAGCCACACACACTCTCTCTGTTCTCTGTCTCTCTGTCTTGTACCTGCGTAATCTCGCTCTCCGACGTCCTGTCACTCCCTCGACATCCCGATATTCCGACATCCTTCCCGCCACACCTTCTCTCACATTAAGATACCCTCACCGCGCTTCGTACCTTCACCACTCGCTGCGCCTACGACCATGGTGCGTAAGCCGGAACTTGTCCCAAAGCCACTGTCGCAGGCTGTCTACAACCCGCCATATCCCGTCAGTCCCGACGAGGCACAACCGCCCAACTTTCCCCCGCCAAGCACCTCACCGACTTTCGACGTCGTCACACACGAGGAAGCAAGTCGTTCGCGCAGCAACTCCAACGCCTCGAGCTCAGACTGGTCCCATTTCGACGACGAAGAGAAAGAGGAAGCGAAAGATGTGCTGCCAAACTCGTTGCAGCCTGGCCGCGGGATGCAGCCAGCGGGCAAGACGGATGAGACTAGCCTACCACCCACCCTCCGCGTCGGTCCGCCTGGCGGAAAGCGGGCGCCGACTATAATCACGTCGTCCGACTCGCCGCAATCGCCCGAGCCTCCCGCCCAGTCGCCATTGCTCTCGAACAACCCGTACCTCAAGATGCAGTCTACCGGACAAAGCAATTTTGGCGGTGAAGATACAAACGCTATATGGAGCAACAACCCCGCCTCGGTCCCGACGTATGGCTCGGCCGCGCAAGAGCCGATTGAAATGCCACTAGACAACACCACGCCCGTTGAGCAGGTATCAAAGCTGTCTTTGAAAGATGATGCACCAGCTTCGCCCCAAGCTCCGCCTTTGCGAGCTCCGCCTGCGCAACCAGCTGGGAACAACGCGCCCTCTGGCGAAACGACGGAGCGCCCGCTTTCGTCCGCTTCTAGCATCTGGAACCCTGGTATGGACATCTCTTCGCTAGATGCTCTGACTTCAAGAAGCCATGGCCTGCCGTCTGATATTGGCGACTCTACGAACGAGTCTAGGACGTGGCAGGAGCAGCAAGCCTGGGAGAAGAGTGAAAGGGAACGGAGAGAACGGGAAGCGGCGGAAGCGTACGAACGCGCTGCCCGGGAAGAGGCGGAGCGCCGCGCGGAAGAGGAGTGGTACAAGGGGGAACAGGCTGCTGCGCAGGCGGCACAAGCAGCGCAAAAGGAGGAGCAAATTGTGCCAGAACAGAAACCTACTCCGCCAGTGCCAGAACAGGCTACTCCAGTGTTAGAGCAAGCCCTGCCAATCCGGGCGCAAACCGCACCTGTCAAGGAATCGCCTGCACCTGAAGCACAAGCTCCCGAACTACCTCCCAGGAGGTCGTTGGATGGAGATCAAGCACCACCCAAGCCACCACGCGCTCAGACCGATCTGGACGCTGTTAGGTCTGAAGTCATCAGTCCACCCCGAACTGAAACGCCACGTACTCGGCAGCAACGGCAGAGGAAGGAGAACTACCAAATCAAGCACATTCGGTGGTTCGATTCGCGCACAGACACCTTGCGTGAGGCGCCCATTCTCACGCAGAACGCAAATGGACCGTGTCCACTTCTGGCTTTGGTCAATGCGCTTGTTTTGTCCACGCGCGCCAAAGACCAGTCCGTCCTCGTCGAGACGCTTCGAACCCGGGAGCAGGTTAGCCTGGGTCTTCTCCTCGATGCGGTCTTCGACGAATTGATGTCCGGACGCCGTGGCGGAGCCGCCCAAGAGTTGCCCGATGTTGGTGACCTGTATGCTTTTCTGCTGGCCCTGCATACCGGCATGAATGTCAACCCCAAATTCGTCGCTCAGCACGACACTTCTGTACCGGGCTCGCCTGCGAAACCTGGAGGGTTTGAGGAGACTCGCGAGATGCGTCTGTATAGCACATTCAACGTCCCTCTTATCCATGGCTGGATGCCGCCGTCAGAGTCTCGTGCTTATGCCGCCTTCGAAAGGTCGGCTAAGACGTACGAAGATGCGCAGAACATTCAGTTCCACGAAGAGGAGCTGGAGGGGAAGTTGTCAACCTCCGGCCTCACGCAGCAGGAGCAGGACCTCTATGAAGACTTGCAGGTCATCAAAGAGTTCCTCCAGCGTTGGCCGACGCAGTTGACGGACTTCGGGCTCAACACCACGAAGAACAACCTGAAATCTGGAGAGTTCGCCATCCTTTTCCGCAACGACCACTTCTCTACGATCTACAAGGAGCCGCAATCTCAGAGAATCCTCACCCTGGTCACTGATGCAGGCTACTCCAGCCACGAAGAAATCGTCTGGGAAAGCCTCGTCGACGTGACTGGCCGCAACAGTGAGCTCTTCTCCGGCGACTTCCGCCCCGTCAGCCACCACGCCGACGTCACGGGCGGCGCATCCGACGCGCAGATCCGCAACATCGCCGACCCACCGATCCGCAGCCTCCTCGACCTCGACAACAACCAAGGCTGGCAAACCGTGCCGCAACGCAACCAGCGCCAAAGCAGCGGCCCCGGTGCCTTCCAATCCCCCGCCGGCATCACCAGCCCCCAGCGCACCGGCACTATCTCCAGCCCCACGACTGGCAACACGGAGCAAGAAGACGCGGACCTAGCGCTAGCGCTGCAGCTGCAAGAAGAGGAGGAGGACCGCGCCCGGCGCGAGCAAGAGGACCGCCGCCGCCGCGAAAACGAACTCTCGCAAACGTTCATTGCGCAAGAATCCCACGGCGGGCGCGGCAACCGCACCAGCTCGCAGAGCCTACCTCCCGCCATCCCGCCAAGGAGAAACAACGCGGCCGTTGCTGCCGCGGCGGCAAACACGACGCATCGGCCCGCAAACGCGGGGGACGAGCCGCCTCCGCCCACGTATGAGCAGGCGGCGCAGAGGCCGGCCTATAACCCGCCTGAAGGCCACCCGGCAAGCCAGTTCTCGCCTGTGGTGGCGCAGGGCCAGGGCCCGCAGGGCGCGCAAGGGCTGCCGGCGCTGCCGGCTAGGCCTGCGGCCGGGTCGGTGGGCGCTGCTACTGGGAGGGGTGGGGGGAGGATTGGTGCGGGGCCGGGACGGAGGGCGAGTCATGGGCCTGGGGGAATGGGGGGGCAGGGCAGGGACGAGAGGTGCGTCGTTATGTAGGTAGGGGGTGAAGAGGTGGTTGAGAAGCTTTCAGTTTGGGTTTGCTGGGGATGCTTGCTGTATGATTGTATGGGATGGATGAATGGCTTGGGATGGCTTGGGATGGCTTGGCTTCGCTTGGGTTGGCTTCGTTTCGTTTCGCTTCATTGGCGCTTCGGCGGTGGGTGCTAGATTTGGGATACCCGCATACAGTAGTTTTAGTCTTCTTCTTCGATGGTATACATGCGCTTGCTTTGTTGCTTGCTTGGTTGCTTTCTTGCTTGTTTAATTATTTGGTTGTTGGTCGCGTTGCTGTTGTTTGTTTGTGAATGGTAGGTTTTAGTTTTAGATTGGTTGGGTATCGTTGCTTTGCTGCTTTGTTAATTCCTCCCTGAAAGAAGAGGAGGATGCTTGCTTGGATTTTAGATCGGTGGGACGATATAGCTAGCTTTGCTTAATGTATATTACTCTATGTGTACTCACTCTTTCACCCATCTGGCTAGGTAGGTTATCGAGTTCCCCGGTGTGACCAACCTTCCATGAGATGGAGCACGCAACCAGTGAATAGATATCAAGCCTACCTGCCTTGTCTTGCTTTCGATCTATGATTGGTACGCTTTCTGGCGGTGAAAGACATGGAGCGCGTGTCTATTGTTTTCGGTTCAGTTCCGTTTGCTACGAGTGGAAGTTACTGATGGCCCTTCCAACCCGACAATTGTCTTGTGCAAACCGCCTACTTAAGCTCTCCCATTTCTTCTGCTCCTCCAGTCTCCCACATATTCCCGAAAGCTCGACCAACTTCAAGTCTTCTTGATCCCGACACTACCTACTTCGCCGGGTCTCGACTTGAGCACTGCGACACCATGGAAGAACCTGAATTCGGATCTAGACCCAACTTGGCCGACCTTACTGGCCGATATCCGCTACTCCGCAGTCTGGTGCCGAACCTCACTTCAAGGGATCTCTACTCTCTCGCTCGTTCGTCAAAGAAGAATTGGCTGAACATTATGGCCAATGCTACGTCCGCCCGCAGCCTTATGCACATGTCAATGTGCTGTGGTGAAGGTGAAAAGTGGTTAGCAGTATTAAAAAGGCCCTCTAGCCGCGAGTGTCAAAAGCATGATGGAGAACTTTGCGAGCGCTGTGGGTTCAAGACATGCAAGGTAAGCGGATCATTGACATTCGACCTCGGAATCATTGTTAACATGAACCGACTCCACTTAGAACTGCGTGTTCGATCACGGTAAAGAGCGGTTAGGTTTTCGCTTTATGGAATCGGACGGTCTCGTCTTCAACGGAGAACCTCTTACCGGTGTTATCCATTACAGCGACGTCTCTGATAATATGATCGCCCTTTGCATGAAATGCGCACCAGCGTTCGAGAGCCAAACAGCCGAATGCCACTGTCTCTTTTTCAAGGGCATGCATGTTTGCATGCCATGCGTCAAGACCGAGATTAGAAATCGCATTGACGACGTCGTCAATCTGCGGGCGGACCAGGACCGGGAGTGGAGGCGAAGGTACAAGCGATATCTGCCTGATGAGAAGATCTGGGTAAGTGGATTGGCGTTCACAATGGCCTGCTACACCAAGCACATGGCTATGAACTACACTAACACCAAACCTGGTGCAGGTAAGAGATTGCGTCTGTGGTGCCCAGTTTAGTGCCCAGCTCCATGACGACGAATATCTCCATCAGTATTGTCTGAAATGCAATGCTCCGCGGTGGACAGCCAGTTTGTACTGGGAGCGTATGCACTACGAACCAGCTCGTAACGCTGGTGGCATCGAACGTCGAGTTAGACCTGTCACTAGCGTCACGGAAAGCTTGCGATCGCTTCACATGTGATAATCAAGTCCAGAGACAAACAAACTAGACAGTTCTCACACAGAAAAAGACGAGGGTTTGGAACTGGCACAAGACAGGAAGGCATTTGCCTACACGGAGACGGAATCATCTTGGGTTACGGAACAAGGGCATTGCTATTTGCTCTACCACAACACAGAAGACACATTGGTCTCTCAGAAGTAGAATGGGCAAGGAATACGGAACAAGGCTTGGAAGCGGTATAAGGCAAGAGCATTTGGCTCTCGGAGGCGGAATAACCAGGATACGAACCGAGGGCACTGAAATGGCACAACCCAGGAGACAGTTTGGTTTTTTCGAAAGTGGACGGGACATGAAAGAGGGATAAAACTTAAACTATCTAGGCATTCTAACGGCCGAGAATGCAGATGGAACACTCCGTGATCGATCTGTCCTTGTTTTTGGTTCCCATGCCTGCCCACTACCCAATGCTACTGCAGTGTGGGTTCGTAATCATGGGCTGTGAGGGCGAGCTATTGACCTGCGCCGTGGTGTTTTGCATCTGAAAGGTGTCAAGCAGGCGCGTTCAGTCAACCCTGCACTCGACTACTACATAAGTCCTTGTTGCGAAACACCGGAATGAGGGCTGGCCATTTTGTGGGTGTTCGACAAAAGGATACGACTTACTTTCTACCCTATGTTAATGTTAACCATAGACAGTAACCTCCAATATTCCCGATTGGCGGACTTCATAACAGTGAGAGATAGCGCCATCCTTTGTCGTTCTCCGTTTGCTTGATTGTTTGGTGCTTTAGCGTCGCGTGAAAGACGTTAACATAGTGTGTGAAAACAGTAACTTGCACGCTAGTTTGCCTGCGCCGGTAGCCTACATAAAGACAGTTCCCTTCTCAACACCTTCTCTCCCAAACAACAATCACCACTCCCTCCGCTTGCAAGCGGATCACTACGACACCATGGAGACACCTAAGCCGAAACTCACCTTGTCCGACATCACAAAGCACTACCCGGTGCTTGAGATCATTGTGCCTGAGCTCACTTCAAAGGAGCTTTATGCCCTCGCACGCTCCTCGAAGCAAAACTGGATGAACGTCATGGCCAAGCCCACATCTGCCCGTAACCTCATGCTCAAGACGACATGCGATGGCGAAGGAGTGAAGTGGAAATTGACCGTCACTGGCATGCTTGACATAGTCGGTGCTCACAATGTTGCCAACCTGGGCCACCTTGGATGTCAAACGCAATCCAATAAACTGTGCGAGCTTTGTGGCTTCAAGGTCTGCAAGGTAAGTGAAGCATCTTGTCTAGTATCGACAACGTAGCTAACCTATCTCGAACAACTTCAGGAGTGCAAGTTCAGTGATGATGATGACGTCGAGGGATTCCACTTTCAAGCACAGGACGGGCTCATCTTCAACGGAAAACCAGTCACCGGCACCATCCGCCACAGCGATATTATGAACAAGGTAGCCTGCGAGGTATGCCGGTCGCCGGTGAAGGTTGGCCAATGTGGATGCCGCTACTTCAAGTTAAGAAACATCTGCAAGATTTGCGTGAAGAACAAGGTCAGGAAGGGCGCGGACTTCAGCAAGATGAGGGCGCTCGAGGGACAGAGTTGAGGAGGATTCCAGCCTCTGGAGAAGGTTTGGGTACGTGATCTAGGGTGCATTATAACGCGATTTTATCCAGAACTGATGCTGACGGATCGTTGTAGGTCAAGGATTGCGCCTGTGGTGCTCAGGCCCGCGATGAGAAGCTCCACCAGTACTGTGCCCAGTGCCATCGCTTGGTCCTGCCCACTGTGTACGAGAAGCGCAACAACCCGCCTCTGGATCGCGCGGCAACGGTGAGTAGGCTGGCCCAGCTCTACCCCGGGGCCAATGTCCTCATCATGTAATATCCTTCACTCAGCAGGCGGCATTGTCCACGAGAGAAGGGCCTCCTCTTTGACATGACTGGTTTGCAAGCACAGGTCTAGCAGGAAACGGGTCAGAAGCGTCATCAAAGCACAAATTGAAAACATGGGGTTGGCACACTTGAAAGATTGGAGCTTCTTTGGTCGGAGACAACAGACGAGAGTATGAATTGGGACAAACACAACCCCTTGATAGTCTGACGTCCGAGAGAAACAAATTGAAACACTTCATGACCCAGCTAACTGAACCTTTGCTTCTCGTGATTGCTCATTATCCAGTGGTGCAGCGCCGTGCTCTCTGCCCTAACACGTCCAGCGCAGCACGCGCAAAGGACAAACCGCCCATGACAGTATCACAGCAAGCAAACCAAACGCAACACAGAAGCTCAAGCCTGCACGACCATAGAAGAAACAGCACTTGCACAAACTAAAGAATTCAGAAAAACATACTCGTAGTAAGGACATATTATTTCATATCACGTAAGCGTTACCCCAACCACTGGTACCCATAAAAACCCAGCCATAAGCAAGTAACATCAACCTCAAAACCTCCTCTTTTACACTTAAGCCGCAGTCTTAGGCTCCACACTCTCGCCGGGCACACCAGCCGCCGACTTCGATCCCTTCTTCGCGAGCCTGAACCCACCGAGCAGCATGAACAAGGCCTCAAGACCCAAGATGACAGCCAGGGTGACCATAGCGCCAATAACACCAGCGACAGGCCTCGAGATGCCGTTGTCAGACTTCTTAGCCTGGGCGGACGCCGAGCTCCCTGACGCCGTGGCGGCGCAGGACCCGGCCGTGTTGCCGCAGACCTCGCACCACTTGTCGGTGGAGCTGACGGCGAACTTGTTCATTTCCTTGTTGAACGCGGGCCAAGAGAGGCCGTCGCTCTTGCCGAAGATGGGGTACTGGACGGCGGGGCTGGCGGCGCTAGCCGTGCCGTTGTGGAACAAGAAGCGGACGTAGATGTCCTCTTCGCTGGACGGGAAGGCCGAGCCGTCCGCGCCGCTGCTGTTGGTGTACAGCTCGAAGCTCATGGCGCTGGCGTAGTCGGCCACGCCGTAGAAGTCCGCGTTCGTGTCTTGCAGGCCCATCAGCCCGAAGAACGACATGAAGGTGCCGTAGGACCCGAATTGCACGTTTAGCTTGCTGGCGCCCCGGCCCGCGATCGTCGTGTTCAGCCCCGAAAGGATCTCGCCGGCCAGTTGCATGCCCGCCATCCCCCGGATCGTGTCGCTGCTGTTGTAGGCCAGGCCCCATTCGTGCGTGTCCGCGAGCGTGCGCACTTGGGTTAGGGTGGCGTTGGTGAGGATGTCCGAGGAGTTGATGGTCGTGTTGTGGATCTCGGCGACGTTAATCAGGTCCCAGACTGATTGTTGCGGTTAGTACATGCATGGAAATTGTTGGTTTTGGGAGAAATATGCCTGCTTACCGACATAGGCGTTCTTGAAGCTGACGTAGTCCGAGTCAAACGTGCCATTGACGACGGGCATCAGCGTCTGGTAGAAGTCCTTGGTGCTGTCGAGCAGGCTCTGGTACTCCGCAGACTTGAAGTAGTTGTTGGAGCTGGTCTCGGCCTTCTGGCACGCCGAGGTATCCTGGAGCCAGGAAGCATCCTCGCTGCCGCTGCCAGTGCTCGTCTTGCCGACGGGGATCAGCTGGTAGCCGTTGAGCGGGGCCGTGACATTGGATCCGTTGCGCAGGGTCTGCGAGGACAGGGAGCTGCCGACAGGCGGGTACAAGCCCTGCAAGAAGCCCAAGGCCGAGTTTTGGAGGACATCGTCGTCGGGCGCGACGGCCGTGATCTGCGCCTGCTTGACAATGTCCGTGTTGAGGCCGCTGATCTTGTAGTCGGCGTCCGAGGCGACGTAGCGGTTGCGCCAGTACTGCCCGCTCGAGTGCACCTGCGCGTAGCCCAGGTCGGTCAGGTTGGCCGGCTTCAGTGCCTTGGGCGTCCGGTCGCCGTGCCGGTGGAAGATGTATGCGCCCAGCACGGTCTCGGCCGCGGTGGAGACGGGCAGCGCCGAAGCGAGCAGCGTCGCGGCGGTGGTGGCAGCAGAGAAGTGCATGGTGAGGAATTGATTGACTGACTGACACTCGAGACTACAGCAGCGCACCGAGGCGAGGGAATGAAAAGCTTAAGAAGCTCTTCTCGAGCGAAAGTGGGGTAAGGATAAAAAGCGCGAAAAGTGGTGGCCAGACCCCGCGGACATATCGTCTTGCATGGTTAATCTAGCTTATCAGAAGCCATAGCTTTCGGCACTCAATGCTTGTTTGCACGCCCGGCCTATCAGCGCTGCGGACCATGGCCGGATGCGGTGGCTTGGCCGGGTCAAGCATTTGTTTCCGTGGAGAAACCGCAGAAGCTGCTGTGAAGGCGGAGCCGTCTACCGACTTGTCGCTCGACATGCGTGGTGGCATGATTTTTCTGGTCGCCTTAGGAACGTAGACCGGTCCGAGCAATAGTACTCCTACGGAGAAACTACTGTGTAGGTCCAACCAAACATGCCACCGACGTGAGACCAGAAGTGCCAGGGTGCCAGACTTTTTATCGCCTTCGCTTGTTCGGCCCGTCCTAGATCTCCCGTTGACCATAGCACCAAGCTACAGATCGAGCATCAGCCATCGTGCCATTGTGCTGCTGTATTTCGAACTCACATTGACATACGTAAAATTCTACCTCTTCAGCGCCTTCTCCGGATCCTTCTCAAAAGCCCTGCACCACTTATCCCACTCCCTCGAGCCCTTAGTCATGACAGCCTTGAAATCCTCCTTGACCTCTGCAACCTCCCAAAGCTCATCCTCCCAGTTCCTCGACTCTCCACCTGTCTGTCTGGGACTCCATCCAATGGCCTCCAGCACCTCCGTCTCCGTGGGCGAGGGTCCCGCAACCGGGAACAGGCCTGAGTTGCGTCTATGGCATACGGAAGCGAGGTATTTGCGCAGAATCTCCAGGCGCGGCGACGCCTTGAAGTCGAGATGGATCTGGGCATCGCTGTCCTTGACGTGAGCGCCGTCGCCGTCGCCGGAGCTGGCGAGCCGCTTGGTCGTGCCGCGCGCGATCTTGGCTCCGCGGATGCTGCTGTAAGCCCAGACGGCGTCGATCTCGACGAGACCGCCAAAGGGCCACACGAGCGTGGCGAGGATGTCGATGGCGAAGGTGACGGGGAGCAGCCCTGTGGCTAGTACCGCGTCACGCTGCGCCTTGGACTTGGTGCGCAGCATGCTGTTGACGAACTCGACGCGCATGCTGGCGGGGTCGCCGGACATGGAGAGCGGGTACACGAGGATCATCTCGTTGATGCCGACCGTCTTCTTCGTCGTCGCATCCTCTTGAACGCCGTCGTCGGCATGCTTGTCTTTCTCTGCTTTCCCGACGTCTCCGCTAAGCCGGTTGACGAAGTCCAAGTTCGCGCTGGTAGTCTGCGATATCGCCCAGTTGATGCCGCGTGTCGCCCTGCTCTTGAAGCCTTTCCAGCTAACTGCTTCGCCCGAGTAGTTCTTTGCTTCTCGCACTTCCTCCTGCCATTTTCGCTGGACTTTGTGCAACCTCTCTTCCTTCTCCCCTTCTGCCGGCTTAACTAAGGGCGGCGGTGGAGGCGTGTAGATAAGGAAGCGGTCGGGTATCTTCTCGGGCGGGACATCTTTGAGCTTCGGCTTCGGGAAAGGCACAAGGTAAGCGATCAGCTTGTGCGGATCGCGCGCGTAGTGGATTGGGTTGGAGGGGTCATCGTCGCCAAAGTTGTTGGCTATGCGCCGGGGAGGTAGAGGTGGGAGGTAAGCGCTCGCGGGAGTCTGTTGCACGGACTGCTGCTCGTCGTACGGCGGCGGCGGTACGTCCTCAAACTCAGTTGAGACTTGCGGCTGATAGTATTCCTCATAAGGTTGTGCTTTGTTGTCTGCCATGGTGAGTGTTGCAGAGAGGTCAGTCTTGCAAGAGCAGCCGTGCTACCGTGTTGTCTTTCTAGTATTACGAGTACAGAGACGCGGTGTGGCTAATTATGACGCCGCACAGCCTACGCAACCTTCCAACGCCAGCCACGGACGCGTGTCTAGTGGCGCAAAGCGAGGAGGTCATCACTGACGGATGCGACGGCAGGCTGTGTCTTTGATGCGGAGACGAGGCGTGGTCATTTGGTCGCGTTCGGGCGCCAGGGCGCAGTCGTGGAAGCCCAAGAGCCGTCGACCAACATGTATATTCGTATTCGTATCAACACTACAGTCACTAGAAAAACTGATAGCCTTACAGGAATCATCTTAGCAATATCTGAGACCAAATACGTAGTAATTCAACTACCTCCGAAGCTGTTCATGGCCTTGGAAGCACCAAGTCAGCAGGGGTATGACGAGCAAGCACCATTCCCTGATCGGCTCGCCCTCAATATGCACCTAGACGAAAGCGGCAATTCGGTGAAAAGACAACATCAAACGTAGCGAGTCTTGCCTCCGTGCCTCTCTGTGCCTCCGGCGCATCCCAGGCGCTCCCGTGCCCTCCGTGCTCCTTGAGGCGCGCCTCCGAAGCATCCGTGATGCATCTGTGCATTCGGCGCTCCAGGGCATACGTTCGACCTTGGAGCTCGCAGCTGCGCAAACCGGGCAGTTGTCCGACAACTTCCAACGTCGTGATGCTTGTTCAAATCCAGCGTACCTGGTGCGTCTGGAGGCCCTGGAGCCTTCGGGTGCCTCTGAAGCATCTGAGCGCCTTGCCTCGTGCGTGTACAACGTCCCCACCCAGCAACCAGCATTCGTTGCATTTTACCGTTGAGAAGCACCGGTCCAGGTGCTTTTTGAAATAATATTTTTACACATGGCGCCTTTCCTACATTTTGTTGCCAGGCTTGGTCATAGCGTCGCTACGATCTCTTTGCGCTGCCGGGTGGTGATTTATAACCACCTGAGCTCGCATGCCCGTACGACCCCTTCGCCCTGGATTTCCCTTTTCTCTCTGGCTTCCTGTCCGGACCAAAGAGCCAAACCTTCATGCCTCCAAACCCACCCATAATTACGTTGAACGGATACACAAATGTTATCCACACTGCCTGCAATGGAAGCATAAACAATGTACTAATCGCATCCAGCAGTAATGCTACAACGCTGGATTTTTGCTGTTTGTTTTGAGCTGCAGCTGCAGCCAGAGTGAATGCGTCGTTCAACCTACTCTCAAGACCTTGTAAACGGCCCTCTGTCACCATCGTCTGTGTCGTGACGCGTTTTTCATAGCGGCGAACGGCACGAGTGAGCGCGTCGAGCTGCGGCTGAAACGACTGGCGGACCGTATTGGCTACCTCAGCGGGAGAAGCATTATTGACTTTGTCGTTTTTGCCGGAGGCGCTCGTGCTAGCAGCATTGGCAATGTGGGCTTCTAGCTCACTAATGCGAGTTTGGAGATCTTGGACGATTTCTGAATTAAGTTTGCCGCTTTCAGGGCGGGAGTACTCGGTTACGACGCGTTGTAGATGTTTTGCTCGAGCAATTTGCATGTTGAAAAGATGGGACACGGGCCGCATCTCAGCCGCAAGCAGGAAAATAGAAAGATTGTAGTTAGAAACAAGGCCTTCGGTAGGACGTGATAGGACACCACGGATGGCGTGGAGGAGATAGGCGCCTGCGATTGGCGCTAAGAAGCAACACGCCAAGGCAAGTTGCTCGTCTTGACGGAGCTCGGAGAGAGCGCGGGGATACTCTGGCGGGTGGTCAGGCACGCCGGGTTGTTGCTCTTCGTCATTGAACTCCTCCCGCGCGGTCTGTGCATCGGCGGCAGCGGGTTTTCCCAGTGCCTCCTCGCCCTCAGCCTCCTCTTCTGGTATGGTGCCTGAAAAATCCAGTCCAACTGGCGGAGGCGGCTCAGCAGACGTAGGGACCTGAAGTGAATTGTACCATTCCCTGCGTAAAAGTCAACAACAACAGTTCCAGGCCGGCATGCAGCTTGTATGACGTACCATGGCTTCCTGATACACCAATTGAGCAGCATTGTAGCCAGGCCCAGTAGCAGCATGTCGGTGACAACGGCGTTGCCATTGTTGAAGAAGATGCCGGCAACGGCGGGCAGAATGGCAAAGGCCAGCGGCACCGAGTGCCAGTTGGTGGGCTCAATGTCCATGTCGCGCAGGTTGTCGGTGGAAGAGCGCACAGAGCGCTTGGTGTCGTCAAAGGAGAAGTCGGAGAAGATGGAGCTGCGGCGCACCGGCTGCTGCTGCTGAGAGGGCTCCCATGTCTGCGATCTGACGGGTAGGCGCTGGCGGGGAAGAGACGACGTTGTGCTGCTGTTATCGTGTCGCGCGACGGCAGGCGCAGTGTCAACGGCGGTCGAGCTCATGTCGGCGGGCGGCGACGACAGCAATAGCAATGGCTACAGCGAGAGATGAGACGAAGAGGGCGAGCGAGCATGGCCGGCGTGCTGCTGGTGCTAGAATGAACGCCGTCGCCCGGCCACTCCTCTGGCATGTCATCATCGGCGCGTCGGACGCGAATCCCTGCACATCCTTCCTCCACACTCCACACTACTGTATCAGCTCCCCTGCTGCCAGCTGTCGTCCTCATGCCACTTATACATGTGCAAAGTGCTCCGGATCCGTACTGACATAGGTTTTCTCTCTATCCCTCGCTAGGTAGCCGCGTCTCACGTGCCCGCCTTCCTTATTGACACCCAAAAACGGTCCTCTGTAGTTTCAAGCACCAGAACGCCCGCGAACCCAACTCCTGCATCAAGCACACTGAAACTGACACTGAAGTTCATCTAGTCCCTGCCGGAGATGCTTATTCGGCGTCCGTGAGTATTTCCTCCCCTTCTCCGTCTCATTGAGCCCTCAATAAGACTAGAACTGAATTATTGAGCATCATGTCTACAAACTTCCTTCCCGTCATGTCCTCTCCTGTTTCTCCTACCTCAAAGCTCTCTCTTTGTCGTCTCTTCTTTTTTGATCGTCTTTCAATCTCGAATCTTTTCTTTGGCACCTAAGCTTTGGCTCGTGGCCCCAGAGCTACGCAGCTTGAAAGCTACTCCTTGGCTCTTGGAGCATCCGTTACTGAGCTTTCCACTCCAAAATCTGCTTCATTACGACACTATCAAGATGGCAGACCCCGTCGAGTACCCGTACTACACCCAGGCCATCGTCCTTACCTTCCTATCCGGCCTCTCCGTAATTGTGCAAATTCCACCCGCGCTCTGGCACTTCCGGCACCGCAACCTCGCGGCAACGACTCTAGTCTGCTGGCTCATAATCCAGAACCTCATGATCTTCATCAACTCGCTCATCTGGCCCACCGACGACCTGGAAAACTGGTGGAGAGGTGCCGGCTTCTGCGACGTCCAAGTGCACATCCTGATCTTCACCTTCGTGAGCTGCGCTGGCTGCGTCCTCTGCATCATGCAAGGCCTCGCCCGGGTCCTGGACACTGACGACGTCATCGTGGCGCCCTCGCGGGCTCGCCGCATGCGCCGCGCTGCCGTCGACGTGTTTTGGTGTTTTGGCCTCCCCACCGTCATGACGGGCGTCTACTACGTGGTGCAGAACATCCGCTACTACGTCTATGGCATCGTCGGGTGCGTCGCGTCCTTCGACAGCAGCTGGCTCGGGGTTCTCCTCATGCCCACGCCACCCCTCATAATCGGCTTGACCGCAGCCCTCTACGCCAGTAAGTGCCGCGCCCTCAATCCCTCCCAAGTCCTCTACCCAACCGCACCCCCTACTTCTTTTCTCTAACTAACCACCCCGGCAGCACTAATCCTCTACCGCACGTTCCGCTACCGCAAAGAGTTCTCGCGCATGCTCGCCGCCTCGAACACGACGCCCTCGCGCTTCCTCCGCCTCTTCATCATCTGCGCCTTCTTCATGGCCGGCATCCTCCCCTACCAGGCTTACATGCTGTACGTCAACATGACGGGCCGCGACTTTGGGTCCTACAGCTGGACGCGCGTGCACGGCCCCGACTGGAACGTCACGCTGCTGGTGGCCAGCGACGGCGTCGTGCTCGCCGAATACTGGATCACGGTCGCGCTGGGGTACGCGCTGTTTGCGTTTTTCGGGCTCGGCGACGACGCCATGGCCATGTATCGTGCGTGGGCGCGCAGGCTGCGCAGCACGTGCTTGTGCCGCTGTTTGTTCTGGCCGCGGAGCCGTCATGCCAGCGGAAGCCGTTATGGAGGTGGGAAACATTATGGTGGTGGGAGCGGTGCTGGTGCAGCAGCAGCAGCAGCAGCAGCAGCAGCAGCATACACGCGCGCGAACTCCGTCTCCACTCTCGCAAGCAAGGCGTGCTCCGTCCTAAGCTTCCAGTGCCGCGCCACCGCGGCGTCGTGGCTGCGCTTCTGGCGCTTCAGCTCCACGTCTCCTGCTACGCCTGTTCTCCCCTCTCATAACCACAAGCTCGACATCTTTACTTCCACTACCACGACCACGACCACCACGATCACAACAACGCCGACATCAAAGACCGCGTTCACCGACCCCTTCGCTACGCGCAGGGGCTCTGCTTCTACCACAACCACAACCACAGACGCAGACGCAGAAGCAGAAACCACACACCCACTCGCACCCACCTCCCCAACCACCTCAGCAAAATGCCTCCTCTCCATCAGCGACGGGGCAGTGTTTCCAGAAGAGAAGACCTCAGAGACGGAGTCTGCTGCTGCTGCTGCTGCAGAAACAGCAGCTGTAGCCAAGCAGAAGAGAGAAAAGGCGCTTGCGGAGGCAAGGGAAATGGAGGTTGTGGTTGCGGAGAGGTTGTGTTTGTAGTGCAGTGCGTGGGCGTGGAGATGGGTGGGTAGGGTTTCTGGTTTTTTGGTTTCTTTACTTTGCTTTGGGTCGTTCAGCGGTGGGTTTGCGTGCGCTGCGCTGCTATCTATTTGTGCGGAGGGGGGCGTCGTGGTGGTAGCACGGCAGAGAGATAGAGATAGGTACAGCGCACCGGCGCGCAGCGCAGCAGCTCTTTGCGTGTTTGCGTAGGTACATAGGTACATACATACGTACGGCTTTTAGCCAAGCAGGTATGGAATTGGTTATAAGAATCCGCGACGAAAAGTATAGTTTTGAGAGCGGAATGCATAGCCTGTGCAAACCCCAAACCCCAACACGCCAACCCAACTCAACACAATCCAATCCAGCATCATCAGATTCCGCCCAGGGTATCACTTCCCCGCCACTTCGCCCCGCCTACCACACCCCACGCCCCACGCCCACCCCAGCACTACCGCCTCTTCGTGCCCCCAAACCCCGTGCCTTCATACCGCGAAGAACTAGGCGCCGGACTGCTGCCACCCCCGCCCCCAAACCCGCCACTCCCGCCCGACGAGCTACTCCCCCACGAGCCGCCGCGGCTATTACTCGGGCCCGCAAACGAGGAGCCGTTGTTGTTGTTGCGGTTATTCCACGCGCCGTGCGCCCGCCCCGCCGCATACCCCGCTGCGCCGCCGGCGCCCGCACCCGACCAGAAGCCGGGCTTCCAGCGGCCGCCGGCATCGGTGCCGTAGCCGGGGGGCTTGGCAGCGTTATTGTCGTCGTCGTCCGTGGGCATGTAGGGCGGGGGCGGGTCGTCGGGGGAGTCGGTGTAGGGCCCGCCTCCGCCGCCGCCGCCGCCGCCGCCGCCGGGCCCTCCGCCTCGCGGCCCGGTCCACGTCGTGGGGTCGCGGGCGCGCCCGCCGCCGACGATGCATGCTTTGAAGAGCATGTAGAGCAGGACGGCGACGAAGAGGAGCCAGAAGACGGCGGCGACGGCGGGGCTGACGGGGTCGTCGCCTTCACTGCCATTGTGGTGGCCCCGCCGGTGCCCGTACTTCTCGATGCCCTTTTCTGTGAGGCTGAGGCGGTACTCGACGCCGCAGCTGCCTTTGAGGATGTAGGGGTCGTCCGGGCCGTCGTAGCCTTCGCAAATGACGTCGGTGGAGCCGAGCTTGAACTCTGGTGGCAGCGAGGCGGTGCAGGTCCACTGGATGTCTTCGGGGTCGTAGTCGGCGCCGGCGTTTTTGCAGCGCATTACGTCGACGGTGTAGAGGCCGGAGGCGTCGCCGCCTATGCAGGTGAGCTGGTGGGAGCGGGAGTTAGCTGCTAGGTTGGTGGTGGTGGCGGGACGGAGAGGATGGGTAGGTACTTGGGGGATGGGCGAGACGCGGCGCGCGCTGGTTTTTAGGCCATGCCGCAGCGTGAGGGTTTTCACGTTGGAGAGGAGGATGCTGTTGCTGGGTCTGCTGGCTGGAGCGGCGACGGCCAGCGTGGCCAGCAGTGCCGGACAGAGGCTGGTCGAAAGGCGCATGTTGGAGGGGATGCGGTGTCAGATATAAGGGACGGAGAAGACGGCGACCATGGGCTAGGGCAGATATAAGAGGCCACGGTGGCGAGTGGGTTGAGAAAGAGAAAGAGGAAGGATTGAGGGAGCTCCAGTAGGCGGCAGCGAAACGTACCTAGACAAGGCCCAAGCTCCCGCCTCGCCTCGGCTCAACGTCGACGCCCTGACAACATCCCCGGCCAGCCATGAAGCAGCGCATAACTTACCTCCTCCACCCTGGCGAGCCGGCCTTCGATCCAGCCGGCCTCACTGTGCGCAAGGACTCGCTGCAAATCAAGCCCATAAAGGCCGCAAAGGAGCACCGTCTGACCCTAGGCTTGGCCGAGCTCCCGCAGGAGGTGCTTTGCCGCTTTCATCCATGATCCATTCGACCACCCCGTGCTGATGTAGCCCAGATCCGCACTGTCCTGAAGCAATGTCACGAGCTGCATCTCCGCTGGGCCTCGTCTGAGCCGTACACTGCTACCCCTCCCTTTACCTCCCGCGTCTCTCCCGGCTTGCATGCTTTCTTCTCGCCCCGCAAGGGCCAGCAGCCAGATGGCCTCTGTCCTCTGCTCAAGAAACTCTTTGATGATGACCTCAAGTGTGCTTCGCCAAAGGTATATTTCGCCACTCCTCAAGCTCCGCAATCCAATCCTTATTCTCCACGCAGGAGTCGTTCATCGGCCTCCCCGTCTTATCCGAGCGCTTCTCCTCGTCCGCCGCATCTCAGTACTACCATCTCCTGCCGAACCTCGACAACTTAATCACCTACATCCAGCAAGCGCTATGTAGTTCCTCCGACCCAGCCTGCCAGGACCAAGCCGCATCACTACGCTCCGCCCAGTACCTCGACATCGACTACGACACCATCTCGCACGCCCTAATCGTCAACGCATTCTGGGCCCAAGGCCCCAACCCAGACGGCCAGTGGACCTCCGAAATCACGCTGGGCACCAAGTCCGAGAAAATCGAAGTCGGGATCCTCAACAACGAAAAGCCACTCGAAGCGGAAGAGCTCTCACTAGCCGGCTTCCTCACCGTCATAGGCGAAGACACCAAAGCCAAACCAGCCATGTTCTCCTTCCCGTCACGGCACCACCCGCTCCCGCACCCGCTCACATTCGAAACCTCCTTCGCCCACCCCACCGGCCTCCACCCAACCCTCGAACTGCGCTTCCCGTCCGCCGCGGCTCTCGCGCCGCCCCTCCCCACCGCCTCCTGCGCCCTCCACGCCCACCTCACCCTCCCCTCCGCCCTCTTCCTCGACAAACACCAGTTCTCAGACCCGCTCTTCCTAGCCTCGCAAAACCTCAAGCGCCTGCACGCCTTCGCCGGCGCAACCGACCTCGAGGCCCCCGACTGGGTCGTCCCGCAATGGGGCAGCGCCGCGCTGCTGGAGCTCGCGCCCCCGGCCCCGGCGCACGACTACTATGACTCCACGACGCCGGCCTCCGAAGCTGCGCACGCTGATGCTGACGCAGAGGCCGTGCATGACCTCGTCGTCTCCGTCCCCCTCCACCTCCGCTACCTAGCCCCCGCACACAACGTCTCGGGCATCCGCGCCGCGGCTCTTCCCGCGCCCGTCGTCTTCTGGGCTTGCGCCGCGGACGAGGGCGCAAAGATGGCGGCGAGTCCGTTCGACCGCGCGAATCTGGGCTGGGATGGCCTGTTTGGGGGCCGCACGCTGTTCTATGACGTCCCGCCTGCGGGGTGGGTGGGTAAACTTGGTGTGGGTACACGTGGCGTGGGCGAAGGCAGTGGTAGAGCTGGAGTAGGCGAAGGAAAAGCCAACGCCAATGCGACCCTGGTCCAGCACGTCCCCGTCCCGGTGCTCGATCTCGATCGCGCGGCGTGGGTCGAGGCCGGGACGGTGGGCGCGGTGCTGCTGGGCGCGGCGTGGGTGGCTTGGACGCTGTGGGGTGCTGTTTTTACTGGTAGAGGAGGTGGGAGACGGCGCACGGCGGCGGCGGCGGCGGCGGCGGCGCGGAAGCGTGAGTAGGTAGCGTTCTGGCTGGGTGCCTGGAGGTTGAAGATGTTGTATTGGCTCGTCATGTGTGTGTGTGTCCCTCTCTCTTTTTTAAGATAGAATACCTACATACATACATACGTAAACCAACCCGCCGCCCGCCCGCCGTAATAACGCCACTTATGCACTCCTACCTACCTACCTACCTATCTAGGTACCAAGCAAGCAAGCATCCATCCATCCATCCATCCACACGTCTGAACTAGATCTAGATGCCCTCCCCCGTCTCTCAATCCTCATCACTCCCCAAAACCCGACTCAAGCGCTCCTTCCTCTTCTTCTCCTTCTCCTTCTCCTTCCCATCCCCCTTACCCCCCTTACCCCCCTTTCCCCCTTTCACCCCATTCCCCTCACCAACACCACTCCCACCCGCACCCGCACCCCCGCCCAACCGCCTACACTCCTCCCTTAGCTCCGCCAGCTGCCCAAACGTCGTTTCCTGCACGCGCTGCAGCGCCGCCACTTGCGCTTTGAGCTCGCGGTTCTGGCGCTCTAGATCGGGTTCGGTCTCGCTTGCTGGTGCGGCCGAAGTGGCTGCAGAGTCTAGCGCCATGACGTCTGCGCTGGTGGTCGTCATGTCTGCTGCTGCTGCGGTCGAGGCTGGTGGTGCGTTGGTGGTGGTGCCAGAGGGGGCATGGGCAAAAGAGTACGAGGAGGCGAAGCTCGTCAGCTCCGCGAGCGACGCCTCGAGCATGCCGGGCGGGAAGCCCGTCGCGCACGTCAGCGCGTCGTCGAAAGCGCTAGCACTGCGCTGCGTCCCGTTCCTCCCCTTCCTCTTACCCAGCGCACCTTTCTCCGCGCTCCCGCACAGCTGCGCCGTGATCGCATACCCCTTAGGCACGGGGCTCGCGACCTCGCCGCCGGCCACCAGCGTCTTGAGGTCTTGGCGCGGCTTCAGCACCGCCGGGACCTTGAAGCGCGGCGCCGGGGCGTCGGGCCAGCCGGTCGGCGGCAGGAAGGCGAGGTTCGTGGCCGGGCCCGGCAACGTCGCCACCGTGTTGCGGAAATGCGCGCTGCTGGCGGGCGACCACGCGGCCACTTTGCCGCTCGCGTGCCCCGTCAGCAGCGTGCTGCCGTCCCAGCTGAGCGCCGCGCTGAGAGCCGCCCCGAGGTCCTGGCTCGGCGCGTGCCAGCGCGTGGACGGCGCCGGCTGCAGAGGCGTGTACGACGTGTCGATGTCGCGCAGCGAGTCCGTCGCCGCGCGCGGTTCGGCGTCGGCGGAGTCGTCGGCGTAGAAGTCGATGGCTTGGACGCTGCCGTCGGCGTACGTGGCGAAGAAGAGGCGGTCGGCGGCGTCGAGGGCCAGCGCCAGCGCCGTGTCGCCGAGCAGGTACGTGGCGAGCAGTTGGTTGGCCTTGTAGTCCCACGCGATGACGGTGTTGTCGGCGGAGGCAGAAAGGACGATGTTGGCGGCGGAGCAGCTGTGCCCGACGGCGAGGGCCGTGACGGCGGCGCGGTGGTTCGAGAGCGTGTGCAGCGGGGCGGGGTTGGTGGGCGCGGTGAAGGAGAGCAGCGCCGGCAGCGACCACACGTGAATGTTGGAGTCGGCCGAGCCGCTGAGGATGTACTGCGAGGGCGGGTCGACGGCCACGACGGTGATGGCCTGGAGGTGCGTTTGCGGGCCCGTTAATGACCTGCCCGTCGCAATCTGGCGGTTCGCGTTAGCTGCCTAGTTTCCTCGGCCGCGTAGTATGCAGGGCTATCGTACCTCCCACAGACACACTCGTCCTCCCTCGGTCCCCAGCACAAGCACCGTGTCGTCGAGCGCAAGGCACAGACTGGTGACCTTCTCCGGAAACGGGACCGTTGCTTCCTGCGCGCCCTTCTCCCTATTGTAGACGTGCACCACCGCCTTGTCGGCCTGCGCAGCAAAGATATGCGACTGGCTCACGGCGACGCAGTTCGGCGCCGCGGCACTCTTCTTGTACAGCGCGCGCGGCGCCAGCGTCGGCTGGTGCTCGTGGAGGAAGATGCCGACATCCTTGGTCTGGGACGTGTTCGGTTTCGCAGACGCGGTGCCAATTGCGGCGACAAACGACTCGACCAGCATTGTCGTGGGTATCTGTGGACGGCGTCGGGGAAGCAGCTCTGGAAATTTAGAGCCGCGATCGCTTTCTGCCGAGTCTGACCGCCTGCGCTGCCGCTGAGCTTAATTCAGCCCTACGAGCGACTGCGATCGTTGATCGTGGAGTGACAGCACGTGATACGAGAGATCATGAACTGCCTGAGTACCTCTAGTGTAATGATTACCGTCTGGTCCGAGGTCGGAAACCGCTATTGACCCTCACCGTGTAAGGCGGGTGCCAAAAATAAACAGCCGATTCATTACATCTCCACTCCTTCCCCGAACAATGCCAGGCCCCTAAGGATGGTTTCCATCCTTTCCTCCACAAATGACCCCCTCTGGTGTCGAGTTTTTGAAAAGTCCAACTTTCACAAGTATGAAATTCTGCCAAAAATGGAGGCAAGATACCACTGCCTATAGCACCATGACCCGCTTCCCATACCGCCGCCGACCTAGCGCATTTCACAGGCAGGGAAGTAGCGAGGGCCAGCGAAGCCGTGCGCAGCAACATGCTGCACGTCAATGTTTCCGTTCTTGGACGGACTCCACAGTTTAAGCAGGATGAACTTGCCAGAGCTACATCAACCTAAAGTCAGCCACCCAATCGATGCACTAGCAACCCCCAGCGGCAACAGTAAAAACTTACACAGGCGGATCGAACCTGATGGTGATCTTGCTCTTGCTCTTCTGCATGAAGAAGCGGGCATGCGGCGCCAAGACGTCTCCGTCAGCGACAGCCGATTCCTCTGGCTCAATCTTGCTGGGCGTGCTCCGCCGCGCAGACCGCAGGATGCCGGGCGCCATAGCCCGGCTCCGTGGCTCCCAGAAAATGTTCATGCGCGCTTCATCTTCATCTTCATCGTCAGTATCTCCACGCCACCGGCTGTCCCGCCTCAGCCGGTCGGCCATGATGGATGCGCTAGGCTGCTCCTGATCGGAATCACTTGAGTCATCGTCCTCTTCTTGCGTGACATAAAACGGAGGCGGAGCTGGTGCCATGGGCGAGATCATGGACGGGCGGTCGTTGGTTTCGGAGTCGCAGTTGTCTCCGAACGGGTTTGATTGCGGTGCCCTGATGTTCTCGGCGTACGCACTCTCAATCCGACGCCTCATACGTAGGAGCCGCGCAAATCTTGCTTGTCGGTCCTCTTGGATCTGCTGATCTACGCGATCTTGAGCCATCAACCAATGTGGCCGGCGGGCCAAGGACCCTGCAAGGACTTCAGGGTCTTGGAGGCTCTCGAGTAAGGATATACGCTCAGGTCTGCGAGACGAAGATGAGGACGTGCTTGAAGCACGTGATGTAGCTGAAGACTCGCTGCTGTAACTTATTTGGTAGGGCTCAGTCCCCTTGAGAAGCGTATCCTTATCCATGGAGACAAAGATCATGCCTTCCTGGACCGGGGCCGTGAAACCTCTCTCGGGCGCCTTGATGACGATTTTATCCAAGCAGAATGTCGTACCCCCTTGATGCCGCAAGACCAGATTGCAATGTGACTTCTTGGTGCAGTAGACACTGGCGTCATTTTTGAGCGCGTTCTCTACCCGGTGCAGGTCTCCGGTGCTGTCGTTGTATTCACCGCCGTCGCAACTGACGATTTCCATCTTCAGCTTTCCAGACACCACCTGACCAAAGTGCCCGTACCTGAAACTCGGTACAGAGGGCGTGTTATCATGATCCAGCTTTCGGCGCTTTGTGCTCCGACGGGACGGACTGCCGCTACCATCACGACGATCGCCAAAGCCCAGACGCAGTAATTCAGAGTTCTGAATGTTGTGCGGTGTTCCTATCAACGATGATATACTGGCGCTTATCTCGGCCAATCTCTCTCCAGCTCGCTCTAGTTCCGACAACTCGGTCAGAGGGGTGTTGCTCTCCGCCCTGTCCCTTTCGCGTGCACGCCACAAAGCACCGAGTCTCGAGCCTGGCTCGGCGCGGGGCCTATCGCGGATTGCCGAAGTCGGAGGGTCCGGGGTGTGTGCGGATTCGTGGGGACGACTAGCTTGGTCGCCCAAGAAGCCGTAGGACCCGGCCGAGCCTCGCGCGGTGCGGAGTCTCCTTCGGGGCGGCATGGAGGCAGGTTGGGGATCGGAGAGGCGAATGCGGCGTTCGGAGGCTTCTTGGTCGTTGGTGGCGCGCTGCTGCTCTCGCTCGCGTTGCAGGGCCTGACGGATGTGCTGGAGGCGGGCGGGCAGGGTCGAGTTCGAGTTGTCGTCGTTGGAGGAGGAAGGAGCGGAGCCGGTGGCTGGAGGGAAATCAAAGTTGCCAGACATGGTGACAGACAAGGGAACCGGCACAGGGCGCGGCGTCATCGAGCCGATGCGCTGGAGCCGAAGCTGGGCCGGGCGAAGCGGCGTGGACAGCAGCAGGCGGCCACGTCAAACGCGCGAGAAGGGGCTACGAGTCTGGCGAAGCAGAAGCAGACATGGGGGATGGTCAAACAGTGGGGATGTACTGCTCTCCCACTCTGGAGTGGTCTGGCTGGACGTCGTTTCGGCGACCCGGCCCGCTAGCTATCGATTGCTGATCGCCGCCGCCGCCGCCAAGGCTCATCTAGCTGCTGCAGCTCCAAGGCACTTCCATCACCTGCTCTCACAATATCTACCAAACATGACTGCCCTCCCGCTCCTGTCTGCCTCCAATGGCTCCCTTCCCGCCGCCGTCCCGGCCGAAGACCCGGCTGGCGACGTCGTCGCTTCAATTGCCCAGGCTCAGACCATCAGCGCTGGTACGTCATGGGTCGGTCCCTTGGCCATGTTTTCGCGCCTCGCACCACTCGCCCTCCCTGTGTCGCGTTACTTCTTCCCAGTTATTAACGTTATCGCGTAGATGAGATTGCCTTATATGACAGGCAGATTCGTCTCTGGGGCGTCCAGGCCCAAGAGAGGTGAGAATGATCTCTTGAACCATGTTTGACCTAGACTAATCGAGGTACAGGATACGCACGGCAAACGTCCTGCTCATCTCCATAAAGGCTCTCGCAAACGAAGTCGCAAAGAACCTCGTTCTCGCCGGTATTGGTTCTCTTACCATCGTCGACCACGAAACCGTCACCGAAGACGACCTGGGCGCACAGTTCTTTATTGCAGAGGGTGACGTAGGCAAGAACCGCGCGCAGGCTGCCGCGCCCCAGATCCAGAGGCTCAACCCGCGCGTGGCTGTCCACGTTGATACTGCCGACATCCGCTCGAAGGGCCCGGAATTCTACCAACCTTACGATATCACAATCGCCACGGATCTCGACTTCGCTACTCTCTCCACCATAGACGCGTCCACTAGGTTGTCCAACCGGCCTTTCTATGCAGCGGGTGCTCATGGATTCTTCGGCTATGTCTTCGCCGACCTGATCGCGCACGACTACGTCATTGAGCGCGTAAAGTCCAACGTCGCTACTGTCCTGAAGCCGGAGTCCGCAACCAGGTCTATCATCGCCGTTTCGCATAAAAAGGAGAATGGCAAGGATGTGGAGTTGGTGACGAAGCGAGAGATCTACTCTCCCCTCCTGCTTGCCAACACCTCACCACTACCTCCCGACTACCAAAACAACCGTCGGAGACAGCGTCAAGTTACACCTCTGCTGACTTGCATGCGTGCGGTGTGGGAGTTTGAGAAGCTGGCTGGCCACATTCCCGACGTGAACAAGCCTGCCGACCTGCAACTATTCACCACACTGGCGACTGAGAAGCACAAGGAGCTCACTCTCCCCATCGAGACGCTGACCAGCGAGTTCTTGCGGAGATTCCTCCAGAACCTGGGAAGCGAGCTGGCGCCCGTGACGGCCTTCTTGGGAGGTCAGCTGGCTCAAGACGTTATCAACGTCCTGGGCAAACGCGAACAGCCCATTCAGAACCTGCTTCTCTTCGACGGCGAGGAGTCGAAGGCCCCTGTCTACGCCATGCATCCAATCTTCACAAGCTAAGCAAAATCAGTGGGCCAAAATCTCGGGATATTACGGCGTTTGGTCATTTGCATGGTGCGAAACAATAAAACGACAATCTTTTTCTTGGATTGTCATGGTTTGAGTAAGTAGCGGCTAGAAACGCGCATACCCAATGGGATATCAGGTACATGCCTGAACCCATTACATTGAGCTGGAGCTGGCTCAGGAGCATGGAGATTTAAATACACCCTGCGAGGCACTAATTACGAATGGCCTCGAAAATTTTGATAGTTAAACCAACGTAGATACTGCAGCAGCAGTCTCGACAGCAATACTCTCGTTCTCATTCGTCTTTCGAGAAATACCCCACATCTCCCGAAGCGCTTCCCAGCAGCACTGCCCTTTCGCGCATAGCCTCAGCGCGCTTCCTCAACTTGTCATCCAGCCCACTAAAGTCCGTGTCCCCAATCCACGCCCCAATACCATGCTGCAAAACATTCCTGGCGCGCTCTTTATTCCCCTTGACCATACCCACGCTGCCATGCAGCGTCATGCGCTCCCGATCCGCCTTATACACGCCGCGATGCAGAATATTATTATTATAAAACACGCAATCGCCAGCCTGCATCCGCACGACCCGCATTCCAGGAATCTCCTGCGCAAACGGGTCAGCGGTCTTCTCGGCCTCCGTCCGCGCCCGCGCATGCGACCCCGGCACCACAACCAACGACGCATCATCAAACAGCGCAAGGTTCCACTGCGCATGAAACGCGGGCCTGTTCAACCTCTCCAGCTCCTCCTCCGCGCCCGCCCCCTCGCTGATGTCGTCCCGGTGCCAGCGCAGCGCAAAGTCCGCGTCCGGCCGCACAAGCAGATTATACAGCTCGAGCACGAGGTCCTCGTCGCCGCACTCCAGCAGCGCTTTGCACGGCCCCATGATGCTGTCGCTGAAATAGCTGTGGGCGAAGAGTGTGGAGTCGGGCAGGGACGGGTGCAAAAGGTGCTGCACGCCCCAGATCCCGGCTGAGGGGTCGGATGGCCATGGTGGGAATTGCTTCGGCAGCGTCCGGATGTAGGGCCAGTTTCCTGAGCGCGCGAGCGCGGTCGTGCGCGCTGTTGCACTGCGGAGAGCGCTGAGCTCGGAGGGGGTTAGGAGGGAGGGGATTAGCACGTAGCCGTCGCGGGCGAGGCTGGCGCGGAGGTCGGTTGCCGTGGGTTGTTGTTGTTGCTGCTGGGTGTCGGGTGGTGACATTGTTGGCTGGGTAGGTGGTTGGAGGTTGGTTGGTCGGTGTGGTTTTGTGGCAGGTTTTTGCTGAGGCAAAAGGTTCAGTCTGGGAGGGGTTGGAGAGGCATTACTGCGCGTGGAGTGCTGGAGACGTGGTGTGTCGTCGCTGCACGTTTGGGTGGTGTGGGGTTGTGGTGGGTCGGGGCGGGGTGTGGAGATCGGCGGGATGGTCATGCTGCCGGGAGATCAGGTGGTGAACATCAACTTTACATCGACGCCTGCAATGTCTCAACCACCATCATGAAGCTAATTTGACTTGTATTCTACATAACAAATCAATCTAGATGGCCTCCAGGGCGCGCTCCAAAGACTGGATACTTTCCATCACGTCTCCGCTGCAATCGCATCATCGCCGAGGACGAGGAACTTGAACAACATCTCGACCGGCTTGAGAATGAGCACCGCCAGGTAGAAAAGCGCCCTGCGCATGGGAAACGTATCAGTTGGAGGGAGTGGCTGCGCAGGTGTAGAAGCGATCAATCCATTTCCCGAGGTCACTGTAAGAATAGATTGGTCGCAAGCCATTCGGCAACGGCTTTTCCATCTCACCATCCTGCATGAGCTGTCAGTTGCATTGTTTATTATATTAAAGCAACTTACGAAGACTTTTGAGTTGGTCCAGATGAGATGTTCGCCGGCCTTCGACCATGTCGCGCGCAACGTCAGTTCGACTGTCTTTCTACGCCTCATCCAGTAGAGCATCGTAGAGTAGTATCGGCCTTATCAAGCCATGGTAGCGTGGTCCAATCCGTGCCGCCAACGGGCACTAGGGCCGTCAAGGGATTGGAAAGGCGCCTGTTGATTGGGTGGAGTGGACCACACGAGAACCGCAAACTATGACATTGTGCCGGCTTTCGTCAAGCTGGAAATTGAGGACAAATCGTTGGCTGTCGCTTATGCCGGTGGACTTGACAGACTGGTGGTTCCACAGTGAGAACCATTTGGCTCTTTTCCGGTGTTACTCGGTATTGTACTGCTTTTGGCATGGTTGGTCGAGCTTACTCGTAGATCCGCGTGAGCTTCTTTCTAGCTTCCAATACACTCGATGGGTAATCAATACCATCGTCGTTGCGTGAGGGCGAGGGGAGTTCGATATATAAAAGGCCCAACACTGTGAATGGTCAGCTTGCGCCTGAGCAACGGATGTGAGCCATTGATCACCTCCCCAGAACACAGCACAGTACTCCTAGATCATAAGCCGTCTCGACATTTTCAAACACAACATGCTTGGAATGCTGCTGCCGTGCCATTTTGACTGTCTTTGCGGCGGTTTTTTGATGTGCCTCCCCCTAGGAAAGGAACGGAACATCAACAGCGCAATGGAATCCTTTGTTGGTTTCATTAACCGACCATTGTCCGTCTCTTTATTTTTAAATTTATCTCTTCCTTACCATGGAGGCCCTACTCAAGGCTAGTCGCCGTCTTGTCGACCTTATCCATAGATAGTTCATCAACATACTTAAAACTGACCCAATGGTGTTAAATTAGTACTCATAAGAAATTCAGGCCCCGATGTTGATTAACATCACCCGACTTTTGTTTGCAGGCAACAAAGTGCCGTTTGTAGGATATCGCGCAACCCTCTGCAGTCAGTACTTGTGAAATGTTATTGACTGAGTCTTCGTGTGTAGCTGCATGCTGGCACAGACCGGCCATGACTTATTCGAATGTGCCTTGCTTTGTGTGCATGGTCACGGTTAAATCAGCTTTGGATATGTACCACTAGAAGCAGTTAAGAAAAGAACGAGGACACGTGAAACCATAGAAAGAATGTAGACTCGAAGTTATTCCTGTGCGCGTTATAGGCAAATGGTATCGTGCTATCTGCATTGTAAAGATATGCTGAGAGCGGCTACTATGGCTCGAGTAGGAAATTTCGCTTTGTTTGCTTGATGATGCTTTGGGATGGGCGAAAGACTTCACAGCTGGATCAACGTCACAGCCCGTGGAACAAGGGTGACACGGGCGAAAAACGCCGACCCCCGACGCGCCAAGAGCAGCAGCGACGCCGACCAATTGATCCGCAACTGCAGCAACAAGCTCACTGTCTTCATATGCGCGACTCGTCAGTCGCGTTCGAGACTGCACCATCTTTTTAACATCGACCTCTTCAACTGCTCCTCTGCCGCCTGGACATCGACACCCGCTTGATGGCCGTCTAGAACGCGCACTCCCGACAGCGCTCTACCACTTCAACGCCTCACTCGACCCTCGCGCATCGCGTCTCGCTTTCCCAAGTCGCCGGCCGCCGTCATGGCCACCAACGGCATCCTTAATGGTCACTCCGAGGCCAACGGCGCGATCGAGTCCAAGCGCTTCTCGGATATTCCCGGCGTCATCGATGTCACCGTGTCCGAAGGAGACGTTGTCGAACAAGTTGAATTGGACCTTACGGACTTGGCCGACGATCCCACCGAGCTCTGCATCTTGCTGGAAAACGAAAGCGTCGTAAAATCCACATGGATGACCATTGCCTTGGCATATGCGAAGCAGCGCAAGGTCACCGTGGCCATTGACGTCTTGCGGAAGGCTCTGGATGCGTTTACTCGGGGATCTGCTGACGAGAAGTTGAGCATTCTGAGCGCTCTCTTTTGGTTGCATCTTTGGAAGTGTCGCGAGGCGCCCCGCGTAAAACCAGGTATGACTGCATGCCCGTCGCTGATGAGCAATCACTACGGGATCCCGACTAATAGTATGCAGACGGAGCTACAGACGTCAAGACAAAGGAAGCTTGGATTCAGGCAGCAACCAGCAACCTCAACGATGCGTCGCGTATCAGTCCTTCATACCCTCCCCTTTTCCTTGCGCGAGGAGTCCTCTATTTGCTGCGGGCGTCACTGTTGCCCCCCTCCAAGTCCGGTCAAGACAACTCTGAGCGTATCGATGCGCTGCGCCAGGCCGCAAAGTGCTTCGATGACTCGCTAAGGGCATACGGTGGTAAGAACTTAATGGCTACTCTCGGCAAGGCCAGAGTGTTGTATTCCATGGGCAAGTACGGCGATTCCTTGCAAGCCTACCAGTCTGTTTTGGAACGTGCTCCGGATCTCGTCGACCCGGACCCAAGGATCGGTATCGGATGCTGCCTCTGGCAGTTGGGGCACAAAGACGATGCAAAGAGTGCTTGGCAGAGATCACTCGAACTAGTAAGACGAACAGCATCCAACAATCTGGCCACTGTTAACCGTGATTTTAGTGCCCCGACTCTAAAACTCCTAACATATTGCTCGGACTCTATCATCTCAATGTTTCCTCGCAGTATCCTACTACCGATCCCGCTTTTGCTCCGATCTACAAGAAGGCCATGACACAGTACACCCAACAAGCCTTCAAACTAGACGACAAGTTTCCGCTTACCTGTGCCACCTTTGGCGGCTACTTCCTCATGAGGAAAGCCATGACCCAAGTCGAAAGGCTTTCCCGCAGAGCTATTGAATTGACAGATGTCAATGCAATCGCCAGTGATGGCTGGTACCTACTTGCCCGCAAAGAGCATTATGAGAACGAAATTTCAAAGGCCAATGAGTTTTACCTCAAGGCCGACCAAGCCCGTGGTGGAGATGAGCGGGGCTACCTTCCGGCAAAGTTTGGGGCTGCTCAGATTCGCGTTTTGATGCAGGATTTTGATGGTGCCAAGTTCCGCTTGGAAAAGATCATCCAACATTCGAAGAGTCTTGAGGCCATGACACTTCTCGGCACACTCTACGCCGAAGAGGTATTCTCCGCTCAAATTTCGAACTCCAAAGAAGACAAATCGAGCGAGTTGAAGAAGGCCGTCTCTTTACTTGAAAACGTCCGGACGTCATGGCGAGATCCCAAGCGTAAGGTTTCTCCTGACTCCGCGGTTCTGTTAAACCTGGCCCGCTTGTATGAGACCGACCACCCGGAAAAGAGTCTTGAATGCCTGCAACAGGTCGAACAGATGGAAATTGATGAAATTCCCGAGGACGAGCGGCCAGAAGACATCGAGGATAAAGAAGCCATGCGAGCGGCCTTGCGTGAGAACCTGCCTCCCCAGCTGCTCAACAACATGGGTTGCTTCTATTATCAATCCGAGAAATTCGGTCAAGCTCGGGATCTATTCCAGTCCGCACTGAACGCGTGTATCAAAGTACAAGAGAAGGACAAGGATGTCGATACTGATGCTTTGGTCACAACCATCAGTTACAGTTTGGCTAGGACATACGAAGCCGAGGGTATGATGGATGAGGCGAAGAAGGTCTACCAAGGTCTTCTAGAACGCCATGCTGACTACGTTGATGCCAACACGCGGCTCACTTACATCAAGCTCCGTCAAAACCCACAAGACGAAGGTCCTAAAGCCATGTCTGAACTCTATAAAGCTGAGCCCTCGAATCTCGAGGTTCGGTCTTTGTATGGCTGGTATCTCAGCAAAGCGAAAAAGCGGACGCAGAACATCAACGAGGATCAAGAGCAACGTCACTACAAACACACGCTCCAGCAGTACGACAAGCACGACCGGTACTCTCTGACAGGCATGGGCAACATCTATCTCGCAATTGCGCGCGAGATGCGGAGAGATACGGACCAAGAAAAGGAGAAGCGCCGGAAGATGTACGAGAAATCTGTTGAATTCTTCGACAAGGCTCTGCAGCTGGATCCTCGCAACGCATTTGCCGCCCAAGGTATTGCGATTGCCGTAATTGAAGACAAAAAGGACTACGCTACCGGTGTCCAAATTTTGACCAAGGTCAAGGAAACCTTGAAGGACGCCAGCGTCTTCATCAACCTTGGCCATGTCTACACTGAGCTCAAACAGTACTCGAGAGCTATTGAAAACTACGAAGCAGCTCTGTCTAAAGACCGGGCCCGAGACCCCACTATCTTGGCCTGTCTTGGACGGGTTTGGCTGTTGAAAGGAAAGCAGGAGAAGAACGTCCAGTCGATGAAAACGTCACTGGACTTCTCCATGCGGGTAAGTGTCTATCTGTATCTTTCCATTCATGTGTTGACAATTTTAGGCTCTTGAAGTTGCGCCGGAACAGATTCATTTCAAGTTCAACGTTGCCTTCGTCCAGATCCAGATCGCACAATTGATCTATACGCTTCCTGAAAATGTTCGGACGTTAGAAGAAGTTGAGGCTGCCGCCAAAGGCCTTGACGCAGCCATCGAGGCTTTCAGTGCTATCGCCAAATCTCCTAACCCACCTTTCCCTCGCAACGACATCGAAGCGCGTGCAAACATGGGTCGTAACACGATGCGCAAGCAACTCGACCGTGCAGTCCAGAACCAGCGCGAGTACGAGGAGAAGAACGCCAACAAATTACAGGAAGCACGCAAGAAGCGCGATGCTGAGATTCAAAAACGCGAAGATGAGAAGCGTAAGGCCCTGGAAGTCGAAGAGGAGCGCAAACGCAAGATTCTTGAGGAGCGTGAGAGGATCCAGGAGCGCGACCGCGAGCTCGCGCTCAGGCGCATCGAGGAAGATCGTAAGAAAGAAGATGCAGAGATGACCACCGACTCAGAGACTGGAGAAAAGAGGAAGCGGGCCAAGCGCAGAGGCGGCGGTGGTGGCAAGCGTAAGAAGAAGGGTGAGGACACAGAAAGCGAGGGAGAGGGCAGTGGCTCCGACACAGGCCGTAAGTCGAAACGGAGGTCAAGGCGTGCTAGCACAGCTACCTCAGCGACACCTGGCGGTTCTGATGACGAGAAGCCGCGGAAGAAGAAGAAGAGAAAGCTTGAACGCAAGACTACCCAGTCGAGCAAGTTCAAGTCCAGCCAGTTTATCCATGACAGCGACGATGACGACGCTGAGGTGGCCAATGAGGATTCGGCTGCCAAGGTCAACGACGCCGAGGATGCAGAAATGGACAAGGGCGGAGATGAGGAAAGCGCTCCCAGGCAGCGTAAAAGCGCTAGAGTTGTGGATGACGACGAAGACGAGGATGCGGACGAAGCCGCACCATCCGCGCCGAACGGTGAGCCGGAAGATACCCCGATGGCGGAGGCGCCTGCCGATAGTGCACCGTCACCCGGGGATGAGTAGATTGCGCGATTTGTTTAGGGAGCACTTTGGGTTGTGCTGGCAGGGCATTGAATCTATGGCTTGTGCATGAGCATCGGCGTTCGGAGGAGAATTCCACAGGCGCGACTAGTTGCGCGCCGATTTCTAGCAAGAAATATGAAATCACTGGGGTTGAGTGAATGACGTGTAGCTGTAGGATAGCCTCGAAGTTCTTTAATCCTATTCCTTCAGCCCTGCTGCGTCTCGTATTATGTTAGTTGCGCTCATTGAGACGCGGGGGATGCAAACAGTAAGTTTCTCTTGCATGATTAATTTTTTGGAGCACTTGCTGATGGCTGGCCAATTAGACAGATAGTTGCGTAGTTGTTTTGTTGAAGGAAGTATGTCCCGCCTGGTTCTTATTTGCTAAGACAACTGTCATACATTATTTCAACATACGCAACGACTGAGATATAAATGTCTCATGGTTCGCCAAGCCTCCCTACGCGTAGTGTACCTAGGTGAATAAGACCGTTGATACGGCGGGCTACGGCCAATAAGGTAAGGTGACATTCTGTTTCGCCAACAGTCCTATACCTCTGCTCTTTATTGAACTCATCTCATTTCTACATTCACCGCTGCTCCGTTTGACGACACAAAAATATTGGCTGTCGACGCGCTGTAACCGAAAGTCTGCTTAACTTCGTACCAATTACCAGTATTCCTATGGCAGGAGATCACGAGGCTTTTCTTTTTAAATCTGATATCATACTATGGTTCGAGCTACTCCTTTTTAAACAACCGATCCGTTGGGTGCCGGTTGCCCCAACGTATATTGTTTATTTATGGCATATCCAACACACCTTTCTTCACCCTGTCTACCCTCGACTAGGTCAAGGATACCATGGTGGTATATCTGTTAGTGCCGCAGGATCCACGCCCCCATACACTATCGTTTTCCCACCCCGGATGCTCACCCTGCCCTCTACGATCTATCTGGATTTCTTAGAACAGGTCGCAAGTCATGTTGTAATGGTGTGGGTCTGGCAGACGGCACATTAGGGACAGCTAGTCACATGCTTTTGCCGTCCCATCATACAAAACCTGAATGCCGTCTAGGCATCCTTTCTCACTGAGCAACGCGTCCTACTCGTGTCGAAGACAAGCAAGATGGTGGCCATTGACATTCGTGCGCTCTTGCAGCCCATTGTCCCGGTAAGCACCCGTTCCTAAACACCAAGCTCCGCATTTCAGACTGCTTGTCAATATTGTTCTTTGCACAAAAGCCTAACTGTTCATCAGTTTGTTACGGCGGCCTCGCTCGCCCTCACAGGTGGGCAGAGCGCGACCGGAGGGACTGAAATCAATTTGGGAACCGCGACATCGACTGCGAGCCAATTTGTCCCGGTCTACTTGCAGCCCCGCCAAGCATCACGCCCAGCGAAGACCTGCACTTCTGGTTGTTCGACGAGCAGCTCCAGCTGCACCACTTCTTCTCAGCCATGTTCGCCTTCATGCACACCTACTACATCCTCATGTAGACCACCGGTATCGACAACTGTTATATGCACTACGGTGGTCCAAACGGCTTCGCCTTCTTACTCCACCATCTGCTCCACGACGACAAACTATTGGTTCCCCTCAGTGACACCATCTTGCAACACCTCACCCCCAACGAGTTCGGGACCTACTTCATATTCTACCGTGGTGACCGTAGTAACGGTTACAGCCAGCTCTTCGGTCCGTCGCTCCCCGGCTTTTGAAGTGGTCACCAAGCACGACAACGTCGCGCGCGATGTGGCACAGAATACCTGCTGCACCTCAGAAACACCGGTTGACCCATGCTGCAGCCCTAGTACCAGCTCTTGTATAAGCATCTGCTCCCCTTCATCGTCATCGTTCTCAACCCCCACTGGCCCTACTAGCACGACGACGACAACAATAACGACAACCACCAGCATCAGCAGACCTGGAGTGACACCACCACCACCTAATCCCTCCCTAACCAGCACTGTGACGGTACAGGTAACCAGTTTTACGACCGTCGCCCCGCAAATGTAAGAAACTCAGGCCGCCGTCAAATCGTGGGATTGGTCTGTTCACTTCAAATATAATGCTGGGAAGGCCGCAATCGATGGTGCATTTCATTCTTTGTCCTGAGGACGTGTTACATTCAAATGGGGGGGGAGGTCAAGGAATGAGGTTGGAAAAAGAATTCACAAAACACACGCACTCATGTACACAATTACGACGCTCTTTAAGTCATTGTCCAATTTCTACCCCCAAAGCAAACAACGCGGGTTGCAGAAAGTCATCCTTTCATTTATCTTCATTAGATAGAGAATGCTAATCAATCATCCCTGTCATGCCTCGCTCTCGTCCTTCTGTCAGGTGATCAATGGATCACGAGTGTCACCTCCGCGGAGGCTGCGTGACTGCCTAGGCTGATATAGGGCTTATTTCCGACATTACATAAGATTAACAACTTCACATCCATGTCGTCTTTGTGGATAAATTTGCAACACTTCGGCTATCTACACTTTTGAATCATAGTGCGACAGCATCCCCGGAGACTTTCTGCAGCGTCTTTTTGAGATTATAGGCATCGAGTACAACTCCCCTCCCAACAAAGATATGTTGCTCACTTTGACAACATCAACAGTCCAGATAAAGCCCTCGTCAACCTTGCGAATGCGACGGCGGACATTGCGTCAAACGCTTATCTGATTACCGATGCTTCTACCTAATCTACACCACTGTTCTCTAGGAATAGCATTTGCCACCACACTCGTCAGTCTCAGGGCAGTGCTCATCATATGATAATGTCTTCCCTCCGGAAGTCATATCAGCATCGAAGGATCTCGACATTAAGGACAAGGAGCTGCTCAATCCCCGGTGGCTAAGTAAAACGTCTCTCAGCTCAATACGGAATTTCGCTCAGGATTTCTCAGCAACACCGATGTGACCGAATGATTTGAAATAAGATGCGGCATTTCACCAGAGATAGCTCACCGGCACACAACTTGACCAGGACCTAGAATTGTCCATTTTGATGACCACCCGTCAAACTGCTTTGAAATCCTTCAAGTGAACCATCGGTCAGTGGCGCCTCGTGATCTTCGGCCTTAGCTCTATCTTTCGTCAAAACTCCGTTCCTAAGACGAAATCTATTGTAAGCACTATGAGCACATGTTTCTACCATCGTACGTCGATATTTCGAATCATTGTTGCGTGGTTGTTCTTTCAAGGCTGTAACGGTCGGTTAGTATACTTTTCTTTTCAACTCCATGTGCCGCGTCATTGCCGATGTACCCCGCCCTGCAAATATGGGGTCATATCAGCATCTTCGCCCCCACAGGCGGGACGAACCGTCCCGCTGGTGTTTTCCCTTGACCCTCATAGGCAGGTCCCTTCGCTAGCGCGGCGTGTTCCTTGACCTCGGGTATGCGGGTGTTGAAATTCCGGGAACTCGCTCGCAGGTGTGATAGTGGGTATGAACGCATACAACTCACTTCAAAAGTCAGCGTAAGGTGTTACAAGCCTAGTCTTATCATTTGATCTTGGCTCCGGAGGATAAGTACCTCTAGTAGTCACCGACTATTGCTGACATCAACCAATGTGGTGCGTCAGTGCGCGATGTTACGATCCTATGGGATTTGAACACTGCCCACCACTCGTCCCGTATACGTGATACAGAAATATGCTGCGACTACAACATCTGTGGGGGCCAGGATATTCAGCACCTTGCATGGTGATCTTTGGATACTGGTGAAGGGATTTCATCCCCCCACTTATTCCCCTCACAACATGCTTGAGGGCAATTAGTATCTCAAAATTTTATTGGATCTCCCGACTAAACCCTGGTGGTATGATATCAGTAGGTTAAGAATCCTCACTGTTATTTCAAAGCCATTTGCTATAAAAAGACTTTCTGAGTGGCAAGAACAGTGGCTTGTCTTGGACTGCAGTCTTCTGACCTTCTCTGCCGTGAGAGCCTTTGGCCATAGATCCTATAAATTTCACGGTGCGCACTCGATCAGAAGGCCAGAAAGCCTCTCCACTACCAACAAATCGTCTTGGTATCAATCGCACCAGAGACCATGGGACTTGCATATATCCTTTTCTTTGCAACTGTTGGTTACTTTGCCTATCAGTATCTATCCTCACCTCTGCGCCGCATTCCCGGACCCCTTCTTGCTAAATTCACAGAATTTCAACGCCTTTTTGATACATATGGCGGACGTGTTGACCTGCAGCACCGGCGACTCCACGCTCAGTATGGCCCAGTGGTCAGAGTTGGACCGAACACGGTCTCTTTGAGTGACCCAGAGTGTTTGAAGCTTGTCTATTCGAGCCGAACAAACTTTGCCAAAGTGAGTTCCTGAGCAATACTCAATCCGTTTAAATTTTATGCTAAAAATGTATATTTAGAGCGACATGTACACCATAAATGACGTGACACAGGGCAAGAAGACAATAGAAAACATGTTTGGCACTCGCAGCAAGGACCTTCACCGGAAATTACGAGCACCGATCCAGAAGTATTACAAGCTTTCAACAGTCTCGAAGCTCGAAGGACAAATTGACAGAAGCTTGAATGCTCTGTGCAAGGCACTTGATGAGCGCTTTGTCAAGACTGAAAAATCTTTTGATATTTCAGACTGGCTCCTATATTGTAAGTCTAACTACCATAAACAATATGTATCCAAAACTATACTGACTTAATCATCAGATGCATGGGATGTAATGGCAGAGGTCACGTTCAGCGAGCCTATCAAAGGAGGCTTTCTCCAAAAAGGCGGAGATATTGATGACTTGTTGTACAACTCAGTGGAGGCTATAAGCTACTTCGCTGTGGTAAGCATATTTATATAAGATTCATTGTCTCCACACTAACTTCCGGATTTTAGATTGGTCAAGTACCTTTCCTTGACAAATTACTCGACAAGAATCCTATTCATCGTGTAGGTCCCCCAACCTTCCAAGACGCAGCCAACTACTGTTTCAAGAGGCTTGTCGAACGTCGGAACAGTGAAGAAACCAATGATAAAGGCAACTACGACTACCTTGGTTTCTATCTCCAGATCCAGAAGAAGGATCCGACCGTCGATGACGAGACTGTCGTTAGCTGGATGATACTCAACGTCTTGGCTGGAGCAGACACCACGAACATGACCATGGTAGCCATCACGTACTACCTGCTCAAACACCCGAAGACTCTCAAAAAGTTGCAGAACGAACTTGACGCAGCGCAGCTTCAGCTTCCCGCCACATATTCCGCGACATCAACATTGCCATATCTCGGGGCCGTTATCAAAGAGGCTTTGCGGATTCATCCTGGGGTTGCTTTGATGCTTGAACGCGTTGTTCCGGAAGAAGGCCTTGCACTGCCGTCCGGAGACTTCCTTCCTGGCGGAACCGTTGTCGGGATGAACGCTTGGATGATCAATTTTAACAAAGCGATTTTTGGAGAAGATGCCGAGACGTGGAACCCTGATCGTTGGTTGCGCGTCGACGATGAAGATGAAGACGCATATGTTGACCGCGTTAAACGCATGAACGACTCTTTGTTCACCTTTGGCGGCGGCAGGCGAGTGTGCTTGGGGAAAGAGCTAAGCATTTTTGAGATATACAAGACGATGGCGACCATCTTCTCGAGATACGACGTAAGTGTTTCCCAATATCTGCGTACTGTGTTGCTTGCTGACATCCTGGGATGCAGTTTACGCTCTCGGACCCGAAGAAGGAATGGAAGATCAAAAATCACTGGTTCATGCGGCAAAGCGGTGTTGATGTGGCTGTCAAACTACGAAACGTTTCAGTTTAAAGCAGGGCTCGTGGGTTTTGTTGTCAGCATGATGCTTTTTTTTTTTTTTTTTTTTTTTTTTGATTTAGAGCAATACGTTCGTTGAGTGCCCAACGTGCATTCACTTACGTAACTTCTGAGTTTTGTTTCGTTGATTATACCATGAGCTTCGGCTGTACGTAAAGGTCTTGTAGTTACAAAAAGCCTTTGGTGTAAGAGTTGTTGCAGAATGCAGATTGTCTTTGTGGGCTTATATCAAGCTTGCTACTTATGAGGCTCTGGCGAATTGAAGCTAATTATATTGCTCAACTACTCGTCATCGGGCAAATATCTATATTCTAATTTTGATCCTCCACCCACAGAATGGATAAAATACCGTGTAGTTGTTGGCGGCTATCAAATTTCATAAGTTATGCATACTATTGGCCTATATCTTGTACCTTCATTATCCTTGTGACCTACCTCAATGCCTGATTCTTGCATAGGAACTCGCTTCATCAACTCATTCCAGTGCAGAAAAGTCTGCCATTGCCATTCTCGAATGTGCTTCTCGTCTGAAGTTGTCGGGCCAAAAGCTGTCACTGCTAGTATTTGGCACATTTCCGATCGAAACGACTAGTGGTGCTTAATGATGGCGCATCATTTGAAGCCGTTTGAAACGTTTGTCGATGACCACGGACAATAACGTGTGGACGTCAGCAGCGCTGAATCCACCACGTAAATTCGTATCGCAGTGGACCAGACGGAGTCAAATTAGACTAAGACCCGATTGTGTAAGCTGCAGTCGGGCTACGAATTGATGCGGGCGGGAGATAAGCGTGAAGAAGAAATGTCTGACAAAGGTGAGAAGAGCTGAGACGTAGAAATGAAGCCGCCAGAAAAGCTGGCCGGTAGATATTTGCAAAAAATTAAAATGTAGTATATAATTATGCAAAAAAATTTATTTAGCATATCAAGTCCATAGCATCAGTGGTTTAGTGGTAAAATCCATCGTTGCCATCGATGGGCCCCGCGTTCGATTCGCGGCTGATGCATTTTTGCAATTTCTTTTTGCCCCGAGCAAACCTAAGCCAATCATTTTGCCCGAAGCCCTAACGCCCCTTCATCACCTTCACTACACCTTTTGCGCAAACGCACTCATGCTGAGCTGTCGAAGACGTTTCGCTGCGCAGCATGGTGTGACTGTCCGCTGGAAGCGCGCGCTACAAAAGTACTGTGCCAGGTCCGGATTACGGAGTATTTGATATGTGAAGAACAGAATCTGCATGCATGCATGTCGGCTCGGACATAGAAGGATACTCTTCTCTCCTCTACTCCGTATGTGTGGAATGTCTGTCCTATGCATCCCGCACCCCCCACAGGGCTTTGGGATGTTGGAGCTGAAATAGGTAAGCCGGTTCTCTGAGACCTCTGCTTTGCATAATTCAGCCCTATGCGGAATCCGGAAAGAAGAAATTTGCAACTACATAGCCCAGATATGTACCTTGATAGCTACTGCGACCTTGCAGCGTTCGTTTTCCGAGCCAAGAACAAGCCTTTGATGTCCCTGCTCCAGAAGGTGGTAGATCTGGCTCGGATATTGGGCAACTGGGTGCAGAACGCTTGACAGCGCTAAACGCGGAAAGCTGCAGGGAAATTTATAGAGGTTTGTTCACCAATCAGCTGATCGTCGCTGGTTTTCAAAGTGGTTCTTTTATTCAGAACACAGGCGGTATCGAATAATCAGCTGACAGTGTTAGCTACACTGCCTTTAAAGACAGGTCGACATTTGCAGGGAAGAAGTAAAACATAACTTCGCGTGACTTCACTTCATCTCCGCCGCCTCCACATGTCTATCTCAGCAAAAGCTTTCTCCGTCAACTAAGACATCAGTCAAACGGTCAAGAGACAAGCACAATAGTCAACTCATGAATGGAACGCATACTCACTCGAATATCAGTTCCAAGTCCCAAAGACCAAGTGAACTCGACGACCTCAAATTACAAGCCGTGAATATGTGGCGAGCTCGATCCTCTCGAGACATCCAGTGATGCGCGTCAAACATGCTGTACGAGTTCTGCCCAAACATGACACGTTGCGCGCTCGCTGCTGACCAGCGAGGATGAAAATGAAGGAAACAGCTCGTCGCACCGGAAGGATTGTCGATGGGTAAAAGGTCACACTGCATGAATCTTTATCCTGCTTCTGAACCAAAGTCAAATGTAATATGTTCTACGGAAAGGACTTAAACCTGTGATAGGCAAGTCTGGTTGGTGACTCTACATCCCCGATAACAACCATGGTACCGAAGTGCAGTGTCTTCCGCCAAATCCCAAATGCCGAGCCATCCCACACAATAAAAAGCTCACTTCTCCCTCCCCATTCGTAAGAGCAAATCCTTCCTTCAACTTCTCAGCAAAAACCCGAAAACCGATCCAAAGCAAATAAGGCCAACCGCCCTGTCCCTCACAACCAGCAAAGTACACCTTTTACTGCCCTCCAAAGGCCAAAAGCTGAGCCAACATGCCGCCCCACGGATTTTATCGCCACTCCCTCTCAGACAGCATTTATCCCACACCACCGTCGCATCGCTTCTTCGACGTGGAAGGCTTTGTTCTAGGGCAATTCAGACTGCTCATCTTTGAACCCATTATCATCAACGAGGCATACATGCTGTTGGTTTTCTTCTTCTTCAAAACTTTCGATTTTTGTTATGGTCTCCTTGAGTTCAACCTTATGGTCATTTGGCTGGCAACAATCCAGGACAATCGCAGCTTAGTCACTTTGCCTTTGTGGCAAGAGGAGGTTTTGGCGAGCATCTTAAAGTTCGTCGGGGCCACACTGTTGATTGTTTTATGCCGCGTTTGGAGAGGCACCGGGTGGTGGCCGGAGGCAGAGATCCCGGAGTTCAGAAGCTCGTTTGACCCTGAAGAACAATGGAAGAAAAGACCCAAGTCAGGGTTTGGTGCGGTCAAGTGGTTTCTTTGCTCCACGATGGTGGAAATCCCGACCCTCGTCACCTTTTTCGCCTGGTGTTTCCAGTTGCTAGGCAGCCAGTCCATCTCATATGCCATGCTCTTCCTGGTTTTACTGCATTCCACCATATGGTACGCCGCGATCCTGGTCTTCCGCAATCATCAGGAGTTTACCTGGAATTGGAAGGCCCGGACAAGATATTCGATCCTTTGCGGTGGCTGGAATGTGCGTTGGAGGCCAACCCCGAGAGGAAGCAGCACCGAGGCTATCCCAGAAGAGAAGAGAATGAACAACAGCAAATGGAGCTGATCGCGGCGGCCGGTCTGTGACGTATAAAGGAAGTTGTATTGAGCTGGGGACTTTTTTGTCCGACAGAGCGAGTGGAACAAAGCATTGGCATAGGAGACATGCTCGACGTGATGTGGGTTGGGTTTTGTCCGGCTAAGCGTACAATACTTTGACAGAGGGAACAGACTCATGGGTTGGTGTAGAAGCGAAGCTACACGCGATGTAAATAGACCGGTTGGAGGTACAGTGTTTTGATGGAGGAGACAGATCCATGCATTGTGTAGAAGTGAAATCCGGTGGGGTATGAATCGACCTTTGCTTAGTTGAAAGGTATGGCTTTTTCATAGGCTTGGGTAATGGACGATCGGTGTAAAAGGGCGGGCTAGGCCCACTTAAAATGCTCTCTCTCTCTGTAGAGACATGAAAGATTAATCATTAGAGAGATTTCCAGGATAATAGCCATCCTGTCCAACTTCTTGAAAGAGCTTCTGTGAAATGAAGCATGCGGAAGGATTCTGATTCCTTGTGGGAGGGAAATGTTGCATGCGAAGGCGGACTTGGTAATTTGCGGTGCCACAGGTGAAGTCCAGGCCGAATCGCCACTGAAGGAAACACCAATCCAACCTCAAGTTCTGTCAAGGCGGACAGATAAGAGAATGTGAAGTGTCCATTGTCGCTGGGTAGACTTGAGTATTTGCAAAACCGAAAATCTTTTCTGAGGGATGCGGGGAAACAGCGATATCAAGCTGGAGAATGAGAGCCGAAAGTTTGGATCTAGTAGCTGAGTTGGAGGAGGCTACAGAGGTGGTAGTATTAGCAGCCGCCATGCTAATCCCTGGGACGCAGCGGAGTTGTTGCTAGTAGAGATACCGGCAACAGTGATCTTGATCTCCGGAGCTTCGTCGAACAGGCTTTGTGTGGAGATGAAGACTCAGACAACGTCACAGCCGCTTCCAGCTGTCGGGTTTTACTTCCGGCCCGGCTCGGAGGTTCCAGTCTTGAGCGACGATCGTGGGTGGCTTCTTTGTTCTGTTCTTTTCTTTTATTTCTTCTTTTGTTTCTTCTTTTCTCTCCTTGTTTCTCTCTCTTTTTTTTTTTTTTTTTTTTTTTTTTTTTGATTTGTTTTTTATAATTTTTTTGGTCTGCCAACGAAGCCAGTAAGGCAGAAGAGTGAATGGATGGCATACTTTTGACTGACCTTTTTTCTTTTTTGGTTTATTTATGTTTTGTTAACGACCCTTGGACTTACCCCGGGCGTGTGGGAGACGGTGCGAATAGCTGCTCCATAACGTGGTGCTCAAACGAATACACCACGCAACGAAGGCTTTGAGCAGCCACTCAACCTACACAATGTTAACTTAACTTCAAATCGAACCAAACTAGGCAGACTTACACCTTTGGAGAGGAGGATCCCCGTCAATGCAGCCCAGCCCCAACAGGCAAACTCAAAGCCGAACCTCATCCGCCACTTGAGCTGCAAATCAGGGGACTCGCGACCTCTCTCCATTCTCACCACAGCGTCTGCTAGCTCGGTACGAAACCGAGCCAGCAGGACGCCGCCCGGCCAGTCCTCGGGGTATCTATTAAACGCCCGGCGGGCGAAAAAAAGAGTGAAAAAAAAAAAAAAAAAAAAAAAAAATGATAAAGTGTGTTAATATTGTAATAACAATATCTGCCATGGCTAACGATGATGGACTTGAGGAGGAAAGGCGGAGAGCGGACGCGCGGGAAACTTTTGAATCCATTCTTATACAAGGAAGCTGCCACTCACCTGCAATGCGACTCCCCGTTCACTCCCCTCCAGCTGCCGCGCCGCAAGCCTCAACGCGCACGGCAGCATCTCATGGTGCCCCAGCTGCGCGTCGCCATCCCACAGTACCCAACCTTAGCATGCTACAGATCCGTTTGTTCAGATCGTTGATAACCGCCACATCTTCGCACGCACGGTTTCGTCTCATCCAGAACATACGTCCAAGGCCCTGTTGCGAAAGGCTTCATACCCACAGCATGGGTTTGATATCGGCTGGATGGAGCTGCTCGGTGCCCTGCCATGGCGTTTTGGTGCCGGCATGCCTGGAATCCATTCATCCAGGCTGGAGAAGGGCGCTCTAGCTTCGTAAGCATAGTCCAGTCCCTAAGCAACGTACACTTCCGAGGCTTGTATTGACGGCATCCAGACCTACTGCAGAAGTTTGGTATCGAATGGACAGAGCACCTTGTTACCATGTCATGGCGTTCCAGTGGCGGCGTGCTTCGAATCCGTTTGTCCAGGTTGGGGTAAGACGCCATATCATAGCATGGAAGCACCGAGACATACGGCAGAAGGCTAATATCGAGTAGACAGAGCATCTCGCCGCCATGTCATGGTACTCCAGTGTCGACAAGATCCGAATCCGTACGGCCAGGTTGGAGAAACATGCTTCATCGTAGCATGAAGGCATTTAGACCCATGGTAAGTGTTCGACCTCGACAAGGTGAAGCTTCGTGATGCATCTCGTAGCGTTACAGCATTGGCATTCTTTCAATCCGTTCATTCAGGCTGGAAAAAGATGCTTCATCATAGCATGAAAGCATTCGGACCCACCGTGAGTCTTTGAATTCGACAAGATGAAGCCTCTTGGTGCCACCTCATAACGTTGCAGCATCGACATGCCCTCAATCCGTTCATTCAGGCTGGGAGAAGATGCTCTCCATCATAGCGTGAAAGCAGTTGAACCCATGGTAAGTGTTTTAACATCGACCGGATAAAGACGTCTCATGACTCTGTAAAGGGGAAGCTAATGACAGCGTAGGAAAGTCTTGACTCTGTTATGAAATTGCCATTTCCAGCCATGTGCGGAGCAGCTCGTGTACGGACAAACGGAAAGGGAAAAGGTTGACTGAGGGGGCCTGAGAGGAAAAGGAAACACTGTTTCCGAGACAGGAAATGAGAGCAAGGAAAACGCGATTACAGCACCTACCATGGCCGCTCACAGACTACAGTGGACGTCGACTTGGATGCACTCCGGCGGGCGGCAGTTTGCCCCTCTCGTGCCCAGGCTGCCATGCCAGCACCCATCTTGGCCAGCGAGTGGCGAGGCAGTGCGGTCGGAAGCCGTCACACCACGCTTCGTGGTCATCAGGCAACGTTGAACACCAAGTGTGGGGGTAGGCGAGTGGACGGAAGTTTGGCCCCTCGGCCGTATCGTGGGGCCGCGGACATTGCGAAACCCAATAGCCGGCTACTCGAAACAGGCGCTAGCCGGCGATCACACCAGCTGCTGCACATGTCGCTTGAGCTGAGCAGACACGTAAATAGCTTTCACTTATCCGATGGGTTGCCCTTTTTAGCTGTCGTTTCCCTTGTTTCCATTCTTCTGTCTTTCTGCTCCGCGAGCTGTGTTTCTCCAGACTTTTCCTCCATTGGTGTCGAGCTTGGTTGCAGCAGCTCGATAGCTACGCTACTACGAGGACCTACGTAACCACCACCTCCGTCATCACCATGTCTTCCCCCGCGCCGGCCGCCAAAGACATGCGCAAGAAGGTCTTGCGCGTCTTGTTCCTTTCTCTGCTTCTGGACTTGGTACATACAGCTCCCTGCGAATCCGACCTTTCCGCGCCGCTGCTAACTTTGCCTTTGCGCCTTGCTAGATATCCTTCACCTTCATCCTACCCCTCTTTCCCAAGCTCCTCGAATTCTACCGCGACCACGAAGCGCGCCGCGCCATTGCGGGCGCCTCGCCCACCGTCCTCGCGCGCGTCCTCTCCGGCCTCAACGCGTACAAGAATGCCTTCGCCAAGCCCATCAACGACCGCTATGACATAGTGCTGCTGGGCGGGGCGCTGGGCTCGCTGTTCAGCTTGCTGCAAGCCATTGCGTCGCCGATCATTGGCAAGCTGTCAGACCGGTACGGGCGGCGCAGGGCGCTGCTGTGGAGCATGGTGGGCAACATCCTGAGCGTGGCGCTGTGGGTCGCGGCGACCGACTTCCGCACCTTCCTGGCCAGCCGCGTCGTCGGCGGGCTGAGCGAGGGCAACGTGCAGCTGGCCATGGCCATTGCGACGGACATCAGCGACGACTCGCAGCGCGGAGCGACCATGGCGCTCGTGGGCGCCTGCTTCTCCATCGCCTTCACCTTTGGCCCCGCCCTCGGCGCCTGGCTGTCCACCATTACGTCCGTGGCCGCGAACCCGTTCGCCACCGCCGCTGGCTTCTCCCTCTTGCTCATCGTCACCGAGACGCTGTACTTGTACCTCGCGCTGCCGGAGACGCTGCCCAGCGTCCGCTCGCGCAAGAGCGGCAGCACCAAGGGCTCGAAGAAGCAGTCCAAGCCGGCGGCGGCAGCTGCGCGCGCCCGCACCAACTCCCACGCCCTCCTCAACTTCACGCACTTCATCTTCGTCTTCTTCTTCAGCGGCATGGAGTTCTCCCTCCCCTTCATGACGTACGACCTCTTCAGCTACGGCGCCAAGGAGTCCGGCCGCCTGCTCGGCTTCATCGGCCTGATCGCGTCTATCCTGCAGGGCAGCGTGACGCGGCGCCTGCACCCGCTGCGCGTCGTGCAGACGGGCGTGCTGGCGTGCGCGGCGGGCTTCTTCCTGCTCGGCCGCGTCGACTCGGAGAAGGGCCTGTACGCCGCGGCGGCGTGTCTGGCCGTCACGAGCGCGACGGTCGTCACCGGCTTGAACAGCCTGAGCAGCTTCGAGGCGGCGGAGGGCGAGCGCGGCGGCAAGCTGGGGAACCACAGGAGCTTTGGTACGTTTTTTTGCTCCCTGCTCCCATCACGACGCCCTGTTACTGTGGATGTGTTGCTAACATGTTTTCTGTTTTCCTGCAGGCCAAGCCGGTCGCTCCCTCGGCCCCCTCATCTTCTGCTCGCTGTACTGGTGGGCCGGGCGCGAGTTCGCGTACGCGGTTGGCGGCGCGGGCATGGTGGGCGTGTGCGCGCTGGTGCTGACTGCGCTGAAGGCGCCGCCGGGGACCGAGGTCAAGAGCAAGGCGAAAAAGGGCCAGGTGCCCGCGGCTGGAAAGTCTTAAATAGCCGCCGCTTTTTCTAGTCAAACTGCCTGACTATCTAGGGAGGCCTCGCATGGTGTTGGGGGTTCTGGCTACTCTGGGAACTGTTGTTAGGGTATTAGTGCCGCTGCATTAAATATAGCCGTTTGTCTGTGCATACTGCATGCATACAATAACACTGTCACGTCTTGACTTGACTTGACTTGCCGCGACGAGACGAGCCGCATGCGCACGACTTCGAGCGCGTTGGTTAGCCCGCACGTTCACGAGCATGTCCACATCCAATTCAATCCACGTCCCAGACCAGGCAGCCAACAAGTGCATTTCTCGCCATACAAGCCTCTCCCCTCCCGAAAAAGCCACCGCCCTCCCAAAGCAGCCGTATCCCGCAAAATAAAACAAAAAAACGCCGCCGATGCCGATGCCATCTGTCCATCTGTCTGACTGTAGTGCGCACGCACGCACGCACGCGCGCGCGCTGCAAAGCGCCGCGTTGTCGTCGTCGTCGTCGCCGCCGTCCGTCGCCGTAGCTGTCGTCCGTCGCCGTAACCGTCCCGTCTACTTCCGCTTGCGCTGGCCGTGCTTGGTCGCCTCGGGCGCGGTGCGCTTCTTCTTAGGCGCGCCTTTGCCTCGTGCTTTGAGCCTGTACGCAGAAAAGAGAAAGAAATTAGCCAGCACTCTCAAAAACCCCAACCCCAATCCACTCAAAACCCAACCTCTCCCAATTCCTCTTGGAAACAAAGCACAACAACGCGCAACATACCCAGCAATCTTCTCCTCGCGATGCCACTCATCGATATTCAGGCCCTCCCACTCCGGATACAAGCGCGCGAGCTCGCCAAACGTCCCGATCCGGCGCGGGTAGTACGCTGCGACGGAGGGGCCCTTCAGCCGCTGGTGCAGGATCTTGGTGCCTTGCCTGGCGCCGCTGGGGTTGAAGACTGTGTTGAAGATCCGGGATTGCGTCTGTGTTTGCGGGGAGGGAGGTTAGTGTGTTGTGGTGGTGGAGGGTTCGGGGGGAGGGTGTGAGAAGGTAGCTGTGTCGTGTGCAGGGAATTGAATTGAATTGCATCGAATCCAGCAGAGCAGAGCAGGGCACAGCAATTGAGCTCGAACAATTGAGCCCGAGCATTTGCGCCCGCAGCTCGAGAACGAGAGGGGCGGCGCGACGTACCTCCATGAGAGCGAGGATGCGGTTGCGTGGGACCGACATGGCTGCGGACGTGTGTGCGTGGGTGGGCGTGGGCTGAAGCTTGATCGAAGGCGTCTGGCGTCGTGCGTCGTCGCCGCGGCGGGTGCGGTGCCAAGCAAGTCGAAGCGCGGGCCCTATCGGGCCGCTCGGGGGCGGCGGGGCCGAGTGCCGTGGCGGGATTGCGTCGTGGAGCGCGGGCTCTTTCATTCATTTTATTTCAAGATAGCACGCTACATAAACGGACGGGCAGGCGGATGGCGCGCTTGCTTCGTTGTCTTTGTGCAAACTTGTTTGTGCTGCTTGTGTTGTTTTTTTCATTTTATAGGATGGACGGAAGAGCGGGATATCACCCTCACGTAACGACTACCGCTGTCACAGCATACAACACAGCTTCTGCTGCACTTGTTCGACCATACCAGGTATGCCCATGTCCGCCGCCTATGCCGACCATACTACTTCCTCCCCTTTTCCCTCTCCCTCTCCTTCCCCCTCCCCTTCTTCCCCCTCTCCCCCACAATCTCCTTCTCCCTCTCCCGCGGATCAATAACCACAAGCTCCTCCTCATTCCGCCGCTTCCACTCCAAGTCCTTGCCTAGGCGATCCTTCTCAAACGTCAGCGCATGGCCCATCCAGCCCGCGTCGTCGTCGTCCTTCTCCCCCGCCGCACCGCCCGCACCCGCCGTCTCGGGCCCGTCCGTCCACGCCCGACACGACTGGCAGTTGGCTATGAAGTGCAGGTCGCAGAGTGCCGCTTCGGCGTCTGCTTCCGCGTCCGCGGGCTGCGGGCCCGGCGCAGCGGGCACAGGTGCGCCAGTGGGCGCGTCGTTCTTCGCTGGCGCCTCGGCCGGCGCAGAGTCCAGCTTGCTCTTGAACGCGTTGAACAGGTCCAGCGCTTTCTGGTCGGCTGCGCTTCCCGTCCCGCCGCCTTTGCGCTTGCGCCCCCGCGTCGCTGTCGCTGGGATCATGGCTTCCAGCGCGGATTTAGGCTTTGCGGGCGCGGCGGAGGCGGTGGGGTTCGAGCGCTTCATGCTGGCTTTGAGGGAGGCGATTTGCGCGTTTGTTTTCGACAGGAGCGTGTCCATCTTGTTGAGGGGTTCGGGGGAGGCCGAGGCGGAGGAGGGCGTCGAAGGGGAGGGCGAGCGCGTGGCGCGCTGCGGTTCTGAGGGCTTTGGTGCCGGCGCTGGCGGGGGCGAGGGCGAGGGCGTGCGCTTCTTGAGCGGCTTCGGGGACGCGGCGCGGGCTTTTGGCGCGGGCTTGGGCTTGGGCGGCGCGGCAGCAGCAGCAGCGTCCTCGGGCCCCGCGCTGACGAGCTTGGTGTTGAATTTGGGCTTCTTGGCCACGGGCGCGACGTCGGCGTCGTCGACGTCGGCGCCGAAGCTGAGCAGCTGCTTCGCGGCCTTGCGCTTGACCTTCTTGGGGCCCTTCTTCTCCTCGACCTGCGGCTGAGCTATCTGCGTGCGCTTGACCATGTCGTCGAAGTAATTGACGATGATGTCGGTGCCGGTGACCTTTGTGGGGTAGAGAGGGCGCTCGCTGCCCTCTTCTTCGGTCAAGTCGGCCTCGCCCATCTTCATGAGATTGTAGATGGTTTCGCCCTCGATGCGGCCGAACATGGTGTTGACGCCGGTGAGCTCGGGGGTGGCGCCCAGGGTGAGGAAGAACTGGCTGCCATTGTCGTCCTTGGTGCCCGTGTTGGCCATGCCCAGCAGGCCGCGACGGTTGAACTTGAGGCGCGAGTGGAACTCATCGGCAAAGGGCTCGCCATCGTAGCTGCTCTCGCCGCCCTGGCCGGTGCCGGTCGGGTCGCCGCCCTGGATGACGAAGCCCGGCACCAGGCGGTGGAAGATGGTGTTGTCGTAGTAGCCGTCGAGGCATAGCTGCAGGAAGTTACGCGAGGTGCGGGGGGTCTGTTTGGCGAAGAGCTCGAGGAGGAGGTCGCCGGCGGTGGTGCGCAGAAGGACCTTGGCCGTGGGCTGCGGCTCGAGGTTGTAGAGCGAGGCCATTACCGGTACCCAGGGTGTTTATGGGGAGAGTTGCTTGCACTTGCGAGCTTGTCGAGCTTCGAGATCTTGCTTGGCCCGTGCCAGCGTCCTCACACGTCACGGTCCGCGGTTTATACTCTGAGCTCGCGCTTTTGTCTTGCACCATCATGCGCGACACTGCCCGCCATGCTGCCCTACATCAATGCTCGTATGCGCCCCTGTCGCCCGCCTCCCCGAATCCTTTTGCTGACTCCCTTGTCTCACAGCTTTCGCATACATTGCGAACCTGCTCGGAGCTTCGACCGATGAGCGTGCGTCTTGCTGCCCCTCCCCATCTCTTCGCTACCTAGTTAACCACCCTCAGTCAAGCTCATTGCTTCCTTCCTCATCTCCTACCCTCTGGCTGGCGTGTTGAAGCGAGTGCCCGACTCCAAGCCATGGCAGAAGAACGCCTTCATCATAGCGTGCGCCGTCCCGTCCCCCCCTCCACCGCGCCCCGTCCCATACTCACGCGATACTCAGCGTATCGCTGTTCTACCTCATCGGCCTGTTTGATCTGTGGAAGGGCCTGCGTACCCTGGCCATCAGCTCGGCCGGCGCCTACGCCATCGCCAAGTATGTCCAGGGCCCGCTGATGCCCTGGATCGGCTTCGTCTTCCTCATGGGCCACATGTCCGTCAACCACCTGGACCGCCAGTTCCGCAATGAACCCGAGAACGTCGATATTACCGGCGCCCAGATGGTGCTCATCATGAAGCTGACGGCCTTTTGCTGGAACGTCCACGATGGCCGCTTGCCCGACAGCGAGCTCTCCGAGTTCCAGCGCGACCGTGCCGTCCGCGAGCTGCCCTCGATCCTCGACTACACCGGCTACGTACTCTTCTTCCCCTCGCTCTTCGCGGGCCCCGCCTTCGACTTTGTCGACTACCGCCAGTGGCTCACAACCAGTATGTTCGAGCTGCCGCCGGGCGTCGACCCTGCTAAGGCGCCGCCGACGCGCAAGAAGCGCAAGATTCCGCGCAGTGGCACGCCCGCCACATGGAAGCTTGTCATCGGTCTTGTGTGGATCTTTGCGTTCCTTCAGTTCTCGGGCTGGTACTACCCCTCCCTGCTGCTTGGCGACGAGTACATGAAGCACAGCTTCCTCAAGCGCGTCTACTACCTGCACATGCTGGGCTTCGCTACGCGTATGAAGTACTACGGCGTGTGGCACCTGACCGAGGGTGCATGCATCCTGTCCGGCATTGGCTACAAGGGCGTCGACCCCAAGACGGGTCGCGTCAACTGGAACCGCCTGCAGAACGTCAAGCCGCTGGGCATTGAGCTGGCGCAGAACACGCACGCGTACCTGGGCAACTGGAACATCAACACGAACCTCTGGCTGCGCAACTACATGTACCTGCGTGTCACGCCCAAGGGCAAGAAGCCCGGCTTCCGCGCCAGCATGGCCACCTTCGTCACCTCTGCCTTCTGGCACGGCTTCTACCCCGGCTACTACATGAGCTTCGTGCTGGCCAGCTTCCTGCAGACCATTGCAAAGAGTACGTCGACCCCCAATCCAAAAATCAGTCTCGCTGCTGCTAACGCTCCCCACAGACGCGCGCCGCCTGGTGCGCCCCTTCTTCCTCACCCCCGACGGGCAGACCCCGCTCCCCACCAAGCGCTACTACGACATCTTCACCTGGCTGATCACGCAGCTCGCGTTCTCCTTCACCGTCGCGCCCTTCATCTTCCTAACACTCCCCGAGTCGCTCCTTGTCTGGGGCCGCGTCTACTTCTACGCCGTGGTGGGCGTAGCCGCCTCAGTCGCCGCGACCGCCTCGCCCCTCAAGCCGCGCCTCACGCAAGCCCTCAAGCAGCGCAACGCGCAAGGGCAAACCGCGGGACCAGGCGCCGGGGCCGACAACGCCGTGCACGCCTCAGCAGTCGCATCGGGCGCCGACACCGCCTCTAGCAACGGCAACAATGCCAGCACCCCCGTTCGCCCGGCCGTGCTCCGCAAAGCCGCGACCGCGGCGCCGGACATCGGCGTCACGGCGGACGATTTGCTCGAGGAGAAGATCCTGGGCGAGGCGCTGGGCGTGCGGCCCGGGCTTAGCAGGGCGCAGAGCGCAGAGACGTTCATGGGCTTGCCGGATGATCCGCAGGGAGACATGGAGGAGGCGGTGGCGGAGGTGAAGGCGGAACTTCGGAGGCGGAGGGAGCGGGGCGAGAAGGTCACTGGGATTGAGGACTTGGTTGGCGTGGGGAGGAAGGTTGAGTAGGTGAGTAGGTGGATTTTGTTTCTGTTGGGGGAGGTAGGTGCATGAGTGTTTGGTTAATTGTTGGTTGGATGTTGGTTGGATGGGTGCGAGGTTTTTGGTGGGTGGGTAGATGGGTTGGTGGGCTGGTGCATGTCTCGATAAGCAGGTAAATAGGTGCCTAGGTAGGTAGGTAGGTAGGTATGCCCGCACACGTGCATACACACACGCATACACATTGTAAGGCAACAAAGCAAAACAAAGCAAAGCAAAGCAACACAAGACAACAAAAAACAAACCCTCTTCAAACCACCCTACCTTCCCCCCTCCCTCCCTCCCTC